GACCACACGGTGCGGGTGTGGGATGTGCAGACGGGGGAGTGTCAACACACCCTCGAAGGTCACTCCGACTCGGTCTGGAGCGTGGTGTTCTCGCCCGACGGGTCGCGAGTGGCCTCAGGCTCACGGGACCACACGGTGCGAGTGTGGGATATTGCTAGCGCGATGGAGCTGCTCTGCCAGGAAATCGACACATTCTATAACAAGATTGAATTCAGCGCTGACAGTACGAAGATACTAATAAATGGCGAATCGGTACACATTCCATTAGGAATACCATTATCTGGTGCTACGACAGAGTTGTCCAGCCCCAACCTAAACTTCCGTGGCAGGCTAGGGATTAATAGTGAATGGGTCACATGGGCTTCAGAGAGGATCTTATGGCTACCTGTTGAAAACCGTCCCAGATCATGGGCAAGTCACAACGACGTTGCGGTAATAGGGAGCGGTTCTGGTCGCGTTACTTTTGTACGTCGTGCTACGGAGTCATCGTTTTAGTAAGAGAATTCGACTAGGCAACCGCAGGCTACAGGAAGCAGGTTTTAGATTCTACTTATCCAGCTGTGGGCAATATGGTGATCATGCACGCGCCAAGGGATAAATATCTGTCGAACGGGGTGCAACTTGAGATGTAATCGACGAACCAAAGGAACGTCCGCAAAAAGAAGACAGCGACTCTGCAATCAGCACAGAGGTCCTTTCTTAGGTGGGCTTGATTAATGAGTATCTACAGATATGAACATAAACTTGAGTCCCAGCGTAGTTTCCACGTTGACAATCTAGGTGAGCCGCGGAGTCTGGCAGATCGAAATCAGACTTTGCATTGGGTTGAGACAAGCGAAACAATTCGAATACGATTCGATGGGAAACCCTTCGTTATCAAATCCGAAATGATCTGTGCTCTGCCTCACGTGCTACCAATCATTCCCTCACCGCTAGACCTTTTGTGTATCCCGAACCACCTGCTTCTCGACGTTCTCAGAGAGAGCTTCTTCAGTGGTCACAATTCTCTTGCGTGCCGATATCCTCTCGACAATTTGCAGTCCGCCTGTCCATATCGCCATCGCAATGCTCACGGCAATCATCGCCCACATACCTCTCTGGAAGAAACATTAGCAAGTGCTTTGCAATATTATGATGAATGAGAGAGTTCTTACCGTGAATTTGGGCGCCATGTCAGCAGAGTAGAACAAAATTGACCACCACGCATTCACGGCATTGCTTCCAAGATTCATGCATGCTATCACAATCGCTCGCAGAGAGTCCTCCTCATATCTGAGCGCATCATTGGCCCACGCAAAGAAGGTGGCCTGGCAAGCATAAACGGAGCCCGCCCAGTAGTACGCCCCAAAGTGACCGGCGACCGTAGTGGACGGAGCAAGAAGAATGCCAGACGTCACAATGCCGGTTATGGCTATCCAATATCCAACCAGGTATCTCTGGCCGCCAAGATAGTCGGTGAGAGTGGCCCAGAATAATGTCGAAACGATTCCAACGGCAGGCACACCTGTGGGATAGTTGTTCAATTGATAGACACTGTAATCTCTGTCCGGAGTGGACTTCATGTACAACGCCAGAAGACTGTTTGTGCTGAAGCTCTCGGTTTCTCCCGCAATAACCCAAAGCATCACGAATCCATAAAATTGCCAGGATCTGAAGACTCGTTTAACGAAGGCGAGGGTGAGTGGTTTCTGCTCCGGGACCTCGGGCACTCTTGACACTGCAAGCGCACGTTCCTCGGCGGACAAGTATGGCGCCGAGGTTGTCGAAGGCGTGTCTGGGAAAAGGAGGAAACCGTAGACGGCGACCGGCAATGTAATGATCCCATCGATGATGAACAACCAGCGCCACCCCGCCAGACCAGAGAGTCCATTCATGCTCGAGTAGATTCCAGTTTGGATAAAGCCTCCAAACATGGTCCCTGCAAGACCGGATGCCGTGAAGATGCCGCTTCTTTTGCCCAATTCCTTCTCCGTATACCATGAACCCAGTATGTAATGGGTGCCGATAAAGGTACTGGACTCGGCAACACCCACAAAAAATCGAATGGCCATGAGATGCTCTGGCGAATCGGAGGCGGCGGTGACCATGGTAAGAGCTGCCCAGAACACCACCATGGAGGGGAAGAAGATTCTTGGTTTGATATAGTACAGTGCCAGGTTACAGGGAACCATGCCCCTGGTCATAGTCAGTTTTGAAGCCGGTCGGGCTGCCAGAGGACGAGGCTCACACAATATATCCACAGGTAAAGATAGTGGTGATCTGGGTCAACTGATTCCCTTTGAAGTTAAGATCCTCCTTCATGCCAGAGACGTATGCTTGTGTCAAGTTGGATCTGTCAAGGTAATTGAAGAAGTACATCAAACAACAGAAGGAAAGAATGAACCAGTCAACTTTGTGAATCAACTTTCTTTCCAAGGGACTCTTCTCAGACCTAAGATAGGCCCTGAACGATGGTGGGGCAGCCATGGTGGAAGATGGTTCACCGCTGTGGTGACAGGAAGAGGTGTGCGAAGTATCTCGGCCGCTTAGAGAGCGAAGGCACTTTGCTATATAGTGATGGGAACCGGAAATGTACGCCCATACATCAAATGGCAATGGATGTCAGGAACTTGTCTTGAAGGTGGCTTATCATAAGTAGCTGTATCCCGTTGATATGGCGAAGAAGGGTCCCACTGAATCACCGTTTATCTCCCATTGCGGAGGAACAAGGATATGGTAGACGACTTGGTGAAATCGGTTGGTGGTGGGATCAATGATCTGCACCGAATAGACGGCAAACGACGATCACCACGATCATGAGCGGAGGAGCGCCGAAACCCGGCACCAAAGAGGTGGATGTGACCCTGAACTGGGCGGGGACCAAACATCAAAGGCCCGATGCACCAAGATACGGTAACGCTCTTCTCGTCTTTGAACTGATTAGACAGGGGTGCATCAAATATTGGATGCTGGAGAAGTCCGCTGTTACTCGAATTCTGTCCAACCTCGGATGGTTCTGAGAAACGTTTGCCACGAAACGAAGGGATCGGATTTAAAGAGTGATTGATAGCTTTCAAACGTGTAAAATATGGACAAGACAGTGGTTTTCTTTTCTTTTCCTTTTTTTGTTGGTTTATTTCCCCCATCGAGCCTGGTTGACAAAGTCTTCACAGGCAAGGCTGTTCTCCATTTCTCTTTCCGTTGGATAATCGAAGTACTGGTGGTTGTCATCGTCGTCGTCGCAATGGCAATTTCGCATTCGTCCAGATGGGAGGATATTGCCGCAGCCAAAGCGGCAGCTTTGATGGCGACTATCCCGGCGAAATGGGTAATTCCTGCTGATATTTTGCCGTCGTCCAAGCAGCTCGATGTGACCGCTTTCCCCCAAACTTCTGGATGGTTCACCACCGAAGAGCTGGAGATTACATCAAGCACGTCGTCTGAGATCGTCGACAAAGTTCGGACCAGAACTTGGAGCGCAAAGGCTGTGACATCAGCATTTTGCAAAAGGGCTGCAGCAGCACACCAACTAGTATGTGGATAGACTGCATCTTTGTGGATGATCCTCCTCAGGTCTAATTGCGACAGACAAATTGCTTGTCTGAGACTATGTTTCCCGAAGCTCTGGCATCCGCCGACGTGCTGGACAAGGCATTGACGCAGACGGGAAGAGTGGTTGGGCCTCTTCACGGGTTGCCCATATCGATCAAAGACAACTTTAACGTGGTTGGCAAAGACTCAACGGTTGGATTTGTATCGTGGTGCAATAAGCCACATCAACAGAATAGTGTTCTTGTTGACCTGTTAAAATCCCTCGGCGCCGTCGTCTATGTCAAAACAAATGTTCCGACGGCCATGATGATGCCAGAAACCGTGAACAATACTTTCGGAAGGTAATGAATACGAACGTCTGTCGTGGACCAGCCCTATCGCCGTGTTGACTCACCCTCGCAGGACCTTAAATCCCCTTCGACGTACCCTGAGCCCGGGGGGAAGCTCAGGAGGAGAAGCAGCCTTATTGGCATTCCAAGGGAGCCCTCTCGGGGTGGGGACAGACATTGGCGGCTCTTTGCGAATTCCCGCATCTGCCACAGGGATTTTTACTTTGCGGCCTTCGTTAGGCCGATTTCCGACCGGGGGTTGCACATCCGGGCTGGCAGGACAGGAATCGGTAAACAGCGTGAACGGTAAGCCTGCTGTCTGCGGTGATATGCCCCGAGGCTGACCATTGATACCTAGGCCCGATGGGGCCAGCCTTGTCTGATTTAAGCCTGTTCGCCAAGTCAGTTGTGGATGCGCAGCCCTGGTTGAAAGACCCTAAGGCGCTTCCCATTCCCTGGCGACAAGTTACGTTGCCCAAGAGATTGAAACTCGGCGTCATCTGGAATGACGGCTGTGTTACCCCCACCCCTCCCGTCCAACGAGCATTGAAAGCAACGGTCGAAAAGCTGAGACAAGCAGGACATGAAGTGGTCGAGTGGGATGGAACAAGTCACTCGAGAGCGCTCTCAATCCTGGTATGGCCCGGTTGGCAAAGCAGAAAAATGGTCATGCTGACTCTTAGATCAGTCGAGGTTCTTTGTAGCCGATGGAGGGAAGTCCTGTCGGAAGGCGCTAGAGTCAGTGAAGGAGCCTTTCCACGCCCAAATGAAGACATATGAAGAAGCCACAGAAATGGGTTGTTATGATCTGTGGCAACTTCACCTGGAACGCAATAAACTGTGCCAGGAATACCTTGACCGTTGGGCCGAAACAGGAATCGACGGAATTTTGAGTCCAACCACTCCGTTCAGCACCGTAGAGCATGGCAAATATAAACATGTCGGGTATACCGCGATATGGAACATTCTGGACTATGCGGTTGTTAATTTTCCGTCTAGCGTCAAGGTGGATCAGGATCAGGACTTGGTTGTTGATGGCTTCACGCCACTAAGTGACCTGGACACCGAGGTGAAAACTGAGTGTGAGTTGACCCATTGTTGATGCCATGGCCCTGCTCCATCCATACTGATTCCAAGTTCCAATAGATAATCCAAGTGCGGTCCATGGGATGCCTGTTGGACTACAGATTGTGGGCCGACGGTTAGAGGAAGAAAAAACGATTGCGATGGCCGAGGTGATACTCGAGGCGTTGAGAAGATAGACTAGAGGAGTCGATCCGAAGCATATATCGACGGGATTGTAGGAGTGAGAAGTCATTCTTCTGCGAGTAGAGGTTCGGGTGTTGAAGCGGAAAGTTTTCCGAAGCAGCCTCGTTCCATGCGTTAGCCTCTTTCTTGAAGCATTCAGTGTGAGTGGACTGAGTGCGACTAACTGTAGGTATCATGGCAGACAGTCTTTACGGTGTTAAGCCAGCCTCAAAGACAAAAGCCAAAGAAATATCTTCCTCCACCTCCCTCGCCTTCTCTACGAACCTAGCGTCACTAATCTCCAGTTCTTCCTCAACCAAAAACAAACCTACCACCGGCCGCCCTCGACCTTCCAAGGACAAGCTGGATATCTTCACGGCTCACAACAAAAACGTGAAGAAACGCTCAGCCGCCGATCTCGACGATGGCCGACAGCGCCACCAGACCCGAGACGACATTGGTTCGGTGGACGAGGCAGAGCTGCATCGGTCCAAGAGAAAAATGGAGGACAAAGTTCGTCTCTATAATGCTATGAAACGGGGCGAGTATATTGGAAGAGAAGATTATGACGATCGAGGTCTGGTCGACTTCGACCGGAAGTGGGCCGAGAATGAGGCCAAAGGTCAATGTCAAGATTCTGAAAGCTCCGATTCAGAAGATGCGGGGTCAGGTGATGAAGAAGACCTTGTAGAATATTTTGACGAATTTGGTCGACTCCGGAAAGGCACCAAAGCACAAGCAGCCCGTGAAGAGAGGCGAATACGTATGAAGGCGCGTGCTGCTGAGGAAGAGGAACGACTATCTGCCCGACCTTCCATGCCTTCCAACATTATATATGGTGACGCCATCCAACACGAGGCATTCAATCCCGATCAAGTCATCGCGGACCGCATGTCGGAGATTGCAAAGAAGCGGGACCGATCAGCCACACCTCCTCCCGACACCCATTACGATGCGAGTGCAGAAGTGAGAATCAAAGGCACTGGATTTTACACCTTCAGCAAAGATGCAGAGGAGCGAAAGAAAGAAATGGATTCTCTTGAAAGAGAGAGACAGGAAACAGAGAGAATTCGGAAAGAAAAGGAGGACAAGAGGGACCAGAGGAAGAAAGAACTTGAAGAGCGACGCAGACTCATTGCTGAACAGAGAGCCAAGGCACAGGCGGATAAGTTCTTGAATGAACTTGACCCTGAGGGGGTATAGGCGTTGGGGTTCAATCCTCTCACATGTGTGCTTACTTCTCCTTTGCTACAAACTCTAGTAATGTCTCTTCAGATCAAGTTTAATCAATCACCGCACGAGCGAAGTTAGGAAGGACATCTTCCTTTCTCATTCTTCAAACAAGATGGCAAGCAACACGGCCGAACTCACGTCAAACGAAATTGCTTCAAATCCCGGTTCGGAATGGCTTTCGCCGGTTCTGGGCTCGATGAATCTACCGCTCAGCATACCACTCGACATCCCTACCAATATTCCTTCCGCAGCTTCGCCAAGCCGTTTTCGAACATCCACGAGTGAAGAAGACGCTTTCAATTATTGATGTTTGCTGCCGGGATCTCTGCTTCGCTTGCGATCCAATTCTTCAGTCGACTTTGCAGTTTCCATCTCGTGGATCTGTTTCTTGATTGGACAAACTCCGTTGTCTCTGTTGATATCGAAGACCCTCTTTGGAATAGTGCCAGTGGCTCTATTATTCTGGGGGCTCACCGCTAAGGGATCGCAACCACTTTTACTCAGCTGCGCTTCATCGTGGAAACACATAGAGTACCGGTGAGTTGCTCAATGAAAAAAAAAAATACATACGGCATAAGCAGTGAACTAATCATTGAATCACTGTAAGAGTCACAATTTATCGCTACAAGGGACGGATTTTCTACGTTACAAGTACACCTGATTTAATCCGAACTCAAACTCGTTGCGCATCATCGACCTTTACACTCCAATGGCAGATTCGAATCGGTAGAATTCAAGTATACGCACCTCCATTGGGGCTCTGGAATCGGTGGAACTTGACTTCAATGTGAGAGAAGCCTTAATCTCCGATGTTCGTGGATGTCTTAAAAGGAAAGAATGACGCAAGAGCGGTGGCATTCCCTAGCGAAGAGGACATCTGCTTCGTGCCTCGCCCGGGGGGGAACAGGCAAGACTTCGATGATCACAACACTTGCTGCACATTTTCGCTTCCAGGGTATGCTATCAATTTTGTCGAGGATCCCATTGTCCTCTCGCAATGCCATGCAGTGAAATAAGAATCAATGCAACGCTGATGATATCTATGCTCCCTTAAACTCCGGATACAGCCTACACCTGTAGCAATGCAATGCTATGTATATTATATGATTAAAGGCCATCTTCTTTCTCAGTCACGTCCAAGGTCCTATCCAACATTATCGCACATCTTCATCCTCATCCTCATTAACCACCGATTTCCCCTTCTCATCCTATTAATCTTCTTATCTTGAGACCCCGAGAGGCCCCGAGGACTTCAACTCAACTTAAACGAGGAAAGCAACGACGCCAAATGCGCCGGCGAGCAGGGGAAAAGCATTGACATGGCTCGGTGACGATGCGGCGCCGGTGAAAATATCTGCTGTGATGCCTGTGCTTGAAGCGGTAGCAATGAATCCGGCAGTAGTGGAAGCAACTGCGGTTGTCACAACACCAGCGCCTGCACCAGCACCGGAGCACGCGAACCCCCCACAGCCACTTCCACTTGCATCCGAGCCAGAGCCAGAGAATCCCGTTGTGGCTGCAGGCATCGGAAATAACCCGACTCCACCGGTCGTGGCAGGACCTGTAGCCTGCGCTGTGACGAATGCGACCTGCGGGACTGTGACAGCCGAAGTAATCACAGTTCCAGAGGCCGTCTGCATGAACGTGACTGTCGTGACAGGGACAGCGACAGGCGCAGATGTTGGTCCTGCATTTGAGGTAGGCGGACGAGGACCACGACCGTTTCCATTCGTGACAGTCTGGGTCTGAATTTGAGTCTCGACCAAAGTCGCGGTAGCCGTTGCAGTTCCAGTTCCAGACGCAGCGGGCGTCGGGATCAACGTGATGGTATGCGGCACGCCTGTGCAGATACCGGGATTCTGAGGCACGAAGTCCGCACAAATGCCAGCGAGATAGGATAGAGCAGCGGTGATTTCGTCGTCGGATCCGGCCCAGGCGGACACACAAGCTTGCACGTTGGAGATGATGTCGGCACTGGGGCAGAAGCAGTTGACGTCGCTGTTGGAGGAGCACGTGGGCACGAGGCTGAGCCAGGTGTTCAGGCAGCGAGGGAGAACGGAGGGGCAGGGCGCAGAGGATTCAGGCGGTGATGGGCTGACAGTGGTAGAGGTCGAGGGTGGCTGAGTTTGAGTTTCTGGTGGAGAAGTGGTGGTCTCGGTGGATGGGGAAGGTGTGGCTGAAGAAAAGGTCGAAGGGGGAGGACGATTGCATCGAGTGCAGACGGTGGATGTCGATGTCATGATGACGGTGGAGATCGTGCTTGTTGTCTCGGTCACGGTTTCTGTGCCGGTCGTACGAGTGAACGTTACAGGACATGTGGTGAGAGTCGACACAATTATTTCAGTGGTGAGTACGTCGGTGGTCTCTGTCTGGGTCTCGGTTGTTCCTGGAATGGTTTCAGTGGGTATTGTGGTGGTAATGGCTGGTGTCGTTGTGATAACAGGAGTGGTTGTGATGGCGGTGCTAGGGGTCTCTTCACCCGGCTTTGATATTGTGCTCGTGCTCGGCGTCTCCTCAGCGGACGTGGGGGTGGTGGCGGATGTGCTTGAGATTTCCTCCGGTTTTGTGGTAGTGGCAGTGGTAACTGTGCTGCTTGTAACAGGAACGACCTCGGGAGTGGTCGTGGTGGTCTCAATCTTGGGGGTTGTTGTGATCGTAGTTTCCACATTGGATGTCGTTGTCACTGCAGAGGTTGTCGTTGTTGTGACAAGGGTAGTGGTGATTGAGGCTGGCGATGTTGTTGTTGCTGACGAAGACGAAGAGTGACAATCGAAAGCAATGGAATGAATGCCGATGTCACAGTCACTCTTATCGCTGCTGCTTGGAGGCAATTGGAAAGATACCGATCTTGCTCCACCGCATTGGGTGTTTTCCACAGTGGTGCCACCTGGTTGGCAGGCTGCTGTGTGTTTGCAAGTCGAGCCATCAGGCATGGAGAAGATGAAGTCCAAGTCTGTGTCAAATGAAACAGACACTTGCATATGAGTGATGGAGAATTTCTCGTCTTGCGCACAGGAGAAATTCGGCCCCCTATTGGCTGATTGACCTACTTTGCCTTGAATACATTTGGACTGCCAATGGTTAATCGAAGGTCCCTGGGCGGTGACGATATCGAGCTCACCTGAAAATCTGATCGAGTTTGAAGAGATCTCTTTTGACTGGGTTGGAAAGAGTCTTTGCAAGAGAAGCCATTGAAGCCAAAACCACCGTAGCTGTTGAAACCACCGGTTGGCAAACCAGACCAGTCAAATCCGCTTTGCTGATCGGCAGAACAGTTGTTGTTGGTGTTGGAAGGGTTGGCAAAGCTGGGAGCATCACCCCAACTCACAGCGGTAGCCTGCTGCAAGACCAAGACGGAGACCACAAGACCAGCAGTCAATGCGGGTTTCATGGTGGCGATCGTGGAAAGCAAAAAATTGATATGAACGAATGAAGATATTCAGGAACAATGGACTTTGGCCGGGAACGAATGTTGGTAACGAAGGACTGTATACAAAAAGGAAAAGAACTGGGAACACCAGAGAGGAGTATGATTAGGAGGATGGAGATGTGAAAAAAGAGAGAGAGAGAATGGCTTCTCGAGGACATGCTCAAGCATTTGTATGGTAGAATGCTGACCCCAACTTCGTCTGGATTCATCGTGATCAGAAGATATCCACTATCACTTGACGGGTCACCAAACTATCTTGCCAAAGTGGAGCCCATTTCAAGACATTATGAAGAGGACTTTCTCGATCGCGCGCGCCAGTGTGAAGCTGCAAGTTGTAGAGAGACCGTCAATGGATGATGTAGCGACCAAGGCTTCAAAGAGAGGTGCTCGATATAGCAAAGGCTGAAACGCGGCTGGGTCACGACAAAGACCGATGGCGGTAAGGTCCATCGAAGAGACGGAGAGGTTCCCGGAGGAGGATAGATTTCGAAACTGAAACGAATCAGGAGTCATGTCTCGGACTGGGATGCCGAACGAGGCTGGACTCCTGCGGAAGAGCAGTGAAACTAGACAGAAAGAGGCTTGAAGTCCACTATCGAGGCAGTGCCCACCCTTTGCTTCTGCATCCGGTAGCAAACGGGTGGAAAGGGCGCGTCGTTGAGAACTGAGGTCAAGCTCCTCGCGCGTGTAGAAGCAATTTGCCAAAATTGCAGTGGTTTGAAGACGCAGCGCAGCAAAAGTCGAGGGCGGATCTGATTGGCTGCACATTGACTTCACCCACCGAGTCTATTTCGAGACACCCAGAACAGAGCGCTTGCAGCCTTGTCTTCAACGACAAACACACTTCGCACAATGTTGCTCGAGTCAATAGCAACTGGTGCTGGTGATAATAATGTCATGACTATCTCCTGATCTCGTGAATGGTGCTGTGTTTGTCCACCAGCTTCTGCCTCCTTGCCCCTTCGCTCCAATGCAGATCCGGCCCACGGAATGCTCTCCCGAACTCCATACGAAAAGCGTCCTCTGTTTCCCAGTCTGGATTAGTATCCCCCGAGTCACATCTTTCCCCTGACCCATGAAGCTGTCCCTTAGTTAGACCTGCTCTACCCCCTTGAGGAAGATCTGGACAAAAGATGGAGGATTATTCCTATTTCTATACAACAATAATGGCCGCTGTCGTGGAAAAGATACACTTGATCCGGTGCATCGCATGTGCACTTCGAAGGAAACTTCAAACATAAGAGGAAGATTGGAATACACGAAGCTTGACCTCCTTCGTCTGAGACCACCACATAATTCAAGCGTATTGCTATCCAGTTCATTTCGCCGCCAATCACGCCATGTCTTTTTCCTGCAGGTGGTCCTCATCCCCCCACCCGGAATGTGCCTTTATTTCACTCTTAACACCGGACGCCATGCACTAGTCATAAAGTCATGAATCCATATCAAGAACGATCAACGATCTCGACGCCTCTCCAGCGTCAGGCCTGTCCATTTTCCAAGGGAGGCCCATTCGTGGCTGCCGAGCTTGGGGTCGATACCGGCGCTGCGGCACTTTCTTCGGGGCTTAATTTAGAACCATTAACCTCACCGTTAACGTGACCATTGAAAGCCGATTCCCCAACCGGCGAGGGTTCTTTCGGGGATATCTGCTCGTCCGTCTCCCCCCTCCCCCATGGAGGACTGCTGGAGGGGTTGGTTTCTTCGTTCACTTCCGCTATGGCCGAGTCGACCTTTTTCATCACTCTTCGAAACGGACGTCTGACTTTGGGCTTTTCCGTTGGAACAGCCTGCTCAGTCCCGTTTGTATCCGTCTTCACATTGTCCGAACCGCATCTCATCATTCCATTGGCCTTATCACCAGGAGTCATGGTAGCGTCGGGGTTTTTGGTAGCAGCATCCGTCGCCAACTTGGTATTAGTGAGATACTCATCCAACATGGCTTTCAACGCAGTCTGTCGCACTGGTTTGGCCAGGTAGTCGTTCATTCCCGCTTCCAAGCATTTTTCTCTGTCCCCGCGGATCGCGGAAGCCGTCATGGCAATGATCAACACTTGGCTGACTTGGGGGTCAGGATCGGCTCTGATCGCCTTGGTCGCTTCATAGCCATCTAGCACGGGCATTTGGACATCCATGAGGACCAAATGGAAAGGCTGGCCTTCTTGGCTTTTGGCTCGTAGTGCTTCGTAGGCCAGTTTGCCGTCTTCATAAGCTTCACATTTCAGACCAAGCTTGTTGACAAACGAAATTGCAATCTTTCGGTTGATCTGATTGTCTTCCGCGATGCACACGCGTAATTCTGAGTGAGGAATCTTGCTCAGATCGCAGAAGCTGATCTTCTTCTGTTCCGTCTCCGGACTGGTGGCCTGTGACCAATTTGCCATCGGGTCTGGATCTTTTGCTGAAATTTCCATATCATTCGGGACGCTGCTGTTCTTCGGGGCTTTCTGGAACGTGAGAGTAAAGGAAACGGTGGTGCCTGCACCAGGGGCCGACTCGATCCAGATCTTGCCCCCCAGAACATTCTCAATCATGGCCTTGCAGATACTGAGCCCGAGGCCGCTCCCGCCATAGGACCGCGCCGTCGACGAATCGGCTTGGGAAAATGGTTGGAACAGTCGTGAAAGTTGCTCCTGTGTGATGCCAATACCCGTGTCGGCCACCGAACATGTGATCTTGACTCGGTCTCTGGTTTCAGCATTCTTTCGGGCCTGCACCGTCACCGATCCTTTCGGTGTGAATTTGTAGGCATTGCTGAGCAGGTTCATGAAAATCTGGTGGAGGCGCACGGGGTCACCCAGCACCAAATTGTCGTCGATCTGCAGATCCTCGATCGTCTGGAGCCCATGTTCTTGATTGGTGTACGCCAGCGCCCGAACCACCTCGGTGATGGTCTCCTTCAAGTTCAAGGGAACGGTAAACATTTGCATCTTCCCCGCCTCCAATTTGGAGAAATCAAGTATATCGTTAATAACGGTGAGCAGCGTATCGGCACAGACTCGAATGCTATCCGCGTATTGCTCTTGGTCTTTGCTCAAGGGAGTGCCTTTGAGGAGCTCGGACATGCCGATCACACCGTTCAACGGCGTCCGCAATTCATGGCTGACGTTGGCCAGGAAAATCGACTTGGCTCGAGCCGCCTCCTCTTTCAACTTGACGTTGTGCATGGCCTCCGCTTCGGCCTTTTTGGCCTTGGCTTCGGCCTCACGAGCCGCAGCGAGAGATCGCTTCTGAGATTCCACCATACTCGCATTTGATGCGCTCACTTTGCCGACCTTCCGGTACAGAAGAGCATTTCCGAGAGAAATGGCCACTTGATTGGTGAGAAGATTGAGGACGATCATGTTACGTTGAGTAAATGCATTGGGCCGACCTTCCAGGTGAATTACACCCATCAGATGGTCGGCTTGGATAATGGGGATGGCAATGATCGATCGTCCCGAGGGATTCCTGGCCAAATACGCGTCGCCGACGTTGGAGAAACGGTCATCTTCCAGCACATTCGGCACAAAAACGGTTTCTTTGGTGCGAAGCAAGTAGTGAGTAATCTGCTGCGCGGCCTGATCGTCCACTTCGGAAAACGGTATACCATCGGGGTAGGTCTTGACGCCTGTTTCATGATCTGCACTCGCTGCGACGCACCAACCTTGATCCTCGGAGTCAATGATGATGGCGCAAAACTCCGCTTGACCTCCGACGGATTCGAGGATGACCGATATCATCTTGGAGAGGAGGTTGTTGATCTGGAGCTCGGAGCTGATCACCCGGGAGAACTCCAGGATGGATGTGAGGTCGAGAATATCCAGTCCAAGACCAGGGACATCTTGGGTCGTTTGGGAGGGCGCCATTCCCTTTGGTTGGACCCAAGCACTGGTGTATTCGTGCTTATTCGGGGCCTGTATTTCCTCCGTCACCGTCAATGCATGCAGATCTTGAGTCTGCGTTGCCGAGTCCATGGTCCTTGAAGTGGTGGCAGTCTTGATCAACCACTCGTGCTTTGCTGACAACTGCTTGGCCTTCCCACCGGCATTGATCCGGTTCCAAGCGGCAATGGCTTCATGGATCATGACTTTACCCGCCCTTTTGGCTCCTCGGGCCAGAAGGAATTCGCCCTGCATTTCCACAGCCATAGCCTCCTCCAGGGCGAAACCATGGACTTGGCAGTGATCGATAGCCATTTCCAGGTTGGAAATGACGTTGTAGTAAACGTGTGTGAGGTCAGCAATGGCGGCCTCTAAAATCCGAGACCAGGCCAGGTAATTCACGTCGTTTATTCTTCCCCAGTCATCGATAAATTGCTTCAAACGCCTGGCCTCTTCGATGTATGGTTCCCGCTCTTCCTCGGGTTTTCCCTTGGCGACAGCCAGCAGGGACAGGGCCAAGAACAACCGGGTGCCGCATGCTGGTCTGTTAGACCACAGTTCATCGAGAGTTGTCGAGATCAATTCTCTCCCAACTTCAACCACATACTCGTAGTAACCCATGAGGTAGTAAACGATCAGAGACACCGCACGATAAATATCCCGAGGTCGCGTTGGATTGCCCACGTACAGTTCGCACTCGGCCAGCCACGTCTCAGAATTGTGTTCATGATCGTCTAGGAGGGTCTTGACGTCGTCGAGGTTGGTCTTTCCTTGCAAGGCCCGAGCAACCTGTCGTGCAACCATGAGAATGGTCCCACCGCGCCGATCTTTGTCCCAATCCTCAAACTCCTCTGGCCCGTAGTTGCAGAATGTCTCGACCTCTGCAAGATCTTGTCCAGCCCAGAGCCGATACAGCGCCATCGTGCCGATGTTGAGGATGCTCACGAATTTGTCCCCGGACGATAAGGAGTATTCAAGCGCATTATCCAGGATAGGGAGGAGGTTTCGGACCGGGGCCTGGAAGTGGCCCACAAAGAGCGCGTACAACGTCCAGCCTCTGCCACGGGTCCAAGGATCATCGTAGAGGGTGTAGAACTCCTGTGCAATCTCACCAATGGACAGACCCAACTCAATGTCTTTGTATCGACCTATGGCGGCAGCACCAAGCATGGTGAAGCCCAAACCAGCTTGAACGAAGACGCCGCGGTCCAAGATTGTGGACACGTAGGCGATGACCAATTGAAACCAAAGGAGCGAGTTGGACCAATACAGCGCGCCCAAAGCTTCACTCAACACGGTGCCCAAAGCGATCACGGATTTGTCTTCGCTCAAAGGAGTGGAAAGAAGTTCCTCTCGATCCAGCTGCCGGAGCCGGAACTCCAGCTTTTTGAATTCAATATCGCACTCGTCCCAGGTGAGATGTGGGATGGACAAGCCCAGTTCGATGAGACTTTCTTTTTGGGCAGCAAACGCATCGAGGTATTTGCCTTGTGTAGCCAAGATCCGCCCTTTTAAGATGTAAGACCTGGTCTTGTCGGCCGAACACCGTGCGTGGGCAAACGTCTCTTCCAACAGTTGTAGGGCCTCTTCTTCCTCACCTTGTACGTGCATGATTTCGGCGGCATTGACGTGAAGTTGGAGAGTTTCGTCATAAAACACATCCGGGTTATCCGTGTTCCATTTGTCGTCTTGTAACAACTTGACGGCAGTTTTGTAGTACCAGAGCGCCGTGGGCTTTGCGCCCGTCTCCATGGCCTTCTGTGCCCCTCGCCAAAGAACGTCTCGGTAACGCATCCGGCTGGGGATTTTCTCCTTGACGAGGTCTGAGGACAGACAGATGTGACGCGCCAGAGGGTACAAATTATGCTTGCACTGGCTGAGGTATGTTATCATGGTCTGTGCTATAATGAAATGCATCTTGGTCGTATTCTGGCACTCACGCATTTCGTTTGCCGCTCTCAGATATCGCGCATGCGTAAACCGGAACTCGTCGTCTGTCTCGCCCGGAGTCACGATGTACATATTGACCAATTGTTGAAGTCCCGTGACACAGTCGCTCTCGGAGAGATTGAAAAGTTTGGCACGTTTGGGACAAGTCGCATCGTTGGCCTGATCTCGTCCACTGCTGTAGAAATATTCACCACTCATAATGGTCTGAATCAGCTTGAAAGAGAAATTGGTTCCGATCAGTGAGGCCCATGCCAGGATCGACCTCGCGGCCGGGGGAAGTTCTTGAAGGCGCCTTGTCATGTAGCCGTTATCGAAGCATCCTTCGGAGCTGAACTCATCGAAAATCTTGTCCAAATCAAACTGCCAGCCGGATTCTCTCCAGTCGTACCACAAGCAGTTCCGTTGATAGCAGGTTTGAAGAATATCTTTGACCAGGAAGGGGTTGCCTTCTGACTTGGCATACACAACGGCGGCGAGTGGTAAAATCGTCTCCACGCTTTGAGACATGGTGGCCGCAACATATTCAAAAACATGCTTTTCGCGGAGATTTCCAAGCTCAATCTTATTTGTCGATTCGAGATCGAGAATTTTGGCGGTCGCGTCATGAATATTGCCGTCCTCGGTTCTGCTCGAGAGGATTAATACGACCGGAACTTTTGCTTTGATAATGTGCATGAGCAACTCCATTGATTCTCCATCCGCGGCTTGCAAATCGTCTAGGCATAGACAAATCAATTTTCCTGTACAAATAGTCCGCAGCACATCCATGTACGTATTAATGAGTCGGATTGATTTGGTGTTGGCGGGCCCCCGGAGGAAATCGTTGGCGTCCCAGGGACCGTGATTGAAGGGTCCATTATTCGTCTTGGGCGCACTCTCAACGGTGGCAACCTCGGTATTGACGCTTTGCGTGGTGTCGTTCTTGACCAGGAGCTTCTTTGAAAGAACTGTGACATCCAGCAAGGTTGCGGGTAGATCCAACATGGTATGCAAAATAGGCCAGAATGGCGTTACATGCGCTCGCAGATGCTCATGATAGGGCGTATTAACATCTTTCTCGGAGAAAATTTGTCTGAAGAGACTGGCCATCACCTTGACGAGTGGCTCGAACGGCAACGGACGAGCCTTGTCAAACCTCGCCAGAGCAAAATATCCGTGACGGCGAATCGCAGGTTGGACCGCTTTAATGAGAGCAGTTTTGCCCACACCGGCGGGCCCGAGAATGGTGATTACCTCGGTTTTGGTTCTTCGCTTGTATTTGTGACTGTTTCTTCGTCTGGTCATCATTCCAGGCAGGGAGTCAGAACCAGGTTGTAGCCCTCCGGAGAGATTGCTATCACGATCAGACACCACGTCCAAGGGGTTACCACGAGAGTCGGTCACGCCCCGACCACGCTTCCCCAACAAATTGGTCTTGCTTCCAAAGGATGGAGTAAAACCAGGACCGTCCAGTCCGATGGTTGTGGAATTACTTCGAGATTCCCGGAAACCAAAAGAACTCGACGAATCGGAACCCTCTCCGGGCTCTGGACCATCCGCACGGCTGTCCGAGATAGAGGAGTTTGAAGCAGCATTTAGAAGACCATGTTGTGATGGAGAATGGCGCGCCCCGCTTGAATTTTGTCGTTTATGAGCTTTGTCGATGATCTTGTGGATACGGTCCATCTCGGCGCTTCGTCCGAACTGCTTGGTCGGCAAGATGAAAAAAGACGACACATCCCGCTGTCCGACCTTGTAATTTTTGATCTTCTCTTGATCGCCTTCGCCCAAAAATTTCTGGATTTGCAATAAATCATACTTCAGACCATTGATTGAGTGATATCGCTCGTCCATTTGCTTCTGGGTCATTTTGGCAATAATGTGCGAGATCGCATCGGGAATGTCCATGCGGATCGCGGTAACCATCGGCAACCGGTATGTCAGGACACGTTGCACAATATCGATGGGAGTTTCTGCATCAAATGCGGGCTGGCCGGTCAGGAGGGTCCAGAAAAGAATCCCCAAGCTGTAGATATCGGTGCGACTGTCGGGTTCTGCAGCGAGTCGACCAGTTTGCTCTGGGGCAATGAACTGCAGCTTGTTCTTCACTCCAATCTCCCTGCTTAATGTGGCCCATCCTTCGCTAGAGAGGAGATTCTCAAATGCCCGAGGCCCATTTCCACCATTGACGAGTTTGACCGTGTTCATTTCACGGTTCCAGTGAAAACTGTCGGCACGAATTTCGCCATGAACGGTCTTAGCGCCATGGTGGAGTAGTTCGAGCGATTCTGACGCACCGATGGCAAAATCCAGAAATGCTTGAAGCGGAACTCGTTCCCCGGGCGTCCCATCCGCACTCGGTCTGTGATTGTGCAGTCCATAGAAAGCCGGACCAAAATCGAGGATCTCGCGTAGGTAATTCTTGCCAGGAGCCTCATAAACACACACAATCATAGAATGGACATCACCCGGTGTTGTAGGCAGCCTAAACATTTCAATGGGTCGTATGGTATGCTCGCATTCTGGATCGTGTTCTTTGATGATGGCCTGGTTGCATTGAAACTCTCTTTCCAACCGAAGCACATGTGTGCTAATGCGGGCCATGACGGGCTGCCATATTGGATCCGGATCACCTCTCGACGATAGATTCTCGCTGTCGGTTGAAGCACCACTCATGCTACTCCAGTGGTGATGTCTGAGCGAAGGACGGTGAGGATCGAGCTTCGGAGAGCTTCTGGTGGAGCCGGACAATGCGGAAAAGCTGGTCAACGTGCTTATAGACGCGCGAGGATTGAGAATCTCGGGATTATGTAGGATTCCGTAGACATGCCTTCCCAGAAACACCACAGATTAGTTTCGTGAATATGCGCAGCACGTCGGTTGTGTCTCGGGGTGACTCACCAGTGATCGTAGGTGGAGTGAAACGGCGCAAACTAGGCACTGGTCAGCTTTTTCCTCATCCCAACTGCAATCTCAAAAGTCTTACTGAGCGATCCCAGGTATAGTTGGGGACTTGTGAGAGGCGTTCGAAGAGTCTGGCCGGTGGGAGCGGCAGATCCTCGCCCAGTATGTCATCCATCTTTTTCTGGCAATTAGGAAACGTTTGACGTTTCCGCGGTCATGTCATGGTGGGGGATTTAGGGTCTGGAGTTGGAAGACGATGTCGACGACGGCAGCGACAGCAGGCACAATGGTAACACCCCGGGGATGGCGGAATGAATTCGTATCGATGGAAAGCGGAAGATGGGGAGATGGAGATCGACTGAACGTGGACATGGAAGCGATACGGTGATGATTAAGCTGTGGATGACCTGCCATATAGGGCGTCTTAACACAGAATTAGGGAGTTGCGTAAGTCGATGTTAGAGCGCCCTCCCGGGCCAGGGGGGAGAGGAATTGTGGTGAGTCAGCAACTGAGAGCAAGCCCAAAAGAGACGAATCGTGGGTGTCACGCCACTAGATCATTCAAAAGCCTAAAATAGCCACCGACGTATGCGACGACTTGAAGTTGGGGCCTCCGAAGTCGTTATTGGCGGAAGCGCAAGCAGCAGCCAAATAGACAATCACTTGCAGTTTCAGGCACCTTTTGGTGCTTCATGCCTCTGAAATGCCCATCACGACAATCCTTCCCCCGCGCGGATGCCCATTTGCCGAGCAACGAAATTTGAAAGAACAAGCCGACTCCTATCGGGATAACGAAAACGGCCATCGCTTGGCATTCAGGTGATAAAGACTTTTGATGGATTCTACAGCCATGAAACAGCTTGATGTGCTATATAGTCGAAAGAAGAATTCTCCTATGGATATGAGGAACGAATATGAGATGTTTTGACCAATGTTGACGGCGGCCTTAGGCATCAGTAGCTTGATAGACTGTGGAGTCTAGAGAAGAGAGAGCAAGACGAAAAGAAGGGCGCAAGTTGCCAAGCCAAACAGCCTCACGTGACGTTGCCAAGGCAACCATTCACGTGACTGGCCAACATAGCTGACTACAATGCGGAAACCCCAGAAGGCTGGAGCAATAGAGAATTGGGCCCCCTGGCTGAACTGTGGTCTCTCTCTCTCTTCTGTTATTCTGCCACTTAAGCTATCCAACACACCACTGCTGTTGCGCACCGTATTTCGTGTCCAGGACTAATTCCCACTGAGATTTATTTGGACTTCTAAACCGATTCTCCTTCATCCAATCGTAGTCAGGCAACGTATGCCCTCTCATAACCCGAATAATGAGAACGAGACAAACATACGTTCCGTACCAGATATTGAACTTGTTGCAGCAATTTGTAAGCAGCGCTCCTCGAACAGGAGCACAGGAGTCTGAAAAGCGGCCTTCCAAGACGATCGAGATCTGAGAATTTGGCCCTGGCTTTACTGCGTTCCAAGAATCCTCAGGTAAGAGCGGACTTCCGTCAAAGCATGCTCCAAAATGCTCATGAGCGTATTCGCTAATGCAACAATATGTGGTCTCGCCACTGTCCTCGCTAAATCTGAACTCTGGTGACAAAGGATTTGAGAGTGGCCGAAAAGTAAAGCCCGAAAATGATGCCATGAGTCCGAGGTCGCTGATTTGAACTGAAGGGGTCGTATCTCTGGTACGACCGGCGGGCTCGTCGCTGTCGCTGTCGGATTCCTCCCCTAAGTTGTGCATCCCTCGGTCAAATCCGTCGGCGTTAACTGCTCTTGACAGCTCCGAACCATCAACCGACTTCAGAAATGTCCGAGGTGCCCAGCGGTATCCTGTCAGGGTCATTTTGGGAAAATTGGCAAACAATATAGTCGGCGAGATGACATCTCCAATGATGGACAAGAAGGCAGTCCACCTTCGGTCGGCATCGTTCTCTCTGAGGACCGCCTCTGAGCCTTCGTTCAACAAGGTCGCAAGGCAAATGGCTTCGTCGGAGGCTTTGCTAGTTTCCCTACTTCGGACTTCGGTAAGGATCTGAAGCAATAACTCGGCCTTTGTTTGTATCGATACCGGGTTTAGCATCAGACTGGGAGGAAGGACGTTCATCGACAAAATGGCCGATGGACAAGCCATAAACTTGGTTGCGACGTCGATCTTATCCTCGGTGTATCTGAAAGCGGAATGAGACTCGGGTATCTCTAACGATTCAGCTTCCAGCAGCTCATCCGACAACAGAACAAGAGATCGAGTCGGCTCGTTCAGGTCATCAAGCGGCACGACATCGTTATGCAAAAGCTGGACAAATACCCTGTCGTTTAGAGACGCTTCTTGTAGAGTCCACAATCTCCCGCACCAGGGAGAGACGCAGACGCGAGACATAAGTTCTTCGACGGGTGCATACCGGTCCCCCTGCGCGATCAATTCGGCATCCTTCACCAAGACAGCCGTGGCCTTTTCATAGACCGCCCGCATATCTCGGATTGCCATCTTTCTTGTTTCGCGGCTCTTGACCGGCACACAGAGGGTATCGATCCAGAAATAAATTCTCTCTAGATGTCTCGCTGCACGCATACGTAGGCCTTCAGGAAACATTTCATCGAAATACTCGGGATTCACCGTGATCATGTGCTGCAGCTGCGTCCTGAGCGCCTTCAGCTGACATATGAACAGCGTGTTCTCCTTGGGATTTCCTAATCCATCAGACCATCTGCCTTTCGTTAACCTTGCCTCTGAATTGGCTTCCCTCACCGGGACAGACTCACACGTGTGATATTGCCACATACGGAGTATTCGGTTCATACGCGACGACTTGAAGATCCAGCGAATCGTCCCATTTTCCATTCGGGAGGTTTCTTGCGCATGAAACCGATATCACCGGAATATTGCCGTCTCTGATGATGGCATTGAGCTTCTCCATATCCGGACCAAGGTGACCTCCACACTTGCAGCTCATGCGCTTCGTGATCATTTTCGGGATGTGAGCGTGCATAAAAGATATATCTAGAGGACGGTGTGCCGTAACATACGTGTCATCCAGCACGTCATTGGCCGCACAGCGTTTCATCGAGCAACGCGAATGGTCCTTCTTGACCGTCGGCGGACCGAGTAGCTTGATGTAGTACATGGTCAGCACGTTGTCATGCCGTCTCCATAGTTTGGTGATCTGTCCTGCACACCAGCCCTCTTCAACCATCAGCAACGAGAGCCAGGGACATTGCGGCACCTTCAATCTCCTTCGAGGATCATAGATAATCGTGTGAAAGTACTGAATCGAGGCCAGCAAAACAACTATCGATAGTTCGACTTCTCCAGGAAGACAGTTGCGCAAATATGTCGCCTGATCGGTACTGCCAGCAGAGCGTAACTTTCGATTAAATAATTGGATTACCTCGGAGACGATGGTGAAATTGTATCGGATTCTTTTTTCGTGATCCAACTTGATAGATACTGGCTGATGCTTTTCTTTGTCGTACCATTGCTGCAATCTTTTACCGAGTGTTCTTGTCGTAACGAAGGCCTTCTTTTTCGGTCTCTTTACAAGCTTGGAGGTGTATCGTACGAAGTCACTCTTGATGAATGTGATTCCGCAGATTTGAAATATTGACTTGAGTAGATCAAAGAATAGCCATTCTTGAAGCAAGGCTGCCACCCCAGCGCTGTCCTTGCTTTCGCAATCCTCTTCCAATAGCTTTTCCGAATTCCGTCGGATCCGGGCAAGAGATTCCTGAGAGGGTTCCAAATCGTATTCACGGTGGTTGATAAACCGGGGGCCTCCACCGAGCCACGGTACGCGAACCACTCGAAAAGGATGCTCAGGCGTGGGTATGTGATCCATGGGTCATTAGGGAACTCCGCGACGTCTTCGAGGAGAGGTAAAATGGACGAGGGCATTTCGAAGTCGCCTTAAATGCCGTTTTGCGGAGGAAGTCGAAGGGAATCAGACCACCCACATTCGCAATGAGCCATTGGCGTCGCTTCTTTCACCGTTTACACTCTGGTGGGTCTTGGTGAAGAATTGTGCCACCAATCAACTATACAAGTACTGTTATTCGTGTAGCTAATGTACACAGCAATAATATTATTTCATTGTTCAACAATACGAACACCTGCGAATGGTAACCAAACCTAAAAGGGATATGCCGGACCTTCCGGTGTGATTGTCGGAGTCCAGGAAACTAATCTGGCTTTCCGGAAGGCCGATGGTCAGGCGGAGATGTGCACAGTCCGGAAATTGAATCTTCCACTGACGGAGCGGTCGAGAATGCCCCTAATATTGAGACCGCGAACCAGCAGCGTTCAAATCGAAACAGATCCGGGATCGAGCAATGAGGCGACATCAAAGAACAACCGACAACGGCTGTTTGACCGAGACGAGGTTAATCCGCAGATCCTTGGCGACGACAGTAGGGCACAAGAAGGGGAGACAAGCTCCATTTCTAGATCTGCATTGATTATACCCGAGCGACGTAGTAATGAAGTTGATGGCCGTCAAGCACCACATCCTTTCCCTTCCTGAATCCATATCACGTGTTGAGGGTAAAGATTAGGAAGAATCGCTAAGACTAGCGAGAAGAAGTGAATGGAGACGATCGAGAAGAGATGGCAAAAGAAGACGATGGGAACGAGGGTGGAACAGACCCTGAAGCCAAGTGGGACTGGTAGCAGAAGCGGGGAGTGAAGATGACGACGAGGCCGGTCATGATGAAGAACAGTAGCAACAGCAAGCGGAGTACGAGAAGATCCGTATAAGAACATTGGTGCCAGCAGTTTTATCCCGGCCAAATATGCAGCGCAGTCGTCAAAAAAGCGGTCATATCGTTTCTCTATCCTCGAAATGCCAATGAAGAGACCGAAATTCGCCAGTTCTACAGCAGTAAATCCTCCGCTATCGTCACCCGTGAGAGTCCCAAAGTCTCTTCCCCTGCACCGCAAAAGGCCGAGGGCAGCCTCTTGAGGTGTGCTAGACGACCTTGGGCCTCCGCTGGATTTTGGCATTGCCTTGCATGTTGGGCACGTGACCCATGATTTGAATCATCAGTTCCTGGTCTGCCCTCGACCATTGCAGTATGCAGAATTACTTCCCCAAAAGTGATCGGAACCAACGAGATTGAACGTGAGGACCTGGCATTCCGGTTGCTACACCACTCGTTTTGATATGGCGTCAAACTTTGACCTGCGAAGCGCTGACGATGAGTTCTTGGGCTTTAAAAAGTATTAAGGGATCGAGGATGCTTGCCAACGACAGAGGATACTTAGACACACAGGAATGATATGTTTGTGGTTACCGTCAATGCCGTCCTTGGCCTTTTCACCTCATCCAGAGATATGTGCCAAGTGCCAGAAACTATCATCATCCGCCTTCCACGCCCTTCCTGACACAAGCATGTTGTCGCAGCATTTGTGATAGGCGGTGTGATCTCAAGATGATTTGTTGTGGCAATGGTCGGAGAGATATTACTGCGGCCGGTGGTAGTGCTTCCAATGTCATGGCTGCCAGAACCCACCGTCACATTTCCCGCGTGGCCGGTGGTTGTATTGCGGCCGCTCGCGCTCGAACCGGTCACCGTGGTAGGCAACAACGGTATGGACGAGAATATGAACGAGGCCGGTCGCCCCGCATCACTCGCAGGTATTGCTGAGCCAACTGCACTGTTTGTGAATGGCGTCGGGAGGGTCAATGTTGAGGTATTTGGCTCATCAATTGCATCCCCTTGGGAGACGTTTCCAGTCTCTTTGTTGACTAACCGATAGTACCCCGTGACCAAATTTGCGTTGCCGCTTGCATGTGTTGTGAAATTACCTGTGGTGATCAAGTGGCAGGAGCCATCAGGCAGGTAATAGTTGTGGTGAATCGATCCTAAATGTATTGTTCAGTCCGAATCCTAGTCAATGCGAAAGTCTAGTTACTGAGAGCCAGGAGGCATTGGGTAGTCTATCCACCTGATATTCATCAGCCTTGTCTGTTCACAACCATGGCGTTGGTTTGCCGCAAATGGCGTCCGGCGTCTCTTGTTCTGAGAGCAGAACCGCTAACATCCGAAGTTCCACTGAATCTCGCAGGCTGATTGATTGTTTCGAAGGGATTCAAACACAGCCTAGCCAGACCAGGGCCAATCTCAGGAATGTCTCGAAAGAGCCCGTTGGTGAGCGAAAATTGGCCCCCTGGCCGCATGATCGACATGAACCAGGATTGGAAAGGCATACATGGAATGCAGAAGTAAAGTACAGGCACAACGCGGACAAAGATAGACAGGATCATTTTTGCCTCGGGGCAGTCTCAATCCTTTGATGGAGTAGAGAGGGCAATAGATATGACACACGAGAGACGGAAATTATGCCAACGTTGCAGGCTGAATTGTAAAGTGAGGTGAGTTGAGATGAAGGAGGACGTCGATTCTGTGGGCCATGTTACTGCAGACAGAATCCGAACGCAGAGAGAATTTGCGTGCCCTGCGGAAGGGAAAGCGCAGCAATTCGCAGTCTGTCGACCACTTGCACACTTTGCGCACCTCAAGTTTTAATACTTGCAGGCATTCTCAGAGCTGTCTTTTCGAAAATTTTCAAGATGATCCTGATCGGGCCACTGGTCTCCTTTGCACTGAGCCTCGTGGGCAGACTCTTTGTGATCAACACGACTAGTGAACTTAAGCCTTTTTTGGCGTGTTTCTATGACAGAAAGCGACCCCACCCATCAACCTGGTGCAGATCCTCGAGATCAAATCTTGCGGATGGGCACCTTCTGCAGGGTCAAGAAGAAGCAACAACGAATCTGTCAGGCACAGGCAGGACAATGTCAAAGCAGAGGCCGGCTTGCCAAGCGGGTGGTACCAGTGATGAACTGCAAACTAAACCCACAAAAATCCCCCGAGATTGACCACTAAGAGACATCTTTTACATCAACAAAATCCCCTCCGGCGTGATGAGTTATTTTCACGCTCAGCAAAATGACGTTTTCGGCGCTCTCATTCCCCGAGATTAAATCCTGCATGGACGCAGCCCACCCCGATACTAAACCGCCCAAAGAGATCGTCAACTTTCAAGTGTACGAACCTCTGTTTGTGACATGACTAGCCTGTGGTTTGAGAGGAGAGACAGACCCGGCTCTTGGGCATCCTGAGCTCCAACCTCCAGAAAATCCGGGGAAGCAGGCTGAAAGAAGCCCAACAGTACCCAACTAACAATGAGAGCAAGCGACATCATCTTCAACGCTGATGACTACGTTGCCTATGGGGTCTGGACCCCGACCACCTTACGTTCGTATTCGACACCAGTCGCCGTGGTGGTGCACTAGGAGTCGCAAAGTCAGGGACAAGAAAGAAGCGAGTCAAATCACAGCCTTGTTAGCCTCCCGACGAAGATTCCCGGTCAAGGCTCTCGGTCCCCCTGAGGATCTTGGGCTCCGCAACCCCCACCGATGTCGATCATAATATCCAGGTCTGGTATACATACGTGCAGATCCAACCAGATTGGGCATATTCAAGATTAATCCCACCTAGGAAGACTGAACCGGTAACCATATCGATCTGCATTTCCAATTCCCCTTCGATGGGTCAGCCCCCCAACACTTGGGCTTTGAATGATGCCATACCATCACACCATTTCGATCTCATCAGGCAGAATGCATATGCTGTTCGTGCTAACGCAGAGCCACGCCGAGACTGACATACGTGTTTGAAAGCCCGTTCCATCACGATCAGAGAAATATATCCACCAGACCAAAAAATACATCTACTACTTAAACCATCCCCCGGTCAGTCGTGTTTTCTTGCTCATTCACCATCGTCTTCAAGTCACTCCTTCTATACAGTTTCAGAACCATTCGTTTTCTCCTCCAACAAGCTTGAGTCATTCATTCTTTGCACAACATCTTTCCTACACAACTTCTATCCTTCCGATTTAGCAGCGATTCGTCAATCAACCAATCAGTCAAAATGCGTCCTTCAGCAGTCTTCACCACTCTCTTTTTCGCCGCTTCGGTGCTGGCTCTCCCTCTCAACAGTATGGCCCAAGCTATGTCTGGAACTCATGCCACATCCTAACCCCATCTACTAGCCACACCGGTTAATGCTGCGCTTGAACCGGTCAAGCGTGATGCCGCTCCTTTGGCCAACTCGGTCATTGAGAAGCGAGAACCCATTGATTTGACCTCTGTCACCGATGCAGCTGACGATGCCGTCGACATACTGACCGGCCTCCTGCCAGTCATTCTCAGCACCGTCAGTGACCTCGACGCCACCATCAACAGCCTCCTCAGTGGTGCCGAATCCGATGTCGATGGAACTCTCGACTCTGTCAAGTCCACACTCGAAAGCACCATTGACGAATTGAATGCTGTCCTCGCCGGTCTCGACGTTTCAGGGGCGTTGGACTCTCTCTCCGAGTTGACCAGCACCATCGCAGCGGTGCAGACTCTCGTGGCGGACGTTGAGGCTCTGGCAGGCACTGTTGACGTTAGCTCAACCCTGAGTGACGTCGAGGGACTTGTTTCAGAACTGTTGAACATTCTCAGCGGCTTGCTTACCAGCCTGAAGCACTAAGCATGGCAGAGACGACTCGTGTACCCCTCAGCCACCGTGGTGGAATATCAACCACCAAACCACTCTTACGTCGTCAAGAGGGTTTGTTTGCTCTTCGTGTCTTTGGTGAATATGCGTCGCCCGAATAGTGTTGGAACAATGAAATATTATCCTCGATGGTGTTAGCCAGGAGTTCACCAGTGTTCTTGACGATCAATGGCAAACCAAAGTAACTGGATTAATTTGACTGCATCTTGAATGACATGTATGTCTTGAATTGGTTCTCCCGCATATACAAGATACTGTTTCAATAGTAATAGAGGTGTCTTGCCTTACAAATATTACAGCAGACGGTCCATTTGGAGCATAGCAACAACCTACCTATCTTACATCATTTCTCTGTTGCTGCCGTTGAGAATGAATTCGTATTTGAATTTGGGCCTTGACTAGTGGTTCGGTCATTTATTGAAATTGCCGGTGTCAATGCCAGAATCGAACCCAGGGTCCGCGAACGAGGCATGAGGAGGTTGAGGGTTGCGGTCCCAATCTCCGCTGACATTTCCCGTGCTTGCACCGACAAGTGTCTTTACCACCTGAGGGAAAGGCATCATCCCACCCACCACCGCCAGAATCACCTCTTTCGTTAGCAAAGAGACTAACTTCGCCGGCTCTCTCCGCCTATTCTGCCTTCTTTTTCATTTTCCCACTTGTTGTGCACCTCTTGTTCGTGCAAGTCTCGGTCAAGCTTGGGAATCCGCTATCTCAAGGCATCGGGAAACATCATGTCTTCTGGCGTCTCCTCTGCATCCAGCTGGAGATTCCACCAAGCCCAAAAGACACTTGCGGCCACAACTTGGCGGACTTGATCGCTGCAAGCATTTAGAGTTGGAGTCCTGTGAAACCATCCTACTTCATCCCAATCCATGAGGACTTTGCGGGCGATTGCAAGCAGGCACTTGGTCAAGTCGTTGGCCAAATCGCGAGCGGGAATGCCTAAAAGGATTGCCGAGGTGATGGCATTGGCGTATGTGGTGAACAGTTTGGGTGTGATCTCATCGATCTCTACAGATTGTAGGTTAGCCAGGCCGCGGAGAGTATCGGGCCAACACACAAAAATGTAAAGTCTTCGAGCAGGATGGCGACCTTACCTCTGTGAACTTGACGATGCTCTGCTCGAGGACATTCTTGAGGCCGGTCAAGTCGCCACCCATGACGGTGAAGGATTTACTATTGTTCTCTGTCAGGTTGTGACGGATTCGATCGCAGAAGATCATGGTTGAGTCGCGGGAGAGGTTGCCATCAAGGAGTTCGAGAGGAGCGGCTTTATTCGGCCTGTAAAAAATAGAGATTGTTGGCTCAGGTTCAATTCTGTGATATGTTAATTTTGAATTTGGGATTTGGTGAAGTGACCGTGCCTTACGTTGACCATTTGGCGGGAGGGATATGAGGACCGTGGTCTTCACGAGGCATCGGTGGAATGCTTGTGTCTTCCATGATGGCAGTAATGTGAGGTCTGTAAGGCCGTTGGTGTCATGAAAGCAGGAAGAGGATGGAAGTTTGAAACGAAGGATGAAGACCCACGGGAGGAAATGTTTGTCGCGTTCAGAGAAGGGGATTGGCCAAAAAAGGAAACGCAGTAAGAGCAAAGCATTCGCAAAAGGCACAAATTGCAGCCTCCCGTTCCTACTCTTCCAATGATGAAGTCTACCAGTGATAGCTCAGCATGAATTCGTTGTCCTTGTCCACCACTGACCGCACTTCCTTCAGCACCTAACCACCAACAGGTGTTCTTCATCAAAGATATCAGCGACAGTCCTGGCAGGAAATTGACAAAGGAGGCGAGAGAACGGCTAGCATAAAGCAAATAACTCATTCCACGGAAAGTCCTCACGTAGAGAGTGCTGAATTAAGACGACCATCCAAATTGGGCTTCAACTTTATCAGTCAGTCACGCAACATTGACAAAGACGAACAACAGACTTGCGACAAACTAAATGAAGAGAATGATCCCCAAATCAGTTGAATATCGGTCTTCAGCCTGAAGTATCAAACCAACTGCGCCCCGCTCTCATAACCTCATAACCGGTCTCAGGAAACGTATGGATGTTCTCTATTTCTTTCCGCTCTTCTTGATGCCCTGCTGGCCAGCGTTCAATGGTCCTTTGCCCTTTGCCTTCTCGGCCATTTCCTTTCGAGCTTTGGCATCTGGAGCAACGTTCAGTTCATTGTATACACGGAACGCGGTCACAACGTGACAATACCTGCGGCCTGCTTGGCCTTGAATGCAATCTCATCTTCATCCAAGTCCTTCTTCTCCCTCTTCGGCGCCTTCAGAGGCTTCACTTTGCCACCTGACGAACGGTTAGAGTCGGTTGACATTTGGTACTCTGGGAACCGAACCTTCTCTACTTTGACCACCCATTATGGCTACCGGGATTTGATAGACGTCGAGTGTGGTGAAACCTGAGATGTAGAGGGTCTATTTGTGCGAATGAGCCGTATTAGTTGAGGACGAGAGGCAGTTCATCGCAGCTTGAATTTTGCTGGGTAAGTCACTCTGGATCACGTGCATGCACAGCAGTGTGGATTTATGCCAAGGATTCTGGCTTACGCTAAACTACATTCGTTTACATATATGTGTAAAGCGGCCACCCCCAGCAGATAGCTTAGTTCGCTCATACATTCTCTTCACGCCGCTACAACAACAGTGGCCCCGGCCCCTGTCTGCGACACTCTCGTCTCTTACCTCGAAGTTTGGCATCATCATCTACCTCGAAGGGTGAGAAAGATGCGATGCAATCGTCAATCTAACCCGTTTTAGATGAGTCCACCTGTTCGCCTTCCGTTTCGGACCACCTGGTATCATCTCCATCGAGCATTGTTGCTGGATGGCGAGCAATAGGGACCAATTCATAACCTCCTGGTGACCATTCAATGGCCCGAGAACTGTGAGATATGTCTCCCCAGACATCTTCATCCCATTGGAATTTCGCCGTATGTCTCATCATTCGAACTATCTGAGACTCTCTTCTCTATATTCCGGTCGAGCCTCACTATCGTAACATCTACGACTGATTTTGCAAATCCCATGCTTCGACATCTGGCTTGCAGATCGTGCCCACCTCGGGCAACACACCCTCCCTGAAATACGCCTGTACGGTTTCGTCGGTGCACCGCGATCGATGTGCAGTCAACCCATGCTAGCCACCTGTCAGCTTATTGTGCGGCCCGGTCAAGGAAATAGAAAGCGATGGAATAGGGAGGAGGAGGGGGGAAAAAAAGGGGAAGAGTCTCACCCCGTAACCCGCATGCTGTAATACAACACTACCCTCAAATCCCGCGCTGGCGTTGTGAGCGGAGACCAAGGGCGTTGCGACATCGAAAGGTCCATTCACGAACAAGATGGGAAATTTCGTTTTGGCAGAAAAGTCTCCCGTATACTGCTCCTTTGCCCTCAACTTCCACGCAGCGCAGACCCAAGTGAAAAAGTAGCCCGCATCAGAGAAGCTCTGGCTGACCGTGCCCTGATACTTGACCTGATCGAGGATGTCCTCTGCGGAAGCTGCCTCCCAAAGGGTGTCGCTGCAGCGGATGCCGTTAATGCTGTCGACTCCTAGGTTGTACGGTACGGGGGTTGCCGATGCATTTGTCGACGATACTGCGTCGGTCGAACTGCCATTCAACAGGGCAGTGATGGTCTCAGCGAGGACAGGCCATCTCCGGGGGAAGTAAAGCCCCGAATATATTGTTTGCTTGAGTGTGGCATATATGGACCACGCCTCAGGGCCAGTGGTCGCATTTTGACCCAGAGGTTCCAGCGCCGCATTGACAATATTGAGCAAGTCCAAAGCCGTGGACTGGCCTGTATACTGTGCTAATGCGCACCGGTCCTTATTCTTTGCACACTCCTCCAGGAATGCCAATAGCGTTTTGTCCGCATCCACGAGGTAGTTGCCCCAGTGCCCGACTTGATAGTCATGTGGGTTGATGTTCCCGTCAAGAAGCACCCGCGCAACGCGTTCGGGGAACATAGACGCAAACGTCGACCCAAGCAGGGTACCGTATGACAGGCCCCAGTACCGTAGGAGACCATCCTCCCCAAGTGCATCAATGATTTCAACCATATCTCGGGCAACGAAGGCAGTACCAAGGAATCGGCCTGTTTCATTCTGGGCTTGGTAGCAGGCGTCCGCGTACAATTGGGCATCATTCCATCCGCTGTCGAGAAAATATTCTGTCAAATTGTTGGAAACGAGAGCCGCGGCATCACGACGTTGAAGGCCGGTTTCGCTGAGCTCGCAGTCAAATGGAATCGTCCGGCCAGTGCCCCTGGTATGGTCAACACACAGCAGTCGAGTTTGAATGACTCCAATCATCACTTACCGAGGGTCCCAGGAAATAATGTTGTACTGTCCACCAAGGGTTCTAAGAACACGGTTATTGGACTGCGAAGTGGCAAGACAAAACAAAACACCTACGTGATGAGATCGTCGCTTTGGACCGCGAGATTTTCGTACCCCGTTCCTCCGGGTCCGCCTGGATTCCACAACACGCTACCGAGCACGGGCGTTTTGGTGGCGTTCACCCTGATCAAAGACAGGTTCAGTGGTGCGGATCCTGGATCTGTATAGTCGAGAGGCACGAGCAATGAAGCACAATCGAAAGGATGCGGAAACTCCACGCCAGGAAGTGCTGCGTGCAATTCAGCCTCCACATCTGGACACGGATGCCATTCGATTGTTCGATGTTGTGAGGCCGAGCCTGGGTTATATGGGAAAGCCTGGGTTGCCGAGAGGAGAGACAATGTTGTGAGCGCAGTGAGGTGCGCCATATTCATTGATAGACCTATTGCAGGGTCAACGAGAGCGGTGTTTGAATCCCGAGTTGAAAAGAGTGCAAGCAAGATACCATGATGTGAACTGTTTTATACGCTCATCGAGAGCTTTCTCAGGAAGACAGACTGACGTCGCTGCAACTGCTCAGCCATGCCTCGAGCCAAGCCTTGGATGTTAAAAAATTACAAAGTGGCGCGACGTGCAATCATATGCTGTGGACCAAACCCTTGTTAGGTGACATATCGCGTTGATTGAGTGATCCTGAGAAGCACCGCCTCTACACAGCATAAAAGTGCGTGACTGGTGAGTTCGCGTCGTCAATGCTGGCAGTTCCCATAGCTCTCGCTCTTACTCTTGAGAGCACTGGAACAGGAGATTTGAAGGATTTTGTAAGCGTATGAAATGTCCAGGAGGACCCGGATCATATTTCGATAGGCCAGCATGCCCGCTCCTTGAGGCCAGTACTATATGGTCTCTAATACCCAGAATGGTCAGATGTACCGCTCGGGTGCTAACCCTATTTGGGAACAGCCCCGCCCGATTGGCCCAGACTACGAAGATGACAAGCCACGTGAAGACGCCCACGATTTCATAATCTTTTGACGATCACTGCTTCCACAGGGGGCCATAAATAGAAAGTGTAGCACTCTGCCACTTTAGAGAAATCTCTATTCAATATACATTCACCAATCACTGCAAGTCACCTGTGTCGTGCGAGCTCGGCGTGTGATTTTACGGAGGACTTGTCCTATTTCGAAGGGGCCCAGGGGACCGTCAAGACTATACACTTTCGAAGCGTGTATGTTTCGGAAGGTCTTTACAAGCCTTGGCGTCGCCGCATATCACAGGTGCAATCTTGAAGTAGATTTTTCTCCTCCTGTGTTGCTAGAGCCCTACCTAAGATCCAATTATCCGATCGCGCCAAGGAAAATGCCTTTTCGAGGGTAATCCTCTAGACGAGTATGAATATCTGTCTCTTGACACAATCGCCGACGGAACCAGAATCATCGTGATAGGGGAGAATAAGAACTGAAATGCACCGTTGGTTACTCACTTGGCTCCACTCTCCTATCATTGGTGAAGCCGCCTTTCACGCCCTCTCATACACATGGGCAAGCGACAGCGAAACATCAGAAGTTATTGCAATGGAGGAACCCTGGAAAACGCACTTCGTGCAATGCATTCTCCAAAAGCTGGGTTTGCTTCTGGGTTGACACAGTCTGCTTCCATCCTGGTCGACCCCGAATCACACACTGCAGAAACCTGAGGTTGGGACCTCAGTATGGTGAGTATTTGATTCTGCGTACTTAGCATGTCAGACCTTGCCTGTTCGTTGTCCTACTCCCCTGCCAACGGGAACAACTGCATTTGAGCACTGAGGCGGCTGAATAACTCAAACTCCATTCTTTCAGATGCCTTCGGGCCTCGAAGTATGTCACCAACTATATCAGAACCAGACGGGAAGTCACGTTCGAAGATCGGCTTTCCAGCATTCCTCATATTAGCTAAGACAGCCTATCGAAAGTGCCATCGTAGAAGTGAGTCAAGAGGCGCGTCAGGGTGAGTAAAATATTCTCGATCGAGATGCTTGCCCGCAATATTTCTCGGTGTAGGCATGAAGGCTACAACCTTGTAATTGTCCTATGATAAATATCAGCCTTAATCTTGGATATAGATATGAGACAGACGTACATCCGGATTAATTGAGACAGCATAGGCATCGAATAGTTGATGTATAGCCGAGTCAAGCAACAATCCATTCTGTACTGAGTTGATAGTTCCCCCTTTTGCTGGTTGAATTGTAATCCATCGATTGAAGTTCTGATCGATCCAGTGACCTTCGTAGGCGAGTGGGAAAATGTGCGCAGCATCGAAGCCATCCCAGAGGTCAATTTCACCAAACGTGGGTACAATCTCTCCGGATATAACGCATCGACGATCTCGCAAACGAACAGCATCGCAGAAGGCGGCGACACGGGTTCCAGGAGCACGATCGATTGTTCGGACGAGCCATGGCTCATCATTGACCTGGAAGGAATCTGCTTATAATTTAGCTGTATAGCTACGCATGAAGGGGTTTATTGTAAGCTGACCGGCAGCAACAATGTAATACTTCCCAGGCTGAAGCGGATGGCCATCCCTTTCAATCTTTGTTTCATTCTCATCTCGCAGAAAGAAGGTGCTCGAAATAATGACAAGAATCTCTATCATGACGTAGAGGTTGGCATTTGTAATACCGGGTGTGAGAGACAGACCGCCAATTACGGTGGTAGGATCATTTGAGTCGTAGATATGGACATTCCACAGCACTGAGCGAAGGATTGTGGGCATGGCTCTTTGCGGCGACGAAAAGATGGAGGTCTCAGTTGGAGAGGTGGGCGTTTTCGAGGACGACATGGTGGAAGCTTAGGACGCAGTTGTATGAGGATAGCAAGCATAGGCTTGCAAGAGGTTCAAAGACGGTGGGAAGGACCGTATAGGGGTAGGAGACTGATAGTTCAGGGAAAGGAGTTCGCTGGAGTCGTCCAACGAGCTCGGGCGCACTCGAACTGGATAAGGTTGTGACTTTCGTCTTCTCTCTTTAATATGTACTTGCTATGTAAGAGAAACAGACAACCACCGTCATGTTGTCTTGGATTTTGGAAAGCATCTCCGGGGTCCTGCCATTGTGTGCATCGCTTTACCTTTTTCTAATGTGTCCATATTTTCTCAGAGTATGGATCCTTCAAGAAGTTGCATTAGCTTCTAGTCGTATCATCGACTGGATAGATTTTGATGCATCCTTTGAACAATAGGACTCTACTACTTGCGATCTACGAGATATGCGTGAACGAGATGAGAGGCTACAAGAGAAGATGAGACTAGCAGCTCCTAAGTTCCAAGAGGTCTCGACAGACGAATGGCCCTTCATTTGCATGGTCTTCTCCTTTCGTCGCTGGGAAGAGTTCGCAACGGAGTCCTACAAGTAGACATCAAAGATACTGGCCCTTGCTACTTTGAGACGGCAACTTTTGCACGAATCTCTCAGGGCCCTTTTCAACATGACAAAGATCTTTGCCCTGTGGAATGTTACTCGGGATCAAAATGGGTTAGACGCTTTCATGTATTTTGCCACATCTTGGGCTTTGCAGTCTGGCTCACTGGATAAGGGTACTAAAGATGCGGTCGGCTGAACCCTAGTCCTGGGCAGGAATCGATCTGTGCAATCTGGGCCTTTCGAGTCGGCCACGCATAGATTCGCGCCAGGCAAAGTAAGGAATCTGCAAGAAATGGGAGACATACCAAGGACTTGTCGGCACTACTGAACCCGCTGTCTTGCCTCTATGAGCACGTCTGAGGTCAGACAGTCCTTCGGTCGCAGGCAAGATCCAGCAGCGTTCACGCAACTCTTCGAGTTCACACATTTGCCGTGAGACAAACCAGTATGGCGACGGCAGAAACTCAGACCAGTAAAGACTGGAAAGTCAATGATAGTGAGGCAGTGCTGAGTACTAGTCCTCAGAAGATCTACCAAGAATTGGGACTACATGCGTTCTGAGTGCCCGGTCGGCCACATGGATAGACATGGCGGATACTGGATATTAGCCAAGTTAGCAATTTCCCATTCTTTACATTTCTACCTTTTTGGCAGTGGTACTATGTACCAGGTTGCTGACTGGTCTTATTCGTAGATATGAAGACATCAAAAAGACCGCGCAGGGCGGCAATAGTTTCATCTCATTTGTTTGCACTGTCGTCCTGGCTGATCCACGAGGCATTCGGATGTCGCCGTTGAAATTCGATGGCAAAGATCATACTCCGTACCGCACGGCTTTGGATCGGACGCTGAAACCTTCTCGACTCGCACGGCTTGATCCGTTATTTCGAGATCATATCGAGGCAGAGCCTGGCCGGATGCTTGTTCGAGGTTCAGGAAAGCTCAGCTCTGAGTTTGGTGCTAACTTCTCAGGCCGGGTTGAGTGAGAATGGCTAAATCTAGATGGTGGCGATGCTCAAACCCTGGCCGCGAACGTCGCTCCGTTTACCCGTCCTGGAGAAGTTAGTACTGGACCGCCGTGGAGAAGGCCAGCGATGGGTTTATGAGATTGCGGGCAACGTCATTGCGGACCGCAAGAAGAAACTGAGACTTGGAGGGCAAGTCATTGGCAGAAGAACACCTGGTATAAGGAACGGGATATCATACCACCTCCATTCGCGCTGACAAATCCAGAGGATGTATACGTCCCCTGATCGTGGCCATGGTAGCACCGTCAATCCTCATGGCTGCGATAGTCAAGCACCGTAGCGAGAACAAAGAATCACAGCATGAGCTCCGTGTCGACCTTTCGCTGATACCTGCGGCTGTCGGAGAATTTGTCCTTCTGTACACGCCGTGTCGCGGCTTTTTGCGAACCGCCATCTGCCCTGTGACTGTCTCGGGCCAGGACATACCGCTAGAAGAGCCTATAACCATACGTACGCTGCTGCAAACCGCGATCCTGTTGTTTTCAAGGGACCCAACAAGTTTGTGCTCCACGGCGAAAACATCGTGACGCACCTTGGATTTGGGAGGGGTAGGCATCGATGCGTCGTTATGTCACTAGCAAGGCTGATGATGAGAAATATTCTTGGAGGCCTCGTTGAGTAGGACGAAAGATTTCTGAATATCGGTGGAGAACTGGGATTACCAGTGGTCCGGTGAATTTTGGACATAGGAAGAAGGGTTCCCATAAAATGGAGCAGGCTTTTGAAGGGATCGCTCTGTACGAATGCCTAGGTATGAATAAAGAGTTGCAGATTCAGGCCACAAGAGCCGGTAGTCATCCATCTTGTCGATATATAAGGAGCGGTGAATTGGTGGGAGTACATCTAGAGATAATAGAGCGGCAACGATTCCTATCCCAAAAGGGAATCCCTTGGCTGCGACTTTCTGGTTCTGTCTTGTTGTAGAGACTCTTCGCCTTCTCTGATAACGGCCACACTACCTCTCTTCTATCATCCATTCATTACTTCACTGCTCGATGTTCCTCCGGACTAGTTGAGCGACTATTCAAAACACTATTCCAGATGCTCTCTTTGGAGCAATGAGAAGGGTACGGCGGGACGACACCGGTCGGGCTCTACAACTACAAATTTTTTTCGTCTCGAGAATCCGCGGCTAATACATTTACCCAACTAAAGGCTAGGTTTCAATCCCGGCCTGCAAATATCCATATTCATATGCGTCATTATGGCTTCGAGATCACCGAGCCATTCGGAGGGTGAAATCCTCAGCTCAGACTCGGAAGCGAAGGCAAAGAGCATACCATCTTCCTACAATAACAGCAAGGTTGACCGTCATACCAGACCATATCCTGTGTCGCATAGCGCTACTCCTAGATCACATCGATCACGTTCGAGATCTCCTTATCGAGCCCCTAGGGGTGAGAAGCGTCCACGAGATTACGATCATTCAAGAGGCAGATCTGTCAACGACTCGCGCACTTTTGCCGTGAGATACGAGGACGATAGATACGGTCATCGACGCTACGGATCTTACGAAGAACGAGGGCCGAAAAAATCACGTACATACTCTCGAAGCCGCAGCAGAAGTCGATCTCCATACAGACACTCACGCCACCAAGATGATGGCAGGGAGAAATTCAGAAATACTGCCGATCAGACTGGCAAGAACGACCATGATATGACATCTTCGAGTCGTCAGCCAGATAAGGATGTTGTCCCTACAAACACAAAAGCATTGCCGGCGAAAGACGTGCGATCGAATCACTCATCCAATGCGCAACCAGGCGCGAAAACTGCAGCACAAGTTCCCAGCAAAGATACAGCTGACGCTCCCAATGTCGTGCAAACAGAAAGTATCACTGACGAGAATGAGGACCCCCCCAAACCCGTCGACGAGGCCGCTTTGATTGAAGAACGTCGAAAACGTCGAGAAGCCATCAAGAACAAATACCGTGGTCAAGCTCCTCCACTCCTTGTTCAAGCTCTTCATCTAGGTGCGGAATCGAATCCTGCGAGCCCGGCTCCAGATGGTGTCTCGTCAGCTCCACGTCGGTCCGGTATGTGTGGTCCTCTCGAGTCCCGGACGTCTCCACTGACATGGTCAGAATCGCCCTCTTCCTCCTCGCCTCGAACGCCGAAAGAGTTGTCTGAGCCACAATCTCCTGCAGATGCCCATTATGATGCGGCGGCCGACCTGACTAACCCCGCGAGAGGCGGCTCTCCAGCAGAAGACGGCCCCTCAGCGGCCGACTACGATCCGACCGTAGATATGGAGGAGGAACGATCACGACACGATAGACGTATGTTCAAAGAAGATGACAAGTCCTTGGAGCAGGCAGATCATTATGTGATTAAACAGGCAAGCGAGTCAGCTGCACCTGTCGCTCCAAAGACGGCCGAATACGACATGTTTGCGGACGAAGACGATGATGACATGTTTGCGGAAGTGCCATTGAAACCAACCACAGAAACCAAGACGGCGCAAGCGCTGGATGTCAACTTGATGGACAATTGGGATGATCCCGAAGGCTATTACATTACAATTCTTGGTGAGCTCATTGAGGATCGCTACCATGTTACCCAAAATCTCGGCAGGGGAATGTTCTCGTCTGTTGTTCGAGCTTCTGATAGACGAACTGGCAAACCAGTAGCTATCAAGATCGTTCGGAACAATGAAACTATGCGGAAGGCCGGTATCAAGGAAATTGACATCCTCAAGGACATCGCGGCAAATGACCCTGAAGACAAGAAGCATGTCATTCGCCTTCAACGTTCATTTGATCACAAAGGTCACTTATGCATGGTGTTTGAAAATCTTTCCATGAACCTTCGAGAAGTGCTGAAAAAGTTCGGCAGAGATGTGGGTATCAATATCAAGGCCATCCGAGCCTATTCACAACAACTGTTCTTGGGATTGAGCTTGTTGAAGAGGTGTCAGTACATACACGCCGATCTCAAACCAGACAATATTCTGGTCAATGAAGCCCGGAGTACGCTGAAGATCTGTGATTTGGGGTCCGCGTCACCCATCACGGAGAATGCCACAGCTCCATACCTTGTTTCCCGCTTCTATCGGGCACCGGAAGTGATTCTCGGTATTCCTTATGACTATGGAATTGATATGTGGTCGATTGGATGTACGCTCTTCGAACTCTACACCGGAAAGATTTTATTCACCGGGCGCAACAATAATGGAATGCTCCGTGCCATTATGGAGTGTCGAGGAAAATTTCCGCACAAGCTGCTGCGGCGGGGGACTCTGACATATGAGTATTTCGATGACTTGCTCAATTTCCGAGCCCAGGAATTTGATAAGGTTACAGGCCGCACAGTGGTGAAGATGATGGATATCAAGGCCAAACCAATTCGGGACTTGAGGTCCAGGCTAATTCCCAGGGACAAGCGGATCAGTGAACCGGAGAGACGAGAGCTGGATTTATTTGTTGATCTACTGGACAAGTGCTTAGACTTACGACCGGACAAGAGGATTACGCCCAGCGATGCATTGAAGCATCCTTTCATCTCCAGAACCAAAACCTAAATAGACTATCTGACGACCACCAACTTGTCAGGTGATTCCAAACGCCCAAGGCTCATACTACGTCCTGTTCTTCCGGCAACTTTCTCCTGCCAATCTCTGGTTTCACTTCCTGCTGAGTGCTAACGAGATCCAGGAGATAGAAGACGATGAACCTTTCGAGCTGCCTCCACACTTTTTCAAATTAATCGACTGTGTCCCACTGCTGGATTTTCGGACCAAAAACACTCGGCTTTTTCAGATTGCACCAGTCAGGCTTGGGACGACCAATAAATCCTGAGATGGTTGCTCAGAAACTTTCAAAACATTCTCCAGTTACGCAGCCACGACGAACATATTAGCTTTCAATGGCCTACTCTTCTTCATGTTGTCCGTCGTCTCTGCCTCTGCTCTGTGCCTGCCGCGGTGATATTGGTACTTGGGATTTTGGTCTGTTTCAAGCAAGGCCAAGAGTCACCCTCGGATGACAATGCAGCGATTGATTATCTTCCCCCTAGGGGTGACCAGACTTACAATTTCTGGAATTGTATCTCTGTCACTGACGACCGGAGCCTTTCATGTACCTGCACACTTTTGCGAATAGTCGGTGACGGTAAATTCAACCCTTTCCACAGCTAGTTCCTCTCACAGGCGACCAGAGCGGTACCTACACGTTTCGAGAACTCGGCAGCTAATGGGCAGCAAACATAGTGTCATCATATCCTGTCCTCTGCCGGTTTGTTCTCCGTCTACTTCGATTTGAGGACCTTCCCGAGGGAGTGTCTACTGAATGACTATCCAATGCAAGCAATGGTTCGCGCGGAGACTTCTCCACGACCTTGGTCGAATCGAAATTAGCGACCGATCGACAATTTTCTCAAAATCGAGAGTTCAACTACTAATCCTCCTGCTCGTACAAGTGTTCCCACAACTGCGTCTGCAATGACGACCAGCTCAACATCGGATTTCATACGGTGTGGGTCTACCGAGCCTTTGAGCAATCAGTCTACTATATCATCTTCTCAGAATTCCATAGGCGTCGTTACAGCCACTCTTCCAGTCACCATGTTCATGGTCAGACCTCAGTATTGGTGCCGAAGTTGGTATTTTGCGTTGATCTATGAGATCGGAGATAGACGATGAAGAAGGGATAATGAATATGATTTCAGACCGACTTGGTTAGCAATCATTAGCGGGCAAGAAGGGGATGACGAGACTGTCGCATAGGGAGGTATTGGTAGCAACGCAGGTTTAGCGGGACACGTCAAATACGTGTTCATGTCGTGACAAATTTCATAGCAAACACACCACGATATTGATTTCATTTTCCTGTTCTGCTACTCCTGCTGCCAACGATTCCCTGCGCATCGTTCTTGGGCATCTTTTGGTTACCAATCGAGCCCTTCCCTCGTACTCGTTATCTCTTCTCAAGAGCCACGTTTACTTGCTCACAAGGCCTGTGCCGCGTCTCTCCCTGCAATCCGGCCGAAAGTGAGAGACCGAAGGACGCTTGTTGCCGGCGGATCTACACGTGTCATCAGCATCTGTCGACACATTGGATCCTTGCAGCAGATGTTTTTGGGTTCCAACGTGGGCCCCGTCCGTTATCCAGGCAATGCTAGAAAACCGGAGCGACTGATCCAATGCGAGAGGTGGACTTACACTGGGCCGACGTTAGCGCCATAGGCCTCCATAGGTGTGATTACATACCTCATTATAGAACAAGCCGGTTAACTCTCCGGCAGCGTACAGTCCTGGATTTTGTCAGTATTAAAACACTCAGGCACGTTTCCGGCATAGAGACGAGCCCGTGATCGCGGGGATATTTCCTGTGCGTGAGGGATATGTGTTCGTACCTGGAATAGGAACCCCCGTTGTCGAAAGAACTCTGGAATCAAGGTCACATTTGAGACCGCCATAGGTGAAGGTAAGTTGCGCTGTCCATTGTCAAGTCAAACCGAGCGTATTCTCTTCGGTGGGTCATTACCTTTCATGGGATATCTGGAAAAGTTGTCAGCAACCGGTGAATCCCGCAGTTTGACGCGTCAATGTGAGCACTCACCCATAGAATGGAGGCTTAGCAATGGGATTGGCCCAATTGGTCTTGTCGGGCGAGAGACTTGAACGATGTCAGCATGCAACCGTTGCGATCGAGTCCTCCATTATGATCTTACCCATGGGTTCTCTTGCCATCAAGTTTCATGAGGTCGAATTCCTTGTCGTCGATACTGCATTCTGTCAACCCCAACGCAAAGAAAAGGTCCATCTTGGGAGTACGAACGCGGCGTTGAATTCGTCCACAGTTTTTCTCAATTCCTTTGGATCCAAGCCCATTAGTTCCGCTAGACCGTCGATCGTATCGCTCTGTAGTGGCTCTTGATCGGTGGTGTCGTATACCCAACCTGGCCGGAATCGATCCATTATGGGCTTGTCAGTGATGCTGGAAACTGATCAGCAAATTCACTTGGTGAGTCGAATCGCTCTACAAGTATGATTTTTGATTCTGGTCTCCATTGAGTTAGTGATCGGGGTTGGTCGCTATCTTGCAGAGACTTACCTCGCCAGGTTTCTAACGCAATCATTTCAAAGGTGGCGAAGAGGCTTTTCAAAGTCAGCGGAAGCGACAATTCCGGGATTGCATATCTCACTGTCGTTTTCCTTCATCGTAGAACCTCTTGCAATGTCTGCTTTCAATTAGCTGGATCGATCATCTCAGAGATTCATCGACGTACTCGTTCACGACAATACCATAATTATGACCCCAGATGACGGCGTCAGGCTTCTTGGCTCTGATATCAACAAGTTCACACTGTTGACTAAGGTCAATACTGAAGAGTGGCTGGATCAACCTTGGGAAAGAACAAGGAGACTCACATGCATGCCGCTCATCGAGCCGGCTGTGGCAGCACCAACTTCCAACCCCATTTTCAAGCCAAAGCCGGTATTGTACTTCAGACCAGGGGCGATGAGTTCAAGATGCTCGGTTCGCGGTCCAACATATCTTCCCAGCCTGAACTGTGTCAGCAAAAGTCTGTCTTCTTCCATTCAATACCAGGCATACATTTCCCGATTGCCCTCAAAACCTCCACATGCCAACATGACTTTCTTTCCCCGAACTCTTGTCATGCGACCATCTGATTTTCGAACTTTGACTCCGCAAACAGAGCCATCTTCTTGAGTCAACAATTGCTCCGCTTGCGTCTCCCACATGACGGTGACGGCGTCGAACTTTCTGATATGATCAAATAAGGCATTGATGATGGCGTGGCCGCCGCCCTGTGGAAAGTGAGTAAGGGATGCCAAATCAACCAGATTCAAGCTTGCCTCAGGAAATACAAAGTGCTGGTCTCCGAATCACTCAGTACGTCCTCTACCCACTTGAACGATCGAGAGAACTTACTCGTATTGAATTCTAGCAAGACATTCTTTTCGTCATGGTGATTGAGTTTGACTCCATCTACGGTGGCCATTAGGATCTGATTCGTTCATGCTGTTAGTGGGACTTACGGTCTAAAAGATACTGAGCTGTAATGGGAACTTCTTTCTCCATCTTTGCGCAGTATTCTTGGTCAGCGAGACCCTCACTACTCTGTGTCAGTGTTCGAAGTGTTTGATCCATCTGCTTGCGGACCTGACGCGCTATATCATGTCAGTGAGAGTACTCAAAATCCGGTAAGGAATGTCATCGACCTTCATTTCGTGTTTCCAATCCGAATCAAAGTTGTTATCTACACTTTTCAGCCTCGATATCATATCTCCATCACTCCAACATACCTTTGTCAAGTCGGAGATACGCCATTGTCCACCTTCACGACAGTCAGTAAAAAATACAAATTCCTCGCAGGGATCGAGACAAACCTGCTAGCTCCACATCGTTCACCCTCTTTTCCGGCCTCGATCAATGCCACTTTGCCCCCTTTCCCGAGCTTTCTGCATTCTTCCAGGAAATTCAACGTGGTCATGGATCCCTGGGTCATATCAGGTATGCTGTTGCCCTACTGAGTCGTTCAGACATACAGCAAATCCACTGCCGACTACAACGAGATCATAGACCTCTGGGTATGAGCCGGTGAGGCTGCTCACGACTGGGCTTGCGAAGGACATGATGAATTGATGGAGTGTTTTCCTGCTTCCCAAATATGCGGACTGCACCAAGCGAGACGTTCGTCGAGACATTTGTTCTAAAGGTCCTTCCCGGTCCTTTTCAATCCCAGCATACCCCTCAAACCACGCATGCTTTCGTAAAGTCAGTCCACACCCCGCAAGCAACGACGAATAAAAGATGATATCACAGCAACCATGGAGACGGTCGGATCCTACAATGCATTGTTCTCCCCGCAGAACCGTCCAGCCAAAGCCTATGAACAATAAAAAAGGACAGGGTCTGACAAGCTGGCCTGAATGCAAACAGCCTCGCTCTTCTCAACCATGGACGCATCATCAGACAACTCAATTCCTCGATCCGCAACCTCACAGACCTTCATCTGAGAACGCCTTTGAACGAGACCTCGAAAGTCGAGAAAATTGTGTTCACACTCAACGAAACGCCCAGGACGAATTTTCCATCCACAAGACGCCCCCTCAGGAACTCGCAGTTCCCCCTCTTAAGACGTAGCCGAGGAATTTCGAGACGCCAATGATCATTTTCGAGACTGCGTGTCTCATCTCGGAGAAATGGATCTCGAAATCTCAGTTCTCTTCGGAACCGCTCTGCCCGGGAAATCGCCGCAGAGCGGCCTTTTTGGTCATGTTCTTGTGAAGCCATTACAAACAGCAATACAGGGATCAGTATAAAACAAGGGTATAAGGGTGACTGATGTCAGCCCTGCCCTGTCCACGGATGTATCTTAATGAACTTTTGATCTTTGGGTTTCTCTGCTGACCAGAGGCAGGCGCTGACATCTTGGCATCTTTGCGGTGATCGTTTAAAGCGGCGACGTCTTTGAAATCCCCGAAGACGCCGATTTCTCCTGATATCTTCCTCAAACCCCTTTGGTCTTTGATTTGCTCTTTAATTTCATATAGACTCAAAATACTCACTGTCGATCACACGCAAAAATGGAGGGCGAATGCTTGTGCAAAGGTACGCGAACGTTGCCCCTTCAAGGCCATGACGCCATCATTCCGCCTACTAATGAATCTGCGATCCCGTCCAGCCGTTCAAGTCAGAGTCAACGACGGCAATCTCTTCGGTGAACAACGACGAGGACATTTCTGCCATTGTGCCAATTGCCGTAAAGTTGCGGGCGGATTATTCGGTGCCAACTTAATCATTGAGGAAGAAAAAGTGGAGTTCCCCAAGGGAAAGGAGAATATGAAAAGATATAGTGTACGTATATACGTCTTACCTCACATTCTTCACGACTCTGGAACCTTTCGTCCGGTTGGTTTCCCGAAACATAGTTTTTCTTGTCTAATGCGAAGAGAAAACAGGATCCAGAGACATTGAGCGGGACGCCTGTGCAAAGGTACGATTGGCCACTGGTATGCGGTGTGTGCTCCAACACCGAACATACGTCGCAGGGCTTCCATTTCCCATCACAGAAAAGCTTCGTCTAGCCAGAGCTAACATCGGGTAATTGTTAGATACTTCTGCCAAACATGTGGAGTCCCCATCATGAGCGCCACCCCCCTGTACAAAGGGAAAGTCATATTGAAACTGGGAATTTATCCCGAAGTCCCCGTTCCGGAATGGGAGAGCTTTGCCTCCCAGCGCCAAACGTGGGAAAAGCCACTCGAAGGCGCTGTGCAGTATAAGACGAAGGTAAGCCCGGCGCACATGGTCATACTTTGTTTCACGGTTACAGGAAGAGAAGAGTGAGTGAACCAGAACAAAGTCAGCTAGCTAACAACTTTTCACCCTTCATTTTCAGAGTTTCGGGGAGAAAATGCCAGGATCGATTTGACGTTGAAATAATACACATGTCGGGCCACAATTACCACAGCTACTGGACTAAAGCCAAAAGATGGTGAAAGTGGATATCTACATACCCACGCAAACCTTCTGTCATATTGCCTTGCCGTCCTAGTACTTCCAATGGTGTATTCTACTTCTACTCTTTATCTCCCCAAGTCGACTCATTCTCTCTATCATCGTGGCGTATTTGTAATCTTGCTCTTGCTCTGGCGATCACAATTTGGGCGCCAATTTCTGCTCTCCTTCTCCTGCAAATCCCATCAACCCCGACTCAGCACCGAGATAAGTCCATCTCAGTTCACTCATCTCAAATCCCTCAGGACATTTAATATCCACCACGACCTCCTCGCCAGGCATAACATCGAACCCGTTGTCACTGAAGACAACCCAGTCGCGATTCTCCCGGAACACGAAACCATGCACGGGTTTGTTGGCCGTAACGATCAGTTTATCTTTAGCCGATGATAATTGAACTTTGATGCCTCGGTCGTCGAAGGCGAGATATTTCAATGGATGAGGCCAGGCGGTGTCTGTACTAATACATGTGCCGCTGACAGTGAGACGCGCGTGGATGACGTACGGATCGTGGGTAGCGGTGTTGAATGGCTGTCTAGGATCATGCGGTGATGATGATGAAGAGACATCCGCACTCGCTTGCTTAAGGACGTCGGTCGTGCAGTTGAGTTGGACGTCGATGTTCTTCTCCACGGCCGCAGCGATGTCCTTACCTGTCTTGATAGAGATGAATCGCACTTCAACGTCGGCCTGTACAGTTTCCGTCCGCGAACTTGCAATCCAAACATCGAAAGTGTGATCGCGCGTCGCGCGAGTTGGGTCCGCATGGCCAGAAGTCCAGTCATGGAATGGTCTCGCGACGCCAACGGCCAGAGGTGTCAGTGCTCGCGCGATGGCGTAGAACGAAGGCTTCTTGACGAGATAGTAATCGGCAACCGCCCATGACATGGTCGGCCAACAGTCATTGAGCTGCCAGACGAGAACGCCGCCACATTTTCGCGCCCCGGGTGTGCCCCAGTCACGCCGCCAGGAACGATAAGCAAAACCCATGGCGTCGGACTGCGTGAGTTGCGTCAAGTGCGTGAAAGACGGTAGGTCGTATTTGATCTGAAAGTTTTCGGCGACGTATGTTATGAGACGACGTTCGTGATCGATGGCCCGGTTATGGTAGTCCATGACCATCGAGCCTGGGTATTGTTGCGCCGGATCGGTGATGGCGGAGGAGATGGTTGAAAGGTGCGGATATGCCTCCATACCGAATTCGCTGACGAACCGACCACCCATCGTGGGAAGTTCTTGATGTCGTTTCATCATGCCGTGCCAGACTGTCGGGAAGGTAAGATCAGCCCAGTTCACGGGATCAAAGCAAAGAGGACAAAGGAATGGGAAACTTTACCATTCCATTGATGAATATCGCCCACCGTCGGATCGAATGTCTTCTTCCCGTCTCCCCACGGGCTACTCGGATGATATACAGATCCAGGATCCTCCTGCTCCACCACCTTGGGCAGGAGATACTCGTAAACATATCGTGCCGGGAATGAGGACCTGAGCCACGATTCTGGGTCCTTGTCGCCTTCGTAGTCATAGTCGAGTGAGTATTTCTCCTGGATCTGGTAATCCTCGTTATTCCCGGCCCAGATGACCAGGGACGGATGGCTGCGGAGTCGTCGGACGTTGTATCGTGCTTCTTGTTCGATTTGATGTAAGAAGGATGGGTACGTGGGATAACTGCCACAGGCGAAGCAGAAGTCTTGCCAGACGAGAATCCCAAGTTCGTCGCAGGCGTCGAAGAATGCGTCGTCTTCATAGATTCCACCCCCCCAAATCCTGTGTCATATGAGCATAGGTTTTCTTTCTGGAAGGATATACCCAAAGACCACACGATAGCGAGTGTAAAATGTAATCCGTAGGATATCGACTCACCTCGTCATGATTTGGTTTCCTTGAATCATCAGCTCCATCCACTTTCTATACCTGTCCGGACCAATGTGTGAGAGAAAATTATCGGCCGGAATCCAACAAGATCCACCAGCAAAGACGTCGACATTGTTGATGCGGAAGTAGAATGATTTGCCGAAATCATCTCTCTCCTGAATAAGTTCGCAGCGTCGGAACCCCACGAACTTGGATTTCGAACTCATCTCGGATTCACTATCTGTTCCGACAAGGACGGCCTTGAGTCTGTAGCGAGTTTGCTTCCCATAGCCGTGTGGGTACCAGAGCGTTGGCTCTTCGGTCCTAAAGGCAGCCATAGCCACTCCATCACCATCAGAGTCACCCTGAGATTCATATACCACACGTCCGTCAAGAGACAGCGTGAACTTTACTCGAAGACCTGGGCGAGGCTTTTGTCCGGCAAGACTTGCTCGAGCGAACAGCTTTCCAGACACAGATTTCAAATCTGAACTGACCTGGCCCTGAAACCAAACATCATCAACGCGGCCAACGTACGACTCCAAGAAAACAGGCCTCCAAGGCCCCGTTGTGATCAGAATGCCCGCCCAGTCCCAGCCCCAGTGATATTGAGCCTTGCGGACGGGAAGTCGGCTCTGTTCCGTCTGGTGCGCGATATGCCGATGCTCGTGCTCATGCTGCCTGACGAGTTCTCGGCCACGGAGGAGAGCGGAGTCAAAGACGATTTTCAGCTCGTTGGACGACCCGTTGGAAGTTGAGTTCAAGAGGCCTGTAATGTCGACTCGATATTCGAGAAACATATTGTCCGTTTGGAGGATTCTTTTTCCGTTCAAGGTGACTGTAGCGAATGTGTCGAGTCCTTTGAAAACTAAATCGGTTCGCGCACGGCTGTGGACATTTGTTGGGGACGGAAAAGTTGTGCGATACGTCCAGGATTTTTCTGCTATCCATCTGACGGACAGTTCGTTCATGTCGACAAAAGGGTCAGGGATTCTAAGAGTTGTATGAGTTTGAAATGGTCGTGTCAAGGACGACCATGTCGATACCTACTTTCCATTGTCTAGCAGATCCTGGTGGATCGAGGTCGGCACCTTAGATACTGGAAGCCATGCATTGCTGGAATCATCATCTGTTTGCTTGACTTTCCAGCCAGAACTCAGCTGTGTAGTGATGACTGCCATGACGATCCTGCAAATATCAAGCACTATGGGTTGGAAACGACCTCGGACCCCGACCGCTGGATACTGGTATAAGGCGGATAAATGTTTGTCGTTCAAAGAGAAACGACACTCCCCATCTCCCGTGAAGGGCCAGAAGGATTGTGAGTGAGAGAGCGATTGAGATACTCAATACGCCAATGCGTGAACTAATTAGCCACCGAGGAAGCCTTCGACGCTATTCGTGTGTCTTCACGTGGATATCGACTGTAAACATGGAACATTCCCGACCAGTCTACAGTGAAAACAACCAACACTCACTTCAGATCGTGGTGTGGACTGCTCTCTCCCCAGGTCTTCTCCGGCAACGATCATCTTGACGAAAAGATTATCCCTGTTCAATTGACGCTAGGACGGACATTCATTGTATCGTCTCGTGGGTGTATAGCACCCCAGAATCGACGGCAATTGGCTTGGAGAAGGCCACACTCTTTTCGAACACGGAAATATATATTCTCGACGCCATTGCGGCAAGGATCTCCACCCCTAGCATGTTTCGGGAGACGGAAATATAAAATCTCGTCTTGGTATGCGGAGACTCGACCGTCATTTCAACGACGTCGTAACATCATGTATAGACGGCTGGCTTGGCTTTTCGTGAAGTGGAAAAGGCCAGAATTGCCCGAAAAGAAAAAAATTGAAAGAGAAAGAAAAGAAACGGACAACAAGCACCGATATTTTGACAGAATGGCCAAATCTAATGGGTTCCAGAATGTAGAAGTCTTCATATTTTCGACAGCTGTCTTTCGACATCATACATGGTCCCGGCCGGTCCGTCGTAGAGAATCGATTCCAATGCCCTAGCATTGATATGGCTCATGTTGAGGTCCCGAACACGTCGTACACCCAAAAGGGTCATTGCGGCCTTGGTCTCGTCGGCCAAAATCTCAAGTGTTTTCTCCACTCCATTTTGGCCACCGACGGCAAGACCATATAATGGAAGTCTTCCAATCCCTGCCGCCTTTGCACCCAGGGCCAAAGCCTTGACCACATCCGTACCTCGCTTGATACCGCCATCCACTAGAACATCGAGATGTTGCAATACTTCAGGACAAAATTTTTGGATTTCCATGAGAAGTTGCACTGGGGTGGGAGCTGTATCCAGCGCTCTTCCTCCATGATTTGAGAGGATAATGCCCTTTACGCAAGGGTAACGAGTGGCCATACACGCATCCTCATGTGTTTGGATTCCTTTCAGGACGATGGGTAAAGAAGTGTGCTGGGTCAGCCATTTTAGTGTCTTCTCCCACGTCAAACCAGCTTCAGTTCCCCAAACTGGGGGTGGAACACCGGCAACAACTTCTCGCATCTTGAACTGTTCATCTGTTTCCCTTTTACCGGGGAACGGAGCATCGAGAGTAAGAACAAGAAACTTGATTTCTGGTATTTGTCGTATTCGGGCGAGGATGGACTCTGTTCTTGGTAGATCTTTGAGCACGTAAAGTTGCCATCCGAAAATCTGACCGGGCTTTCCTGCTCTCACAATGTCTGTTGGTGTCATAGATGCATTATGTGAAATAATTTGCAGAGCATCAAAGCTCGAGCAAGCTGCTGCAATTCCAGCCTCGCCGTCGGAGTGAGCAAGCCTTGCCATTGCAGCGGGAGATACGTAGATAGGAATCCCTATTCTATGGCCCAAAAAGCTCGTGCTCAAGTCAGGAGTCTGGCGGTCGCGTAACGCTCGAGGTCTTAGAAAGATTTGTTGATAAATTCTGTGGTTGGCGGCTTTCGTGATTTCATCATCAGTCGCTGAAGCATAATATGCCAGAGCTTTGGGAGAAAGCAAATGCATTGCTGTAGCTTCTACATCCTCAATTGTTGAAAGGGAGTTGAGCTCGACGTTGGTCGCTTCGTCACCGGCCATCTTGAACCACAATGACCACAGCGTTGCTGCCTTGTGTCTTCGGCATCAACCTAAGCACCGTGAACCATTGAGATTGAGAAAAAGGAACAAGAAGAAGGAGGAGGAGGAGGAGGAGGAGGAGGCCTTCCCTGCCTTAGAGTGAGATCCAGGGATCCATGATCAATTTTTGCGTTGATTTGAAGAGGCAGTTCTACACACGGCTGGCTCTGAACCAGCTTGACTGAGACCTGCCGCACTATTCGCATTAGAAATGACCCTCTCCTCCTCCCACCAGCCTGTGTGGCCAAAACAGGTCCGCAATGAGGTCGAGATCAAGGGGTGCTTGCCTTTCAGGAAAGAGGACAGGGATAAGTCTGCAAGCCGGCGGCTCTGTCATTTGAAATTTATCAGGGCGTCGATCGTTTTAGCAACGTAACATTCTGGCACAGGCGAATCATTTATATTCCGCCACTTCTGATATCTGCCGGATTGCATGAAATCTTGCACATGGGGGCCTGAGTCTGCTCCAAAGAACTATTCCCCGTGGGGTTCGCCATGCGCGGATGGTGTTGGGTCGTTTGGAGGTGTCGTCCGATCGAGTCGATATCGCCGAGTATAAGACAACCGAATCCTCCTGTTAGTTGGATCAGCTGTTCGATACCCAACTCTTCAACATCCGAAGACACCATTGGTTTGAATTCCCAGAAGTCAGCATGGCCGACAAGATGGAATCCGAAACCAAACATGCTGAGCAGACTCGGCCTAGCCAGGAGAGCGATGTCAAGATCGTGAAGCTGCACAAGATTGAAGGGGTGGAGGCCACTCATGCGTCCATCATGGCCACGAATAAGCCAAATCAATGGGGTCCTGGATATGTTCGATTGTACTCGCTGGCAGCATGCATCTTCTTGAACTCCACGATGAATGGTCAGTTGTCCCCCAAAGAGAAACGCGGATCCCTTCACTGACCATTTTCACTTTCCTGGTAGGTTTCGACACTTCGCTGATGGGATCGATCAATGCTCTTCCAAATTACACAGAATACTACCACCTTCCCGCGAAAGGCAATGCAAGTACTGGTATCGTCTTCGCCATATTTCAGGTCAGTCCGCGCACGGCAAATAGCCGGTTCAGGTTCAGAGAATTGACGCTTGAAAAGGTCGGACAAATGGTCGGATCACTCTTTGTTTGGATTGCCGATTGGAGAGGAAGAAGATTTCTCGTTTTCATCGGAGCGATAGGAGTCTGTGTCGGAACCATTGTTACCTCGACCGCTCCCACACTGTCCACCTTTATTGGAGGCCGATTTCTTCTCTCCTATTTTGCAACTCTTGCCCACACAGGGGCCATCATTTACCTGGTAGAGATGGCGCCAACACGATACAGGGGCACACTTGCGGGTCTGTATAACACCTTCTACTACTTCGTAGGTCTTCGAGAGTCTCCATCGGGTCAAAACTGAATGATCTGACTGAAAGCTAGGGCTCCATTTTGGCAACGTCAGCTGTTTATGGAGCTCATTTGCACCTCTCGGACAATGGAAACATGGACTGGCGTCTACCACTGTGGTTGCAAATGGCTTGTCCAGGTATGGTGGCTCTCGTGATTCTGTTTTTTCCCGAGTCCCCTCGATGGTAAGTTCTCAGCGCAAGCCGCACAGGTCCACGTTAACTGGCTGTCAGGCTTGTTGCAAAAGACCGACATGAAGAGGCCAGAGCCATAATCGCGCGATACCATGCAAATGGGGATTTCGACCATCCTTTGGTGAACCTGGAAATGAAAGAGATGATTGCCTCGCTCCAATTTGAGGGCATGACCACCTGGAAAAACTTCTTCGATCTTAGAGTCCTGGTCAAAACAAGAGGCAGGCGATACCGTTTGATGCTGAATGTGACCTTTTCTTGGTTTGGTCAATTCTCTGGAAACAACATCATTTCATACTACCTTCCCACCCTGCTTCAGAACGTCGGAATAACATCGACTAACATGAAATTGCTCTTAAACATCATCTATGCGTTGGTGGGTTGGATTTTCTCCAGTGCCGGAACTCGTTTCCACGATATCATCGGACGAAGAAAGATGTTTTTGATCTCGACCTCCTGCATGATTGTTGCTCTTGCAGTCACGGCAGGGACTGCCGCAGAGTTTGTTCATACAGGCAGTACCACGGCCTCATCAGCAAGCATCGCATTCATTTACATTTTTGGCGCGGTCTTCAGCTTTGCTTATACCTCGATGCAACCAATTTACCCCAGCGAAATCATGTCGAATGACGCTCGTGCGAAAGGTGTCATGACTTATAAGCTCACTGCCGGAGCGTCAGGGTTCCTGAACACTTTCGTCGGACCGATCGCGTTGAGCAATGTGAGTATAGTTGCCCCCTTCTCAAATGACCACTGTCGCTAACATTTCTAGATCGGATATTGGTTCTATGTTTTCTTTGTCTTTTGGGATATCTTTGAACTGGTCTTCATCTATTTCTTCTTCGTTGAGACCAAAGGGATTTCCCTGGAAGAACTGGACGTCATTTTTGAGGCTAAGAATCCACGGAAGACCAGCACGGCGGTGAAGAAGGCTCAGACTCGAACAGAAAAAGCGTCTGATGGCCGAGTTGAAGCCGATATAAAAGAGGTTGCTTGAGCAAGACAATTGACGAGGAGTCTTATTGGATCTGTGTATCGAGCAGAAATAAGGCGTTTTCATAACATTTATCGCAGTCCTGCCATTGTAGCAACACCGAAAGCCACGCGATTGGATCAAAAGGATGATATCTGAAAGGGGAGTCGATTCATAACAAAGAAGGGGCATCTGAAGCTGATTCATTAGGAGCGTAATGGTATCGAGGTCAAGCTAGTGAAGTGAAAACTTCTTATTGGAGGAAGGTTCCTTTCCTGAGATCAATTCTTGCTTTGATTTCCAAAGCCAAGTTCTTCGTCGCCCACCAGAAATGCACTCCAATCAATCTCGTCCCCAAAAGTAACTTCTTCGTCATACCATCCAAAGAAATTGAAATCCCCATCTGAGACAGAAGGAGTTCGACGAGGCTCGGTGCTCGAGAGGGCCTCATATATAGCTCGGACAATGTCTTGTGACCGATCAGCTGATCTCATCCATGGTCGCATCTGAGGGAACAAGTCCAGAACTTTTACAAGGAGCTCCTTTGACTGAGAGACATCGTCCCGCTGTGTGTCATCTCGGCGACTATTTCCCACTGCGATGGATAGAAGTGGCACCATGGTCGCCTGGAACAGGTACCAAGACGCATTCCATACATGGACTCGGTTGGGTGTCCAGTTGTCAGAAATTGAATCAACGGCTTGCTGAGCGATTTCGTTGCAGGTATGGTGCACGGAAGCTTCTTGTTGGTTTACATGGTGGTTGATGTTGGCCCAATTCCGTCCACTGGATGAGTATAGTAATAACGGTCGGTAGAGGATCAGCCGCAAATTCAAATATCGATTGTGCATGAAATCTCGAGCCATCACCAGCCGCGAAGAGCAGGCATGTGGAGCCACCAGCGGGGAAGGCAGAGATGAGTGCCAGGTTTGAAGCTCCTGATCGAAGGCAAACATTTCGGCGGAAGTGATGCGATGCAATTGGGCCAATCTGCTTTGGATTCGATTCGCGATCAAGCAAAATTCCGAACTGGCTTGTAAAGACAATGCAACATCGTCGGAGTCGTCCATCATTGACGGAAGTCGCGTATCCATCGAAGACTGCTCCCATCGGCCCGATGTCGGTCGCCCCATTGTCATGGAAGACCAAGTATCCAGGCAGAATAAACTCCACCAAGTACGACGTCTAATCTCGGCTCTTGATATAAAGGTGGAATTGTCGGGACTCGACACGGATGGATTACTCTTCCTTGATTCCCGATGGAGGCCAAGTGCAACTGCCACTCGATGAGCAGCACCCAGTAAGGCGGTAGCCATATTGGGAGAATTCTGGTACTGCAAATAGTAACCTCCAAGAAGACAAAGAGCTTGGAGACTTTCAATGTTTCCCGCGCCAAATGTCTCTAGATTCAAATAGGATTGGGCATTTTTGTGGAAGAGCTTGTGTGAGTGTTCTTCGCCTGCCGCAATTGATCCCATGGTGCAGACCATATTCAGCAGAGCCAGCCAAGAGGCATCTGCTCTGTTATTGTTTTGCCATGTGGATCGAAATTCTGCTTCATTCAACATGGGAGTGATCCCATGAATGTGGTCAAAATACGCGTCGATGAAACGTAACTCATCCATTCTGCCCGTATCGATCTGAGTCGGGGTTGCGGGAAACACCTTCGGAAGAGGCTTTGGCCATCCCTTCGCATATTGGGCGATGTTTGACTTGGCGAGAGGACAAAGTCTGAAAATTGTGCGAAGGATAGCACTGATGGAAGAAACGCCGAGATAGGATCTTCGGTGTTGGTCATAGGCCAGAGAGACCGCATTGACGTCGTCACTGGGTTTTATTGAGGCGTCAGGATCGGTCTGAACTTCGTCCCATTGGCGATCATGCTCCTCCCCATTTTCGGACACTTGCTGGGAATCATCAATGTCATCTTCTGGGTTAACTCGATTTTCAGGGCTTGTCGAAATTTGAAATCGCGGCGCCCTTGGCCCAAGAGTATGCCCTTCAAAATTGTGAGAATCTAGATATGTCTGTTGAGACGTCCCCATGCCAGAGCCGCCCGCCTTCGCAGTCCATCGTTCTTGCTCATTTCGGGTCTGGGAGCCAAGCACTTGCAGGAGCTGATCCCTCCCTTTCCCTTTCAGAGAGCTGATGTCCAAGTCAGAAAAGAGTTCCTTCAGGACAGCTTTATGGTCATTCAGCTCTTGCGAGGCCTTCTCCAAGGCGTTTCGTGAGGCTGCGTGTCTTTGACTCCGATGACGATAGCCACAAGCGTTGACGACTTTGTAGTATCGACAATTGGTGCATGGTTGGCCTCCATCGCATCTGATCTTCCGCCTTGTGCACTCAAAGCACGAACGGTTGACCTTTCGTAATGCTGGAGGTTTTGGAGCCGTTGATGCCTTTATATTCTCCCCAATCCTGAATGAAGCTGAGGCAGGATGAAAGGCATGAAACATGATCGGGAGTCAATAGAGCGGTCTTGTAAAGTGACCCGCATTCTGATTTAGAAAGACTATGGAGATGCTCTCCGTCCTGGGTGGCGTTAGAAAATAACCAAAGTAGCTCCGCCAACGTAGCACCCCTGTTGAAATCCTTGTCCGGTTCTCGGAAAACTTTCCTGCTTCACAGTCCTTGTCACCTGACCATAATAAGCATCAGAGATCTGATGCTCCACTGTATCGGGATATACGGCAGCTCATAGAAACATTAGCGCAAGAGTGTCATTCTCTGCCAGGAGCTTCTGGATCCGCTCATATCTAAGCATGGCTTCCGTGATCTTTGCCATGTATCGTCTAAAGTAAGCAGCCTCCAAGTATTTTACCCGAGCTTGAGAAATTGCTGACAGCGTCAGCCAAAACAACATCTGTTCCGGTTGGTCGGACGGTCGGTCGGACGGTCGGTCGAACGAAAAGACCCATGAGCAGTGGCCCGTGGCTTCGGAGTCGTCATAGATGTCGTAATCCAGTAGCGGGTGGCATCTGTAATGTCGATCAATTTCGCTCTATAGCTTCTTTCAACACCATTGCATGTAGAGGCTGACGAGAGTCGGCGACCATGACAGTCAAGTTCCGCCGCAAGAACACGAAATAAAGTAACATCCAAAGGGGCAATGACCCATTTGCGGATAGGATTTTCCAGGCTTGATTTTCCTTAAGCCAGATTCGGTTTGCTGGAAGGATTGTTGCCCAACTGGTATATGAACCAGTCGTCCCTCATCATGCATCTTTGATGATTTCATTCTCACATCGAAGCAGCGCTTTTATTTGCCTCAGGCAGGGCCATCGGACCTCCAAGCTCATCTCACAATGCCATTGATTGAAATCGCAACAGTCCGCCTTCGTCCTGAGTTCTCCTCGGAGCTTCCTCCTTCATTCACTGAGACATGGTCGCGGGCTCTCCGTCTCGCTGGTGCGGCGGCCGGCATCCCTTTCCAGTTGTATCAAAACGACAGGGACTCGGACTTATATTACCTCTTCGGAGGCTGGGCCACCGGGGCTGATCATATTGCTTTTCTGTCCACGTCTAGCGCTGTTGAGCTCGCCCAAGCAATTGGACAGTACATGACGGTTGACATTGTTCGCCATATTGATGGAGATGTCCGCGACTTGATAGGAAGACAGCAAACTGGGGATAAGCTAGGACGGTTGAAAGTCGGAGTATACAAAGTACCCAATACGATGTTGGACGAATGGAAACACAAATGGCAACTTGTACACGAAGGTAGTGACGGAGTTGGAGGTTGGGACATGAGTGCGTCCGTTCAGACACAACACAAAGCATTCAGGGAGATGGGCGAGGCCATCAACAGTGTGTCAGCTTTTGGTGGAAACGATCCGGGTGGTATAACGAGTTGGGTCTGGGTGACCCTCGCAGGAGCCGGGAATGAAGGGGATCAGGGTGGAATGAGCAAAAATCTGATGGAGGATGTCGAAACAGACTTTTTCGAAATGGAACATGTTTTGGGATAGTCAGGTCCCAACATAGTGAGGGAGAAAAACACTGAATGACGGAAAGCAATCTTCTCGCCGAAGATTCTGAAGAAACCGAATTTGAAAATAGTCTATTGAGTTGCATTTTGAAGAGTTTGTTCGGTGTTATTTTACAGGTCTTGTCATGTTGCCATCTTTTCAGAATCCTACCGAGAAGAATTGACGCTTCGCAGTAGTGCAGGAGACAAGGTGAGGTTGAGATGTAATTGGGTGTGTTCGCCATTCCTCGCCAAGCTGATTTGGCCAGAGATCTCGAATCACCAGCCAGCTTTCTCTTTCCGCCTCAATTTTGCAGTCAGGCGAGCTGTGCATCACATTCACCGTAATGTTTCTGTAGCACGCCAGCTGGCTAGGAAAGAAATTTGTGGAGATGTGAAGGCTGAAATTGAGTCTGGACAATGATGTGTCCAGCTAGTTGTAATATTGACTGCTGACTCAGGGTCCGGAAGTTGGCCGGTGATCATAGGCGACATTTGATTCGAAACGATCATTTCTGATGTAGAGTCGATTTGCCTAGGACTTGAGCAGCGATAAGGAGATGATGATGAGGATGAGGAAAAAGCCCCTGCTTGATATCAGTCCAAGTCCATTCCACCGTTAGCAACAGCTATCGATCTAGGGCTGTTAAGTCGGTTATAATCGGCCCAAATCTCCGTCATGTCTCGCTGAGATAGTTGAGGTTGGGCGGCTTCTGGGCCCGGAGTTCTCTCGGCCCGCAAGACGTCTTCGCCTTCGAATGCCATGGGATTGGACATCAGATTTTGTAGACATGTCTCCCAAGTCCTGCCCACCAGCTTACCCTCCAGCAGGTCTTCGCTAAATAGGAAAAAGCCTTCCTGACAGCCCACGAGATAGGCGTTGAGACCAGAGCTTTTGAGTAAAATCTGTGCTCCATGGATATATCTGGCATAATGGTTTTCCAAATATTTCGCCCAGCCTCTGGCCGCCGCCTGAATGGCTTCATCTTCCAACGCCATCTTAGTCCAGCCAATGCCCAAGGTTATGGTAGCCTCGTCGAACTCGGGTCGATCCCCGGCGGTTTTAGGTGGGCTTGCCGGTGCGGAGGTAATGGAAGTATCGATGGGTAGACGGATTGAGCTTTGAGACAATCGAACAGATTTTCGACTGGGAGGCATCTTGGGCCGGAATTGCGCCGCTTTGGCTTGCTCTTCCAACGCCTTCTCGTCCGCCTTTTCCTCATACCAGGTGCCGGTTTGGCTCTCCGCCGAAACGGACAGGCCCGTTTTAGGATTGAGCAAGACCATACCTTCACCGTAGATAGGCTCTTCCTCGGGAATGGGCGCCGGGGTATCGACTGAGGCAAAGTAAGAGCCGTCTGCCTCATGGCCGAAGGCGGATTCGTCGCGCGACCGCTTTCTCGATGGATTGGTACAGATGGGGGTCATGCTGTCGACTGGAGTCCATGTGGTAGAGTGATGGGGATATGAGGCCGGGCAGGCTTCATCCTGCTCCATCGCCTTCGGCGTGTCGGACGGGGTAGGTAGTTGAGTTTGTTCTAGAGACACGAAGGGCATGTTGGCATTCGTGGCCAACGAACAGATCCCGTGATATGTCTACGGAGGGCGCCAATGCCAAATTGCCAATGGTAGAGGCGATGACGGCAAGCAGAGGGAACGATGCGATCGAGCACTTGTAGGTGAAAGGTTAGGGGTTGGTGTGAGGTGGTGGGATGAACGGAAAGTCAGGACGGATGGGCGGAGGACGAGGATGAGAAGAGGAAGCGAAGCGAAGAGGCGTAAGGGACGAGGCAAGATGAATTTGAAGGGGGGGAGAGAGAGACCGAGAGAGGTAGGGTCGCATGCTGGGGAATGAGGAATGGTGAATGGAAATAGGATGGCCATGGAAACTGAGAGCGAGAAAAAGTCAAGCAAACTCTGGGGATTTTGCGGTCTGCCAATCCCTTTGCCCATGATGTAGTGTACACAGGATGGTGAATAAATGGAGGCAGTGGATGTGGACATGCAAGACGTCTAAGCACGGGCTTTGCGGCAATGGCAGCGATGGGTACTGCAGAGTTCGGAGCCGCGAGTATGAAAGATTGAACCAGGAACGCCGCAAGTGATCGGGAGGCTGGCACAACGATTGATGTGTGAGCTGCAGTGGCATTGCATGCATAAGCCCAAGTTCTCCCAGTATCCGGTCCACCATGCCTGAGGGGGAGAGGCAAACAGCCAGCAGGCAAATCAGCACTGGAGGCGGGCATGGAGAAGCTTTGCGATGGACACCTGAGAGGGTAGTTCGTGGCTTGCTGGTTGATGCGGTAGGTTGCAAGGCAACAACCCCCACTTGGCTCGCCGTTCGCCGCCCCCACTGGACGACCAGCCTACAAACACTGAATGGGTGCTGGGACATCCAAAAGGGGGAGCCAGAGCTTAGTGCCAGTAGCCCAATAAAATGTCATCGCATCAACTGGTTGTTCTGGTTGCATCGGGAATCCGGCCAGTGGCACGGTGACCACGGCCTCAAGGGCAAGAGCTAAAGATCAGGTGCTGATGTGGGGGAACAAAGGAACTATCCACTCTTTGGGAACTCCGTAGATGCGACGCCTGCTGCCTTGCTGGCGAAATAGTGATGACAAAGAGCAGGGGCGGATAGTGGATGTTTATCCGTGTCGTTTGAGGGGCGCCAGGCTCAGCTTGAGGCTCAGCGATCCTAGCTAGAGTTCTCACAATATAGCTCACCTTTCCTCTGTTGGCAATGCTGTATATCATTATCTAGGTAGGCAGAAGAATAGCTAAAACTCGAAGCACCATCTAACTTATATCACTGTGTATCCCCAACGCCGTTTTCTGCTTATCAAATATGATACAATACTCCGTACACGCGATCAGGATGCTGAACCAGTCCAACTAGGCCCCCGGTCTACTCATCATCTCTATTGTCGTATGGTCAATCAGTCAATCCTTCAGCCGTCGACTCGATAAAGCCTTCCCCCATGTTGTTCTCGTATCTGTGTATATTCATGAACCCAGTCCAGTGCTGAACAAATCCTTCAAGTTCTTGGTTTGCGCGGGGGCGTATGTTGGAGCCAAGCCACCCAGCAAGAGGAAAATTGTGACCAACACCAACCCGAAGACGAGTGCTTTTCGCATGGCGGGTCGTTGAACACCGAACTCTGACCACGATCGCCCAGCCTGGCTCATATATTGCTTGAGTTGTTCCGATCCAAGCCTGTAGTACAACAGACCGCCGAGCGCGATTGTGTAACCAAAAAATTGTGTCTTGCTGACGGGAGTACCCCAAATTAACATGGACGCCACCACCAGGAGAATATCTTTGAGAATGCCGCAGAGAGTGAGAACCAGCGATGATGTCTTTCCGATCTATAGAAAGGGTCAGACGCTGCACCGACTGCCGCGTAGATCAGTGTGCACTTACCAGGAAGACCACGGAGACGTTGAGGAGGAACGCAACCATTGCATTGGCCACAAGCATGAAAATACCGACATCGTAAATGTTATCCATGCTCATTTTGGGCATCTCAAGCACCAGGGCGGTTAGACCATTCATGACAGCGCAGACGGGCGCAAAGTAATACAACGACACCAATGGATCCATCTTGAATTCGGCAGAGCTGAGCAGACGTTGAACCAGAACCAACCGGGTAGCCTCAAAAGTAATGCCCCCGGCCTGGTACAAGAAACCGGTCAGATTGAACTCGATCTCACCATACGACGCGATGATCACTCCAATCACAATGAACGAGACATTGCCTAGGGTCTTCAAACTTGGGGGTGCGACACCCATCATCCACGTGGTCAGGAGGACTGCAACCGGCATCGTCGCCTTCCAACATGTCAACCAATGCTCCCTTCTTTTCGCCGGCGAAACTCACCTTCAGCATCTGGATGAAGGCAACACTCAAGTAAAGGTAGGCTTTGTTTCCACAGATCAAACTCAAGCTGAAGAAGAAGCCGATGGGAAGGATGGCTCGGAGGTAGACTCGGCCGGTCATTTTGACGGTTTTGCGTCCATCTAGCAGGGTCGTAGTCCGGGCCAGGATCTGGGTCATGAAGGTCGCAAAGACCATGTGCCTGACGGTGCAACATCAGTCGAAGGCTGGGGAGGAAAATGGGCCAACCCGACGCCTACCATGCTGTGAGGGTGATGGGAAATTCTTGAGACCATGTCAGCACGTCGACTATTCGGAATATTGATAAATGCATACTGAATCCAAGTGTATCCAACAACCATTTATTGAACAAAATAACACCTCCACTGAATCCGATCCACGTCCTGCCAACGTTGTGTCAGTTCATGTGCCGGCTGGAGAATGAGACGGTACGTACACGACGTAGAAAGCCGGGTGTAGGGAAGGTTTAGGGGGCGCTGGTTTTTCTGTCGTTGGAGTATTGGCGGTTGGCAGGACGGGTGTTGGTTCAGCTCGGGGCTGCTCCCCCGACGTGCGTGCTTTCTTCTCGACGTCGGCCATTGCGGGAAGAGGTAATTGGGAGCGGAGGAGAAAGTCTCGAAAGGAAAACGGCCGCGGCGACCTAGACAAGGTCCTTGGGTGAAGCACGTTGGCGAGAATCAAGCAGACATAAGCAAGTGACCGATGAGACGGTTTGGGCCAAGGAAGGATGAATTGATCCTCAGAGCGCAAGAAAATGGAGGGGAAAAGAGAAGATGCCGAATTGAGGATTGATTCGGTTGCTGCTCGATGAGGGTCAAGATTCAGAATCACAACGTGAGAAGTCAAAAGTCCAGGCCAAAAAGGGGATCGTGGTCCAAGCAAAGTCCAGCGTAAGCCTGAAAGCCACCGGGGAGCCACACACGGCAGAGGCCTGCCAATGGGAGCACGTGCATCCTCTCGCTAAGTGGATTTCACCATTTCGATGACAACCCCCAATTTTGGACCTGAGGACCTGAGACACGCGTCCAGGGTTTGACAACACAAGCAATATGATGTTATGGGATAAATACATTGCGGACCGTCTTTGAGAGTGGTAACCGACCACACTCCCCATGGACGGAGGACTGTGTCTGCGGTTAGAGTTCTCAACTTTTCGATGCCTATATGGTGATCAGCGAGGCTCTTCGCATAGGATTCGCTCGCAAACGTCCCATAAATCCGCAAGAGAGATCAAGCAACGGCTTCTGTCCACAGCATGAGCAAACTATCCGATGCAACACAGAAATTGTGTCATTCTTCTCGCCATTGGCTTTTCCCCCTCCTGCAACAAAACAGCCACCCAATGCAGCTCCCTCGAGTACTAGCAACGCGCCACTTAGCTCTGCGACACTCGTATCTACAGCCTAACCGCAGGGTTCTAACGGCTGGTATGAAAGTGGTACCAACGCAATTTGAGCGCGATGATCAGAAGAAAAGGGATGAACATGGTCCTATCCACCACAATCCCTGAAGGCGAGGCTGGGTGCAGGAGATACGGTAAATGATTTGATAGACTTTGACAGTAGACAGCGACCCAGCGACCTAGCAAGCCATGCCCCCCTGCCAAGCCCTCTAACTTCGCAACAGAGGGACTTCTCTGGGGTCGCAGACGGGAGCCAAATAAACCCCAATTGCTACGCAACATTTGACTTGTTCCCATGTCCGTGCATTCCAGTACGGTTAAGGTCGCGGGTTGTATCAATTGTGTCTCTCCTTGTCTCTGTTAGAGCGCTCACAACATTAGTTTGAGCCAAAATCATGCCCGAAATGTGTGTCAAACCCCCGGTGTTCTTTGGTCACCACCAACTAACACGAGTGCTACAGTTCAGTGGATGTCCTGGTCATTGGCGCTGGCCCAACGGGCTTGGGAGCGGCCAAAAGACTGAATCAGATTGTATGTCGCCTTCACAGATTGAGAATTCCCACTGACCGCATTGGCAGAACGGCCCATCGTGGATGATCGTCGACTCGAACGAAACTCCTGGTGGCCTCGCCTCGACGGACGTAACCAAGGAAGGGTTTGTGCGTCAAGACAAGAGCTCTGCATGAAACGGAAGACTGACAACCGGGTAGCTGTATGATGTCGGCGGCCATGTCATCTTTTCTCACTACAAGTACTTTGATGACTGCATCGACGAGGCCCTGCCCCAAGAGGATGATTGGTATACACATCAAAGGATATCCTATGTCCGCTGCAAGGGCCTATGGGTTCCCTACCCTTTCCAGAACAACATCTCCATGCTGTCCAAGGAAGATCAAGTCAAGTGCATGGATGGCTTGATCGACGCCGCTTTGGAAGCCAGAATTGCCAATACAAAGCCCCAGAATTTTGACGAATGGATTTTGCGCAATCAGGGCGTTGGACTTGCCGACCTCTTCATGCGGCCATACAACTTCAAGGTCTGGGCCGTTCCTACCACCAAGGTAAGATTGACCTCGGATACACAGGTTCTCAGGACTCCTCTGATGCATGCGCAGATGCAATGTCAATGGCTGGGCGAACGTGTAGCTGCCCCAGATCTCAAGAAGGCCGCACAGAATGTGATTCTGCAAAAAACCGCAGGCAACTGGGGACCCAATGCCACATTCAGATTCCCTGCCCGGGACGGAACCGGGGGGATCTGGATAGCGGTGGCCAACACTCTGCCGGCCGAGAAGAAGCGTTTCGGCAAGAAAGGCGCGGTCCAGAAGGTCAACGCAGATCAGAAACAGGTGCTTCTGGAAGATGGCACCATCGTGAACTATCAACGACTTATCAGCACCATGGCCATCGACTTCTTGGCGGAGGCCATGGAAGATGAGAAGATGATCTCTCTGTCCAAGGGCTTGTTCTACAGCAGCACCCATGTCATCGGTGTCGGTCTCCGTGGCACGCGGCCCGAGCGGATAGGTGACAAATGCTGGCTCTATTTCCCCGAAGACAATTGTCCATTCTACCGCGCCACCATCTTCTCGAACTACTCGCCATACAATCAGCCACCAAAGGATGTCAAATTGCCGACTCTGCAATTAGCCAACGGATCCCGTCGACAAAGCATGCAGGCCAAAGAAGGCCCATACTGGTCAATCATGCTGGAGGTTTCTGAATCGAGCATGAAGCCTGTTAACCATGAAACTCTCCTCAAGGACTGCATCCAGGGTCTGGTCAACACCGAAATGCTGAAGCCAGAAGATGAAATTGTGTCGACCTATCACCGACGGTTTGACCACGGCTATCCCACCCCAACGCTGGAACGAGAAGGAGTCCTGAAGCAGATGCTCCCAGCTCTCCAAGAAAAGGGAATCTATAGTCGAGGCCGATTTGGATCGTGGAGGTACGAAGTTGGTAACCAGGATCATTCATTCATGCTCGGAGTGGAGGCTGCCGACAACATCTGCAACGGTGCCACCGAGCTCACGCTGAACTATCCTGACTTTGTCAACGGACGACAAAACACAGAGCGTCGCTTGGTGGAAGGAATGCAATTGTTTGGCAAGAAGCCCACATCACAACCGGCCCAGAACGGCAGCGTGGTTGCGGGACGGCGAATGACGGGGGGGAAGGCTGAACTGCGTGGATGAGTGGAGGCTGGATGTCACGAATGGTCTGAATGCCCGCGGCGGAACGGCCACAACTGGCAAAGATGGCAACTAAACAATAGAGGACATACGAACAATAATGTGGATAAATGGCCATAGACAGGGAGTTGCACTGGCTTATCGGTACATGTTTGCCCATACAGGAGGATAAGGGCATCAAGTATCGATTAGACATACATTGGGAAAGTCTGGTAATCGAATTTTGATGGACGGGTCTCCCGCCTCCAGGTCTGACAGAGCGGATATTACCAATTCTAGAACCACCCCCAGGTACGTCCTACCCAGGTGCCAACTATCAGTCAGTCTTCTCCACGGGTCGGCATCAATGTATAAAATGCGGGGGAGACCGGAACCGTTTAGAAACCCGGAGCACTCTGAAGAAAGGAAAGGAAAAAAGGAAATAAGTAATGTGGTCAGGTGGTGAATAGGATCTAGGCTCAATTGGCTGGTTGATTTCTGTTCCATACAACCAGCATGAGAACTGAAACACTGAATCATGGCCACGTGAGGGACAAGAAAAAGTTTTTTTCTCCTGCGGATTGCCATACGAAGACCGTTCATTGTCCGGTGCTCGATGTGGGAATCCCAAAAATGGCTCATCGAATGGCTCGATCCATCAATTCATGGGTCTCATGGCCACCCACAGTCCTGAGCACGTTCGAATAGATGCAGTCGATCGAAGAGTTTGTTCAACGATCGAGACAAGTCCAGACACCAGATCACGTCACATTGCGAACTGCGGGCTCCGGGCTCCAGCCGTGGTTCCTGAACCGGTGCGGCCAGCCAATCAACCAGGCGACAATTCAGACAGGTACCCGACTATAACCGACATCCAACCAGCAAGCTATTGAGCCACTCGCCGCTGCTCTTGTAGGGACCACCCACCCATATTACGGGCGCTCTGAAAGGCTGGCGCAGGCTGTTGGATACTTGGCCACTCCCCCTAAATGTCGCCTAGTGCCTCCGTAACTTGCCCCCACATGATCACTTTTTGGTCTAGTCTCTTACCTGAACCACGACGCACGCTGCATCATGCGAATCGTCAACGATATACGGGAGTGACTTTGCCTGCGCCTCCAACAAAACGTCTTTGAATTCCTCACTGAAAAACAAAACACCTCATCTTCATTGTAACTGATCTCATTCATCATCTGCTGCTTGTCCTTCCTCCTCCTCTTCTTTCTCTTGTCCCCCACGCCCAACAATCTTTTTCCCAACATCCTCCCCTGTCTACCGTACTCTCTATTTCTTCACCGTTTTGTCTTCCCTCTTGGATTGTTCTCTACTCCTTTTCCCTCGAGTCTTCTCCAACCGGTATGTAGTTTCTCCAATCCTTCGAGAATCCGCCCTACTCTTATCATCCACTCGCAGATCTTCATCCCACCACTCGTCCATCTGCCAGGCGGTGTAGAGCAGAATGCTCTTTTTTTTTTTTTTTTTTTTGGGGGGTGCCCCCTTCTCAGTACAATACTAACATCTTGACTCCATAGCCGACATCAAGCATTCGGTTGCCCATTATGTCGGCCCAAATAGTTCCAACCGTTCCCCCTCGTCCTGTTCGAGTCCAACAAGCACTGGCTCATGGCGCAAATAAGCTGCCCGACGTTCCTCGTCCTATCAATAAGCGTCTCGATCGTTCTGTTTCGCCCGGAAACTATCCTCGCTCTCCTTTGAATGAACCGTGGCCCAGCAATCTCGCCCGTCAGAAAACCACTGAACAACAGTCCGCAGAGGCACTTCCACGCCGGCCCAGTGTCCAAAATCTCCCGTCCGTCGGACAAGAAGGAATGGAATATGCCGAGATTCTGGACATGCAGACGAACCAGCAGCCTCCAGTTTCAGCTCTGGCTGCTGATGCTGCTGCGCAGACAAGAAATATTGGACAAGATCTGACGCTGCATGCTCCGAAACCCTCTCTCCCCAAGTCCAGTGCCACCGCCCAAGTCCAGGCCGTCACCCGAACCGACTCGCAACAAGCGGCCGCTCACGGTATCGGGGAACCGTCCACCCCGTCCCAGGATGAAGGTGATGCCCTTCCGCATGTGAGGGCCAGAACTAGTTTCTCCAGACCGTCATCCGCAGTCGCAGGTGAACGTCGTTCCTCCATCTACGGTGACGAGTCGGGCCCAGCGGAACTCGGTCTCCGAGTCCCAATCAATCCATTACTAGGAGACGTTCAGGCCCCTTCTCCGGCGCCGGGCCTAAGCCCTTCCCATACCGGAAGCAATGGAGAACAAAAGAGACGTCCCAATCATTCGCGAACGAAAAGTGGTCGAGAAAATTTTGCTCCGCCGGGTAGCTACGGTCTTCACGGTCACGGCATCCCCCCGCAGGACAAATTTGAGAAAGATTGGTACGCTAAACACCCCGAGGCCGCTCAGCATGAGGAAACCCACGGCCATGGAGTGTACGAAAGCATCGGAAGTGGTCGAGGCGCCTTCGCATTGAGCAGTGACGATTTGAACAAGATCGTTCGTGACACTGCAAGTCGTGGAGCAGGCCTGGGTAAGGAATGCAGACATTCGTATCTGCGGCAATGTTGCTGATCTTGATAGGCACTTCTAGGGCTACCGACTCCTATCCAGATGAACAGATCGGATATCAAGCCTCCGATCTCTACGTGTCAAGATCCCAAATAAATACTCCGAACAGCCTGGCCAAGACCATCACCAACACGTCTCAACCAGCCGCTGAGTCGCCCTTGAGGAAGACCAGTTTTCTTGCGGACGAGCCCATCCCCGCCGAAGTTCGCCGAGGCCGGTTGTCGGTGTCGGGCCGATCCGATGATCATCCCCTCGAGAGTGAAGCCGAGCAGGAAGTCCATATTCAACCTCAACGCCGTTATAATAAGGTTACCGGCGGCGAAGAAACCCTGAATGAAACGGAAGACGTGAGAGCGTCGGGTGAGAACGACTACATCAATGAGCACGGCTACAGCGTTCCTATTCTAGCCGCGGACGAAGTCGCAAAGGAAGAGGGCATCGAGCATCTCCAGCCAGCAGTGTCTCCCAATGCAGAACGTCGTGGCAGTTCGTACGATCTGGAGCACCGAAGTGGCGATGCAACTCCGTCTTCACGACCGTCAAGCAGACCGTCCAGCGTATACGGTCTGCACAACTCCTCTCATTCACTGACTCGGTTCACTTCGCATCACGATGATCGGGAGAACATGCATACTCCACTGGAAGATGTGGAGGAGTATGAACCCCTTTTTCCCGAGGACGATGACGAGAAAAGGCCCGTGAGTAATGCAGAACGATTCAAGCAGATACCGCATGCCCTGAAACAACGATTCCCTAGTCAGGATATCTGGGAGGATACCCCCAGCAGCGCTCTCTATTCTGCGACCGTATCGACTCCAGATCTTCCCAATCAGACAGAGAAGCCTGCTTCCAAAACCTTCGAGCCTCCTAAGACGGAAGCGGCTCGAAAGGACGAATCCGCCGAGGACGAACAAAAGAAGCTCCTCCCATCCGAAGAAAGACTCGCCCAATTCCGATTTGCCCCACTCCTCCGTGACGATATGCCGACAAGGCCTGGAATGGTACCAAGGTTCCCATCCTCGGATATTTGGGAGGATAGTCCCGAAAGTCACCAGCTTGTCACCACGGTCAGCACTCCGCCAGTCGAAAACGAGGGAGAGGGTCCGGCCGAGGTACCAATCAAACCATTCATTCCGTCTCGTCCTGCAGGCAAGAGCAGATCAGGCGAAGGCGCTTCCTCCGCTCAAGTTGCCCCAAGTATTCCTGCTCGACCCCCGAAAACGATTCAGAGTGCGCCACCTACAAGCTCCGCGTCAACAGACACCGCGGCGCCGAAGGGAGCATCAACATCTCCCGAGCCGAAAAACGTTCCAAGCATACCTGATCGACCGAAGCCGCAGATTCCAGCTCGACCAGCCAAGAAAGCACTTGGAGAAGGTTTAACCAAGACAGTTTCTGGTGAATCGACCGGGCCGACTGGGCAAGAGAAGGCCTCACCGCCGATTGCTAAGGTTAAACCTCAAATTCCAGCGAGACCGGGCCAAAGCAGTAAAATTGCCAATCTGAGAGGAAATTTCATGAATGATCTGAACCAGAAACTTGGTCTAGGACCCCCCAAGGAGAAAGAGCCTGAACCTGTGGCAGAAGAGACCAAACCCTTAGAAGACGCACGAAAGGGCAGGGCCCGTGGCCCACAGAGGAGAGCTCCAGCCAAATCTCCAGCAGCTGTAGTGAAGCCTCAGTTTGCATTTTCCATGTTTACGCCCAGGTCATTATGGACAATTGACGATGCTGATGAGTTGAATGTTACTTCAGACGAAGCACCAGCACCCAAGACGACGTCAACGGAACAGGCCCCGAGTTCCGCTCCTCCCGATGCGTCCCTCCTCACCGCAATCGACACAACAGACCATGACAAATCCAAGGGAGAAGCCGAGGTGGAGAAAGGTACCGAGAGTGAGCCAGAAGCAGCTGCTACCAGGATCCCTTCAAACACCTCAAGTGAGTTCGTGGATCCGACTCTCGGAACACCTAGCCAGGAGAAATCCAATCCGCTCAGTCCCAAAACGTCCAATGAAAAGGTTATGGGACTTTCCAAACACTCGACTGCCAGTCCAGATCAGACTTCCGGACCAGAACTTGAGAGGGAGAGTCCCGATCCCAATATCGCTGCCATCCCCGCGAGCAAGCAGACGACGGCCAGTACGGAGGCAGATACGGCGCCATTAGAGAAGAGCCCCACACAGGAGTCTCGTTCTGTCACTCTGACGGAAGGAGAGCCAGACAAGGTGAGTACAGAGGACGCGTAAGCTAGTAGCAGGATGCTGGTTGGACGAGGTTTAAGTTTACTTGTGAACGAGTAACTTCAGAACTCCAGATGCCATCATAAACCGTAAATGGGCTGGTTGGGCTATGAATCGGAACAGGGCTGGGAACGTAGGGTTCCCAAGGTCCCCCAAAAGAAGAGAGTCAATAAATTTTCTATTCTTCTCATCAAGCTTCCCACGAAATAGGTCGTAGTTCAATTTCACATGGCAATGAAGCGCTCATGCCGGCGATCCCCTTGGTTCGCGTACCATCTACTTCGAGCCCGGATATTCGGGCTTCCATTCTTCATTCAAACATGTCGTCAAAGTCCGCTGCTTTCGGACGTACTCGGCGCCCTTGAGACATGGGACTTGTCGTCGTAGGTGTTGGAGCAGGCTGAGGCGGCTTTAAAGTGGTCACTGTCTCGTTCGTTTGGGACGCTGGCTCGGAGTTGGCCGGAGACGGAGGGTCTTGTTCGATGCCTATCCCCGTGTCTGTGGCGTCCTTCTCGGGTGCATTTTCTTTATCTTCAGCCTCGTCTTCGTCGCTGCTATCGAGCATCGGGATGCCATCGAGGCCCGCATCGGTCAGATCGTCGTCGCCGTATTCTTCGTCGTCATCGGCCATTGGTGTCCCGTCCACGTCCATGTCGACATCGGCATCCCCATCGGCGCCATCCTCGGACCGGCCCAGCATAGATGGGCTATCAATGGCCCATTCATCAGGTTGAATACTGGCATTGGCGTCATCAACACTCCTCCAACGATTGACAGGTTTGTCTTTCTCCTCCTTTGCAAGGCTGTCTCGATCTGCCCTGCCCTTCTTGGCCTCATGTTCCTTGATCTCCTTCTCTGTCAATGGCGGATGCAAGAAACCCTCGACAAATTCCTCATGACTCTTCCCGGGAAACACACACCAACCTTCCCACAAACTAAGCACACTCTGCACGCTGCGCCGCCACTTCTCCGCCTTCAGTTTGCCCCAGTCGTTCTCGCGCGCCGCGCGGCCGAGAATTGGGAACACATTCTGGAGACGCAATTGTGTTTCGAAAAGTGAGCGGTAGCGCCATGCATGTCGAACCCCGGCCGAGGCAGAGGACGAAAGGATGTCGGAGATGATATACAAACCCACCATGGAGGCTGGGGTGGTGTCTTTCTCCTTCTCTGCGTCGTCTGTCTTGGGTTTAGAGCCTTCGACGATTTCGTCATCACTGTAGCCCTCATCGTCAGGATGGCGAGCTTTCTCTGCTTTGATCACGCTGTAGCAGAAGGGTTTGATCACATTGCGCGTCACCAGGGTGGCGACTTCGTCCGCGCCCGCACCAGCATGTCCGATTGCAAAGCCTGTTACTCGAGCAACGTCGCCTTTGCGAAGCTTGGTGTTGGATTCGGGTAAACGGCTCAGCAGATGGACGAGCTTGGTTTTCGCCAGCGGGTTCAAATATCCGGCGCCGTCGTTATCGTGCATGGAATCGGCGGGGTTCCCCGCAAGCTTTTGGTGATCGTGATAGCGTCTGGCCAAGCCGCCTCCGTCTTCGGCGTCCTCCTCATCGGAGGAATTGTAGTCCTCATCGCTGATGAACTCTTCGAGTTTCGTGGTATATTCGAACTTGAGGTTTTCCTCCGGGGGAACCCAGATACTTTGTCCTTCGAAGAGAACATCTCCTGACTGTCGCATGCCGTAACTAGTGGGTTGGCGTCGTCTGCGGGCGATTGCATTCGTCAGAATTTCCCACAACCGCCAACGATAGTATACACCACCGGTGGATCGGGAATTCCACAGCCAAGCCCATTGTTCTGCACGCTGAATTTGGGGGCGGGACATCAACAGTGCTTCAAACTCAGGCCCGTAGGTCAGGAGGGCTTCGACTGTTTTGTGGATGAGTCGGAGTTGTTGGAGGTCCCTGGGTGCTTGGACTAAGACTTGAGTCGCGGGTAGATTATTGGATCTCGGTCCGTATGGGGTGGAAGATGTGAATGACGCGGGTGGTGCAAAACGTCCTGGCCCTTGGCCTGGCGGAGGGGCTCGAGATAGAGAAGTATGTTGAGGAATCGGCTTTGCGCCGAAAGGGAGGGAGTTCAAGTTCGAGTGCGGTGTGTTATTGCTCAAGGAGTTGGAACCGGTCAGTGCTGCAGAAGAGAGATGACGAGATATCGACAGATTGAATCCAAAGCCGAGATACCTGTTCTGTAAATGCGATACCATCGTGTCAATGTCGGTTGCTGGTGTTTCAGCCGCGAGAGTCACGATAGCCGTGACGGATTTTCTTTCGTTTATTGACCCTGAGCCGGCCGGCAGAATGCGGACATTTTCGATCGTTAACGGAGACGGTGTGAAAAGGCTCTTGATGACTGCTGGCGACGTTCCCGGAGGGAGCGAGGAGAGATGTAGGGTCGGCTTTGCAGCAGCCTTGAGCTCGCCGTCATCCCTGGCGTCCTCTTCTTCATTAGAAAAGGTCCCAGAGTCCCGCCGATTGTTTCCGTCTCTTTCATCACTATATGAGAACATCCTATCCCGGCGATCTCGATCTCTTCCCGCATAGTCTTCATATTGTCTTTTCTTGCCGTAGTTCGGGACAGGTCCCAAACTACCCGGTCCGCTTTTTGATGTAGATGGAACCGGGCCCAAACTCCCTGGCCCACTCTTCAACCCAGAGCTTGTGAAGTGCCTTTTGCCCGGCCCCGGCCCATAGTTATTGTTTACGCTGGCTCCTCCCACACCTGGTCGTTTCGACGGAAATGCGGGCTGATCTCCTTCGTCATCAAAACTCTTCACAAAGTCTTCGAGTACAGCTGCCGTCTCTGCCTTTTCTCGGGCCTTTTTAGCTTCTGCTTCCGCCTTCTGGCGCTCGAAGACGGACTTTTTGACCGGTGCGGCGAGTTTAGAGGTCACATCAGGAATAGGAGGCATTATCGAGGTAAAAGTTGGCCTAGAGGTGCGTCACAAGCAGGAATGCTTCACATCGTCTATCACGATTTTCGGGAGCTGTGTAGTTTTCGTATAAAACGTGGCTGAAGTATGAGGATCAGTCAAAAAAGATGAAGCGCCAGGCCGGGTAGGTATGCCGAAGTGGAGTTTCCTTAGCAATACTGTAGGCCCAATGAGAGATACGCCTATTTTCTTCTGTACCGATATGCGCAAGTCGACGATTTATCTACAACAGGCCGCCCGCAGCCCCTGACCATAACTGGTCTCCCGCACCGGAAAGAGAGCCCCAAACTAATCAGCATAACTGTTCCAGTGCTTGCCCATCCAGCACCAAGATTGTTGCACATGGCCGGAGTGAACACAGGAAACCTGAGAAGTGCATAGTGAGTCGTCACTATCAACTAGATACAGAAGAAACATACGCCGCTGCAAATCCGCACCGCAGGAGGGTCACTTGCGACCATAGCCGATCACCGCTTATTCTGTACAGGCCATGGCGAAATAAGCGAAAACCCCTTGCTGTGCAATGTCAGCCTCATTAAGAAATCGAAATGAGAAAACTTCGACTGGTCTGTTTAGCAACTTGCCGTGAAAATTAGTGGAAGCCGAAAGAAGCCAGATCCAATGACGGGGACAATCCAGTGCTCAAACTCGGATCAGAGTTTCGTTTCTGGTGTTACCAAAGCAAATCCCGTCTGTGCTTGAGTGGGACCAGCCAAACCAGAACGTGATTATGGGAACACCGACACATCCCAAAAGGGAAAGGTTTCGTAAAACAGACACTCACGCCCATATCGAAGGCCAAAGTAAAGTGAGAGGAGAAGGACTACAAAGGTTCAGTCATCATTCCAAGCCATTGGGCGTGGGACTGACCTGTCAGTTCTGACATTAACGCGAAAAGTCTCAAGAGATAGATTTTTGGCGGCATCTTACAAGGTCCGTCTGCCCGCCTCCTCTAATGCGGACCTCCATTCTAAGTTGCCGGTCCCTCTGCATAGTCTAGCGGCTTGCTTGTCTTTTGGAAGCTTGTCGGCGACGTTTCGGGGTGGAAAATGAATGTGAGAAGTGTGAATCCTGCCATCCAAGAGACTGCCCAGATTGTCCAGCGCCAGTTATGATTTTGATGGGCGCATCCCCAAACAATGGTCCCAATGATGACCCAGGCCGGCTATCGAACCCCCAAATACCAAAAGTATACAGCAAATTGCATCAGCCCCAAGATGTCAACCAGAGAACGAGCTCCGACGGCGAGAGGTGGACTTGGAAAAAGCCGCCCAGAAATCTCATGGAGAGAAAGGTGCCGGCGAGCACCGTTGGTATTTCCAGGCACACGAAGACAATCAAAGTTGGTATGTATGTGAGGTTTCTTTCAGTGGCTGGGGTTTCCGACACAGACCCGCAGAACTGCCTTTGGTCAATACTTTCTTCCTTGTGGAGGTATTCTGAAAGGCCCACAACTGGTCCGGCACCATAAGCCAGCAACAAAGAGACCCAGGCCGAATGCTGCTACCGCAGAGCTGGAATGGAAGTCTTCCATAACACCTGTGATCCGGCCCGAGTAGATTGAGGAGGTAAACGGTAAAGCTGAAAGTGAGTAGTCCAATCTGTGTCCCGCCAATTAGATTTCATCCACATGGTGAGGAGGACTAAACGCCTCAATATTAATACCGACTTTAGCAACCGCTGAAAAGGTCTTGGGATTCGAAGGGTCGTCGTTTCCATCCCAGGTAACGACGATACCGTCCAGAAGAGGACCTTTTTCGAGATTACGCAGACTCTTCAAGATGCTTGACACTACCTAGCACCAATGATAATGGCTCTCTTTCAACAAAGAATGATGATCCATCCATCTCAACGTGCCCTCAGCTTAAGTGGGGTCATGCTTTTGAGCCGTTGCTCGTAACAGGTCGAGGGCGTCGACCGTGGGCTCTGTCTCAGCACAGTTTTACCTGCGGATGCGTTTAGATCGTATCGTGGACCCTTTCGATCGATTCATCCATGTCCAGCGGTGATGACGTGAAGTCAAATATCCGCCTGCCAAAGGGTTGTGTTTGTAAAGGGACATACCGACTCCTGCAGAGAAGGGAATAGTTCCGGTTCAACGGGCCGGTAGATTGCATGGTACATACCCTGATACGACCGCTGGTCTTATCCAATAATTGCGGATCCATATTTTCGCATATGCGTGCGACCTCCCACGCCATGTAGCTGCTGATGTCCAAGTGATTGAAACACCCTCCTCGGGCAGATTGTTGACTGCGCAGACAGTTTCCTTGTATGGAATGGATCGATCGGTCCGAAGGAACCGCATAAGACCAGCCTGTGGCCGCTGTAGAATAGAATTTGGTGTTCCTGGCGATACCGCGTTTCGGTCAGTCAAGCTGTCTAGGTACCCCCTTTCGATGATCCTCTGCCCATATATGCGAGCTGTGTCAACTTCATTGTGACCGTGCTTCTGGAGACATCCAACAGGTTGCTGGCTTCTTCCAGGCTACGAATTCGGCTTTGTACCGCGCCTGGCTTTGTCCATTGTCGTCACATCTGTTGTATAATCCATGGCCTCAGGAGGACCTTGTTAGGAGAAAAAATCGTACCGAGGGAACAGGCCAGGTTCCCTATTGCTGACGACAATGTAAGGGCACATGGACTCTGGATATAAGGACTTAAAGCCCGAAGCCTCGTACGCTAGCCAAGGCTAAGATAAGTCGCTCACAGCATTTAGTTTATATAACTAAGCCAATGATAAGATACCCTCAAGGTCCGAAGGAAAAGGTGAACAATAGGATGTCGGAGTTTCACTGGTCAATTATTCATCAAGACCGACCTAATCATCCAGAAATTTGTTTAACAAACTCGCGGTGGTGCAGCTGAATGTAGGACGATTAAAGGCCGGAGATTGAACTAACGAGCCTCATACTGCTTGTATGAAATTTCTATGGAAACTCCTCACCAGGGCACAATAGCTCCGTCGTACTGATTTGGTCCTTCTTTATGTTCCCAACCTGGGACGTGAATGTTGAGGAATTTTCCATTGGTCTCGGGAGAGCTCTTGAGCAAGATATCGAGCACCGCTTTGGCGCCAACCTCGACTTCTAAGTCAGCATGTTCGCTGCCCATGTCCGTCCTTAACCACTGTAGACGCCCCTGTCAGTGTCCGGCATCAGGCTCCACATGTAAAGAAGGGCACCAAAACAACACCTACCCCCGGTGAGACCAGAAAGATTGTAAAACCTTCCTTCTCGTACTCCATGGCATATTGAACGGTTAACATTGACAATGCGGCCTTTGTGATCTTATAGGCGGGTACCGGTGCCTGAGAGAAGCGAGGACCGTAGGCGATGGAGCCGAGGGTAGAGGAACTTTGAATTGAATTTTCGTTAGCCAGGAACGTAGAAGCTGGTGAGAGACACATGGGCCGACTGACATATTAATGATTTTCTTCTGCTCTCCCTTCGACAGCAATGGTAAAAGAGCTGCCATGGTGTCATGTACAGCCTGAACATTGATTTCGAATGCATATTGCAAATTATCCATGGTAGCGATTCCACCTGGAGCGCTTGGCATGACTCCAGCATTGTTGATGAGAACATCGAGTCCTTTGCCACCAAGTTTCTTCTCGATCTCGGGCACGGCGGCATTGATGCTCGCCTTATCCGAGACGGCCATCAAGACATGGACGACTCTTCCTCCCGAGCTATCGATCAGTTTCTGAAGTGCACCCGAAGGCTCAGATCTGGTCGCCGCCAATATCACAGATACCTGCGGCTTCGGAAGTTGTCGTAACTGATTCACCAGCTCCAAGCCGAGACCACGACCAGCTCCGGTGACAAGGTACGAAGCCATGGTGAATTCGACAATTCCAATATCTTGACCGTCGTCGATTTGGAGTTCAGCTATCTGCTTCTTGTGGACTTGTGAGAAGATTTTTATATAATTCAATCAACTCCTTCTGGAACGGAGTTACGCCTACCGTTTGGCCCCGAAGAATTTTGGATCACTTGGGGCTCTAGGTCGGCTGATTATACCAACTCTAGTGGTAGAAGCTGATGATGCGGAAATACGCCAAAATCCGTGGAGACAAAGTTCGTCCTTCAGCGATTCATCGTACAAGAATTTAAGACTTCTCAAGCCCGCTGTTGGGAAGAAGTCCACCCAAAAAATATTCCATGCCGCTTTGTCAGCACTCACATCCCAATGCCAAGACACTACCTCAACCGTCTATTTACGCACTACAGCATTCTCAATAATTCTTCATTCGATCTCTAACAACTGCTTCCTCGGCCATGCTCAAGCTTCTAAGCCGGCAAGCTACAAAAGCTCTTCGTAATCCTTTCCGCAGCCCCCTTCCTGTTCCTCTCTACAGCTCTCCCCCTCCTCTTTACGGTCTTCGCCAGACATGCCATCTCCATAATGAACCAGCTCCGTTCTCGGGACCTCCCAGTTATGCGACTCTCGCGCGGCGTTTCTCTGATTCGAGTCCCAGTCCAATATGGTACTTCACCCAGAAGAAGGCAAGAGAGGCCATCGATCGTGGTGAATTTGTTGACATTCATGACATTGGCGGCGTGAACCCCAAAGACTGTCATGTCTCATTCACGGATATGGACAACGACACGCTTCAGTCTGAAATTTCGAAACTCGTGGATATACCATACCTCCAGGAGGCGACGACAGACGAAGCTGGTAAGGTGGCTAGAGAAATTCATGGTTTTTTGTACGGCCGGGAGCTCCGCATGATACTTCCATGTGTCCTCAAGATTAAAAACAACGCTCGTTGGGTTTTCTTTGTCGTGAATCAGGGGTCTCCATTGACGTTCATCTCGAAACATGCAAGGGTTCATCCACATGGGACGAATATCTCGACCCACTAACTTCACTCTAGGTGGCGCAAGCCTTCGGTCTTGGCTTCGAAGAGACACTTTCTTGGAATACTACAATCGCTGGTCACCCTAACCCGGTTTATCTGTCGCCGTCGGATTCACACTTTTCTGAACTGAACCTTCTCGGCATGGACTTCTGCAGCAGAATTGGATTTATTCCTCTGATTCGCCCTAACAATCTGATGGTAACATATTACCTCGGCGACGGTTGGGAGGTGAACTCTGATAGTATCTCTGAGCCTAAGCAATGAGGCTGTTATCGGTGTCTCTGGAGGAATTGCGAACTTGGACTTTCCAAACTAAAGTGCAGATAACGTGGTAGGGTGGACCTGCTTTTGACCGAACGAAACGGCCATTCGATGGACTGCGATCAAAGCGGCAAACCTTGTCTTCCTTCAGTCGTTTGCTGAAACGGCTTTGAGTTCACTAGACTCACCAATGGATAAGGAACGCAGGCGCCAGGTCAAGTTTCTCACACATAGAAAGGGTTGGTTTTCCTGATGGTATTGGAAGTTGGCTCACTGTAGCTTTCAGAGATGTGAGCGTCGATGGTTTGGGCAGCCTTTTCGCCAGATATTTCTCCTTGGCAAAGTCACAAAGAGTGTAGAGGCTACTTGCCACATCTATGAAGTTGGAGAGAAGCGGCCCCCTGTTCGTGTTTGTGTTGCGAAACTGGTATCTGTCATTGAGAAGGAATGGTGCGGAGAGCTGCGTCTGGCAAGAGATACTTGGTCAACCGGCTGACGGCGGAGCCATCTGATTCAGGAAGACATTGGAGTTTGAGACGTCAATAGCCTTTGGAGTCTGCTTTCCAAAACTCTGGAAATATGAAACGTAAGGCCACTTGGAGACTGGGACGTGCTTCATTGTCGATAACATGGCACGATGCCCGTCGGGTCGCTGAAATTCTCGCTTGACAAACCTCATATGCTGATTGAGGTTCCAGAAATAAGGTCTCCACACCGCAAGAAAACTGGTGTAATCCATCAGGTTGACTGTCTGGGATTATCGATACTTCGCCGTGGCTGCGCCAGGTGGCTCAGTCACTGGATCCGATGGGTGAACACTCAGTTGAGTCCTCTCTTTTCCCCGGATACACGACCAGCGGGAAAACCACGCCCGGTGTGTAGTTTCACTTGGAGCTTGTAAAGAAAAGTTTTTGTATTTTTCTTGGCCTTTGGCTGGATGGAGGTCCGAGCCTGAGGAGATTCATTATTTGCCTGTGGAGCCAAACTGTGGTTGCGGCAGGATCTGGCGGCGCTGGATTTGATGGGTTGCCTTGATGTGTCGAGACTCGTCAACATCATTGCCCAATGGTATTCAATACCTCGTCCACCATAAGTTGACTTGCACCAAGGTAATTGGCGGGGTCACAAAGCTCTTTCAGCTTACCTTCATGCACTTGATCTGTTATTGCTGAGCGTTCTTTCAAGATATCCAGCAATGGTCTGTCTGATTCTATTGACTGTTTGCACGCCTCGTACACCAGATCATGCGCTTGTTGGCGACCGACGTAAGGTGCCAGACTCATCATGACAGCTTCCCCGACAATCAATCCCTGCGTGGACAAGAGATTCTTCATCATGGCGCCTGTATTGACCACGAGCCCATTTAGAGCGAAATTGGTTTGATGCAAGGCTCCAACAACAAGGACAAATGCTTCGGGCACGGCCACCCATTCCAAGTGCCAGGGTCCGGATGCTCTTTCAAAGTCTGCGACCATGGCATCCAATACCAGCCCGGCATTTGCGCGAAGGAGCTTCGAAGCTGCGAGGATGACTTCGCTGGAGATGGGATTTCGTTTCTGCGGCATCGTCGAGGAAGCTCCTCGGTGCGGGACAAAGGGTTCAGATACTTCACCCAGCTCATTTGAGGACATTAGGATCAAGTCGTAGGCGATTTTGCCCAACGATCCGCCTACCAAGGCCAGGAAGTTGACTATCTCAGCAACGTTGTCGCGAGCAGCGTGCCAGGTGATGCTGGGATTCATCAATCCGAGCTCTCTCGCGAGATGCTCTCGGACGCGGAGTCCGGTGTGGTCTGATCCCAATGAAGCGAGAGTGCCTACTGCCCCGCCAAATTGAACCAAGAGACACCTTTTCTCAATTTCAGGGAGACGTTCGGAATGTCGGAGTATGCTGGATAAGTATACGGCACATTTGTATCCGAACGTAGCTGGCAGGGCATGTTGGAGATGTGTCCGTCCTGCCATCGGTGTGTCGCGGTACTTTTGCGAGAGGTGTCGGAGAATAGCCGTTAATTCGTTCAGATGGTGTTTGACAATCTGGAGTCCATCACGCATCTGGAGCATTGCGGCGTTGTCCATGATGTCTTGAGTCGTGGCTCCCCAATGTATATACTTGGCCGTATCAGGCGGCGTCTTCTCGACAAGCTGACGAACGAGTGGGAGGACGGGATACCCGACGATGTCTGTCTCGTTGGAAAGTCGGTCGAAACTAAGGAAAATTGTGAATCCGGTACGTGTTGTGGTTTCGTCGACTTACTCTATCGGTGTGTTTATGAGAGATCTGGCGATAACCTGACCCACGTCGACTGGAATGACTCCGATCTGCGATTGTGCTCGAGCTAGAGCAGCCTCCACCTCTACCATCCGACGAACATATGCTTCATCCGAGAAGACACCTCGAATCTCGTGTGTCCCAAAGAGGTTCCGAAACACTCGGGAATCCAATGCTGATACCGACATTCTGGGAATCTCAAGTCACATTAGGATCTAAAAGGACCTCTGATATGGTTTATGTCATGTAAAATCGAAAGTCCGAACATCGGGGATTGTGTGCGGGGGGAGCTACAGAGACCACAGCCTCGTGCGGGGGAGACGAGCATTGAAGGCGATGGATGCCAGGCTCCAGGTCTTTTGTAGATGACTATTGTTTTTGGATTCGGCTCTAATGGGATGCTCCCCACGAGACCATCTTACAGATGACAGGAGAAAAAGGTAAAGGTGGCGAATGTTGGTTGACTTGCTGATCTCAAGTTCAGGGTTGTCGTGCGGTCGATGCCAAGCCTGATATCACGCTAATCCTTAAATGGAAGAGATGTTTACCACGTGACTTCACATTCCCAAACTTCGTGATGGTCGGGTATGTTCGATACCCAAGAAAATTTTTAATAAAGAGCCATAAATTCAATGTTGATAAGGATTATGACCGAAATTGAGTCGCCGCCGCCTCATTCGCCGGTGGAAATAATATTGTGCGCAGATTTCGATTTTGCTGTGATTGTGGAGGCTTGGCAGGGTCAGAGTTTGGAATTTGGAGTTGGGTTTGATTTTCTTCCCCACCAACGCGCCCACTGCCAATTCTCGGGCACTTTTCTGCAACTTCTTCTCCCGCGACCTCCATCACCACTTCCACCGTCTCTTGCTCTCTCCCTCCAATCAACGCCAGCATCATTTTACCCTATTCGGCTATCTTGAATACATCAGATCTAGATACCGCGCTCGTTCCCGGACGACTCGCCATGGACTGAGAGCCACCGGCCTCTCACGCCTTAGCCTCACCTTTGACTCATTTAACCTGCTTCACAGCCTCAGCCTCAGCCTCGACCCCAGTCACTTGCCAGATCCAGTCACGTGTTTGAATATGTATTTTATCCAGCTCGACTGTCCTCCCACTGTCACTCATACTCCTTAAATATCCTCCATCAGGCGATCTATTTCTCCCTCCGCCATGGGACCCACGGCCCCTCCACCTAAGCCTCGTGCGGGTCAGCACCGTCGACCCAACTATCGCGGCCGCATCGAAGGCATCGGCAGTCCAGCACCAAGCTCCTTGCGGGCAACAACACCCACAGTTATACGGGCGTCCACACCGAGCTTAAACCGACCCACAGGGCCAAAGACAATGAAATGTTCCAACCCCCACTGTCCTAGCCCCAATATTGTCGAAAGCGAACAAGGACTGATTTGTGACACGTGCGGTGCGGTCGCTCAAGAAGAATCTGGCCTTGTCAGTGAACAAGGCTTTGGTGAGACAGAGTCGGGCCGCATCACTGCTTTGGGTGTTCACGTTGGCGAGTCTCAGACTCACCAAAGAACCTACGCTCCCGGAGGGGCCTTGGGAAATGCTGGCCGCGAACCAACCATCAACCGTGATCGGTCCGAAGCCCAAGCCAGAACTGTCATGCTGTCATATCAGTCTCTTCTCGGTGTCAGACCGGCCGAGGTCGATGCTGGTATGCAAATTTTCAAACTGGCATGGAGCAACTCATTTGTCCAAGGTCGAACCATCGATAGCGTCGCGGTGGTCTGTCTCTACCTTTCATGTCGCCGCAAACACGAACAAATCCGAAACGAGCGTCGACCAATGTACAGCCTTATGTTGATCGATTTTGCTGAGAAACTGAACATCGATGTCTTCGCTCTGGGGAAGATGTACTCCGATCTTGTCCGCAAACTGTACTTACAACCGGATGGAAGTATCCAGGGCGACGTCAGTGCCGATCTGCTCGCCATGGGCCCCGAAATCCTGGTCAGTAGATTCGTCGACGAACTGGAATTCGACAGGGAACACCGTGATAAGATCAAGCTGGATGCCATCCGAATCGTTCAACGAATGAAGCGAGACTGGATGTCGACAGGAAGGCGACCTTCGGGTGTTTGCGGCGCAGCGGTCATTCTGGCGGCGCGGATGAACAACTATCGACGGACGACGAGGGAGGTCGTGCTGACGGCCAAAGTCACAGAAATTACCATCAACAAACGTCTCGAGGAATTCCAGGATACAGAGAGCAGTAAACTTTCAATCAACCAATTCAGAGACAACGAAGTCCTGGAGGCTCTCGCCGCTGCAGATCCCCCTGCGTACCAGCGAGCTCGTCACCCAAAAGAAAAGAGATCGAAAAGGGGCCGACCTAAGAAAAATCGACAACCAGAAATTGCTGCTGAGATCGAGGGAGACACTACCACGCGGGAACCCCAGGATCACCAAGAGAACCAAGAACCAGGCCCTGAAGAACGCCCGGCCAAGCGAGTTCGTATCGATGCAGACGGCTACAAAATTCCTGAAATCCCGCAAAGACAAATCCCCGTTGACCCATCTCTGACGCTCGCCGATCTAGAAGCAACCACTTCAGCTTCTGGTGAAGAAAGTCCTGAAGCATCACCAGCACGGACTCGGAAACCAAGAGGCCCGAACTGGAAAGCACCACCTGCTTCACCAGCCGAACTTGCAATTGAACAAGAAATCGAACACGACGTGCTGGAAACTTTGCGAGAGAACCCCGAACTCGACCCAACTCACCAAGAGACTTCAAACCAGCCAGACCAGACCACCACCACCACTGATGGATCTGATCCATCGACACCGCCATCTCCGGAGCCTTCATCTACCGAGCCCATTTCAACCCCAACCTTGAGAAGAGAAAAAGTCCTTGGTCCGGCCGTCAACACCACAGAAGGTAACCTAGGGAACGTCTCGCTTTCACCGACTCTCAGGCCTGATGAATTCGACTCGGATGAAGACGTATCGACGTGCCTCCTCAGCGAAGAAGAAACGCGAATCAAAGAGCGTGTCTGGGTGAGCATGAACGCCGACTGGCTACGGCAGGACCATGCAAAGCGCATCAAGCGCGAGCTCAAGGAGGCGGAAATGCGAGCTCGCGGCTTAGACCCGGCAGACGAGGCGCTGAAGGCGAGCCAAGCAAAGGGGAAGAGGAAGGACGGGACGAAAAGGCCTGGCCGTCGAGGAGATGTGAGTTACTTGAACGAACGTGATGGGGAGCGCGAGCGTGGTGACGTCGAGGCGGCCGGAGAGGGCGAGGGCAAGGCGGGACAGGCAGGCACCACGGCAGATCGGGAGAGAAGTGCTGCCGAGTCGGTGCGCAAAATGTTCAAGACCCGTGGTGTGTATTCGAGGCGCGTCAACTACGATGTCCTTGACTCCATCTACGGCGTCGCGAGCGGAGATAGTGCTGAATCACGCAGCGTCACAGGGACAAGTCGCAGTCGGAGCCAGAGTGTCGCGAGCAGCGTGGCGCCAGGGCATGAAAGAGAGGGAAGTGTTGCCGGCTTTGTTGCTTCAGAAGGGATATTTCGCGGCAATGGTTCCAGAGACGGTGGGCGACAGCGGAACAAGGGCTCAATTTCGGCTGAACAGAGAGAGAAACAGCGCAAGGCAAAACAGAAAGTGGGACCTCCATCCGCGACGACCCCTGCCGGTCAGGATGATGAGGCGGGGAGATCGGTGTCGAGAAGCAGAAGTCCTCTTACGGCTGAAGCGGACGAAGGAGATCGTGACGGTAATCAAGAGGAAGACAATCCCACTAGACAGCGCGAGTTGAGTGGTCCAAGTCCTGAACCTCAACCACCACCACAGCCTCCTACTCGACAACAAGCTAGTCCCCAGCCCGTGGTGCAAACTCAACAATCGCCCACAGTCAGTGTGACAGGCCCCGGTATCCCAACTGTGTTAGCCACGACATCGACTTCGATATCGACTCCTCAAACTAAGATAGCTGAATCGGCTAAAGAAAAAGGAATCGATGCAGGACCTAGTGTTACAGCCTCTACTGATGACAATGACACCAATAAGGACGACGAAGATGAAGATGGTGACGAAGACCTAGACGACGAAGCTGAAGATGAGGACGCTGATGATGATCAAGACCAAGAAGCTGAAGACGAAGACGTCGATGCCGCCTTCGAAGGCCGGTATACCGGCCGAGGATAGAAGATATCGTGGTTCTTCCCCCTTCATGTTAGTTGATTTCTCGCCTGCCGTTTGGTCGCTGACCAGAGGATATGGACAGCCGGACGAGGAAAAGAGAAACCCTGCTGGGTGGAAAAGTCTCGTTCCCGGTGGCAGGAGGAATACTTTTGGTGTCTGAAGATAGGACCACCGTGCAGCAAGGGAAGGACTTTGGCAGGAATATTTGCCTACCATAAGTACCCGAGTTTTTCGGAATCGAGCAAATACGTTTTTGGGCGTTTTCACGTCTTCTCATGACATTCATCAAGTCGTAATATCTGCATGTCTGTGCGTGCCGTCGCAGATGGGACTTCCCGATCATATCTTTTGAGTCCATGGGACTGGAATCCTCATACCTCATGTCCCTTTGCTAGACCTCCCGGGATTCGTGACTGACTGACTGATGCGTACACGGGGATGATATTGCCCATTCATGCATTCTTCATTCATTTCAATCATTCCTCCTCTTTCTCCTCTTGTATACTTTCCTCACTTAACGTCTTATGATGGCTCATGTGCGACCTCCTTGAGGATATCGCACCAGTATCCTGCCTTCTTCGACTTGTACCTGTATTCTGCTCTTCCCGATCCCGATTCTGATCCCTATTATTCGACGCTAGAGTTGACGGAACACTGCCCCCACTAACGATATTAGCGAAACTCATGCGTCGAGTCCGATCCCGGAAACTCGGAGCACGAGGTCTTCGTTCTCCTCTCGCTCGGCCGCCCCAGATGGGGACTTCGTGCCAGATCCGCCGGCAGATGTAGTAGAGGATGTCGTAGAGGATAGCGAGGATCCAGGGCGCCATGTTAGCGATGGCGAGAATCAGCTGTACACATACTGTCAGGAGGAGACCCGGGAAGGATATACCCCGAAGGGTCAAAAATGAGATGGATGGTATATGGACTTACGAATAAGCGAACAATCCATGTTTCATACACGGTCAAATGAGACGGAAGAATCGAGTACCACGCCATAATCTCTTGCCGGCTTGCGTAAACAAACGAATGAATCCTTTGTGTTCCGCAGAGACAGACACTGATCAATAGGGAGAGGGAGACGAAAGAGGCTGTCCTGGACAAGCCGCGAGACGACAAATTTCAGCGAGTGACCATCTTGAGTAGCAAACACCTGGATTGTAACGACAGAGTATTGTGCTATATGAGCATACTAAAACTGCATTGCCTCATAGTCTCTATTGCAAATGCAAAAGTGAAAACTGAGGGTGTGGAAGGATCGTTTATGGCTGCGTGACTGGGTAAGTTACGAGGAAACGTGGTCGACCCGCATTTCTCCCATACTCCGATTGAAGCAATTGACATCATACCACCGGCCACGATAGCAACCTTGTAGAGAACAAGAAATCCGAGATACCGAGGAATATTAGATATCGAGCAAAATATTGAAACGAAACAAACTATCTACCCAGTTCTACGAGACCTCAGTTTTCTAAGTTCCCAAATGAAACAGCACAAAAGAAGAAAAGCCCTTCCTCAACAAGCCGAAACGGTGGAGCGATTCTGTGTGCAGATCAGTGCCAGTGTGTTCGATCCGTGATGCATACATCGCTCACCCGGATAGGTGGCCCAATCAGTGGCATGTCGAATCCGTCTTCATGTCATCATGTCTCATTAAATCATTATCCTGCGTCTCTTTGCCGGAGTCGATGAGTCAGGAGTTTGGGGTTGATTGGGATCCCACATACGCTGGACCGGAGTAACTCCTTTGTAATGTGAGGACGTGTATGGAGAAGCATGGTTCTTCCGCTTGCGACGAGGTGCCGGTGTTGCAAATGGAGAACCAAAGAGTTCCGTATCACGGAATGACGGCATATTGCTCAACGCGGCAAAAGCCGGGTCGGCGTTACGCCGAAACGCTGTCACATTGTTGTTGTTCAAATGTGCAAACTCATTGCTCACATTTCCAATGCCGGAAAGTTCACAAGGAGGGGGCATGAAGATTGGTGACGTTGGAGCATCACTATCGTCCGTGTCATCATCAAACTGGATCACATCATGGAGGTTGATCACGTCTTCACCAAGTCCTTCCTCTGGACGGAAATCCTCTTCCAATTCATCGGGATCAATGGCATAATCTCCCAAGACGAGGCTGTCGGCCGGGTAGAACACTTCTAGAGGGCCGACAGCTTGTCCAAGGTTGGTGGGGTCATTGAGGGCCGAATTAAGACTCGCCAACATAATGTCTGTGCTGGGGGCGCCGACAAGGTCAGTGGAGTCGCGTTCACCGATGTCGCTCTCCTCAATCAGCTCGGCGAAGCCGACATCAGGGCTGGAAGCTTGAGACACTCCATACCGACGAGCAAACTCTTCTCCCAGTAAATGAGGATTTGTCATCAGAATGATTTTGCCGGAGCGATCGAGAATGCCAGATGTCTTGTCTCCTTCATCGATGAAGATACCACGAGGAGGGCCTCGGCGACGATTTGGCTTCTTGGCCATTTTCTTCGATGGCGGCGTGACCGACGGCGAGATGTCTCTCTCCGGCTGAAGCCCATTGGGAGTGCCTTGAAGTGCTTCTTCCGGCAAACAATCGTCGGTCAGATCGGCTGCAGCGGGTTAGTCATCGCAGCATGAAGACATTCAAATGCAACATACAATCATCTAGATCGTCGACAAGACCGCCGGTTCGTCTCTCGGCGTCATGATTAGAAAATCCGGAATCCGGTAGTGCGGAGGGAAGTAAGGCACGAGTAATGGTAGGAGACTCTGACATGCGCATGTAGAGTGATCGATCGCCCTCAACGGCAAAATGTACGCGCCTCTCTGGTCCGGTCTCAGCGGTACTGTCACTGGCTTGAGACGATGGGAAGCGATGAATGCTGACGTCGCTCTCGTCTCCAAAGCCATAGGCAGAAAGACCGTCGATTTGGTTGAGGAGAAAGTCTGCATCACTATGGTCTTCCTCGGACAGCATTGCAAGCAACTCATGTTCTTCAATGCGGTTGTCATCCAAATCGTCGTCAAAGTCACTAATGTCGTCGACAGCCTGATAAATGTCATCATTCTCATTATCCGACTCGGCAAAGACTTTGCTCTCAAAGCGTTTTCGGTTTTCTTCGGGTGAAAAATTGGGATCTTCGTCGTCCTCATAGTAGTCTTCATATTCACCGAACATGCTGTCCAAACTGCCAGCAATGGAAACATTATCTCGGGGAGTCGATTGAGGTTTCGGCCCCGCCCCGTTCAGACTCCGAGAACGAGACGGGGTTGTGACTGCTGGCAGGTCTTCATCATCATCATCATCTGACTCGTCACTATCTTCATCCGACGCATCATCTGCTGTTTCTGACCCGGCGGTGGAAGAAATCTCCTCTTCCGATGCTGATCTGTCTGCTCTTTTCCGTTTGCCAGCAAGTTTGTGTGTAAAGGCATGTCTTCGATGAGTCTTGTTTTTCTTGCCCGTGGGACCGTGGAAGGTATCATGGGAATATTCTTTGGACTTGGACAATCTGGGTGGGGAACCCAGCATAGGCTGGCGGCCCTGAGAGTTGTGTGTGTAGAGGCGAGACATTGAAACCCACCAACAAATCTTGAGAATAATTCAGGTCAATTGGTAGAAGAAAAGGACTGGTATAGAGAGAGTGGAAAGGGCGGGCGGAACGAATCGTCCGAGAGATGGGAAAAAACCAATGGTCCACAGCACCTTCAGTCGCAAAGGACAGTCAGGTACTTTGTTGGGTTGTGTACAGAGCAATTTCGAGGACAGTAGTGATGGTGAGCTCCTACGCGGTAGAGCCTCGAAAGAGTAGATATCGAACGAGGATTTGCTGGAGCTGCAGGTGAGAAGAGCACGAGAGACCCCGAAGGGGCCTCCCGGCCGTCTAGAATGCAGCGGAGGCCATGAGCAACATGGAATCCTCGAACGATATGTATCTGAGTGATTTGAATTCTTGCTGCAGTGGACTTGTATTGTAGGGGATTGGTTGGAACTATGGATATTTACTACAAGAGAGGAGGAAGAAAGTGAGGGAAAAAAAAAAAAAAAAGAAGGCAGTAATATTAAGTTACGGTAAGAGTACGACGTACCCACGGTGGAACTACGGCGAGCGTACCCATTTGCCCAACGCCGAGTAGCCTGTTAGGTTCTGCAGCCTGCGGTTTAGCTGTCTCTGGTACGTACTGATGCATGGATCTCATGGACTTTGCAGGTCTTAGCGGGGGAAAATCCTCTCACACCGCTATTCTCGGGTCCCTCCCCCTACTGGTTTACTGGTATGTATCATATTCGCTACGTAGGTAATATTACAACATCAACTTTCGTTAACTTTAGACGATAGGACCCGGTTGAGATGCTGCGGAATCCCCAGTTCTAGCCCCCTTCTCTAATATACTCGCCCAACGAGTCTTCATCTGCTCTCGGCTGTGCTACTTCTAAGCTCGATAGCGAAAGGTCGATTAGGCTTCTTCGACCGGGTAGAACGAGGTTCGGAGTTGGATAGGACTGGGATCGATGGCAATCCTGTCCATAAGCACCTTGAAGATAGAACAGAGAGACGATACAGAGATGCCAAAAATCTATGGGCTGAGTATGGTTTTCCGGTGTCATGTTTTACACCAGCACTCCCAGACTCCTCCTTCTGCGCATGCTGACTGTGTACGCGCCACGAATTTACAGCTATTGTACTAAAAATCGCAAAGACTCTGTCAAAGATGCTTACGATCTAAAAACTCTCAAACACTTTACCAAGGGAATCGTCTGGGGCCTTGATGGCTGTGAGGGAGAAGATGATCTGCCCTCGGCAAAATCCGTCAAACAAGTGTGGAAAGACTTTACGGCCCAGTTCCCCCGGGGGAATGAGCCCATTCCTCGCAATACTACGGCTCAACGCGGGTTGCAGGAAAATATCTCGCCGAATTTGGTGGTTAGTACCGCCGCAGAAAGAGAACGGAGCAGGCAAGGTTGAGAACCTCAATGTAACCCCGACTTTCACGAGGCGATTTGATATCTTAGGATATCGAAATGCAACAAAAAGAATCAACTCAGGCTCCCTGTACACGCCATGGTCGATTGGCCAAGGCATACCTTGATGTACCTAATCTCAACCCCCTGCATTTGGCCAAAGGAAATACGCCCTGGTATATCAATAAAGTCTAAAAGTGGAGGTTTTACCATATACCAAGAAACCTAGTGGCGAATCTTTGCCTCCTTCAAACCATTTCCTTTTTCCAAGAGCCTCCAGGTTCTGGGGCTGTCGTAGGCTGAGAGAGTCCGGTTCGGCGCTCTCCCAGCTTTATTTACTTTCCATGTGAGAGTGCTTCTTCTCTTTCCCGCAAACGAAGTGATCTGCGTGGTGGATCTGGCCTGAGACGGGGATCAGGACGTGTCACAGAGCAGCTGCGTCCCCGGGCCACAAGGTGAGGATATAGCATCCGATTAACCCGGAAGTAAATGGGGTCATAGAAGACTACCGGTAGATGAGCTAAAGTGGCCGCGCCATGATGTGAGAGAAGCTCACCAATCCAAAGCAGAGCCGTGATGGCGACAACGAGGCAAGCGTAGACGAGGACGGTGATTTTGGAAGGCATCAACGTGCCAGCAACTGAGCACAGAATGTTCTGCGTAAAGTCGTTCAGATGCGCAGAGGACGACGATCTGCGTACGAAAGACCAGGTGCTAATAACGCAAACGGTGCGAATATGCCAAGGTAAATTCGATACCCGCGACATAGTACACTGGCCTATTACAGCTAGGCTTACGATATCTAACCCAACTCAGGAGAAGCGCCATGAACCCTGATTGGTTCATGCCCACCCAGCCTTAGGGCTGTGGCTTTGTACACTATAAGAATTACCTAGATGGAGTCAAGATTTCGCAGCGATATCGTTTCAACAAGCGATGGTGTCCGAGGAGGAGCAAGTGTAATACATGCTACGTATTTATAGTAAACACCTAGGTACATTTTTGATAGTTCTAACAAAAGAGATACTTCCAGGTACCATGTGGAAATCCGCTCTACTTTGTATACCTGCCTACTCCATACAACAGGTACCAGTCACCGGATGTGAAGCTAACAAGGCAATTAAGATTCCAGACAACGATTGAAAGACCTATCAGATATAAAGTCGGTTGCGAGTCTATTATCGAGTATAATCGCCGAATACAACATGAAACCAGCCCCTAACCTTAAAAATCGTCGAACGCCGACCTGGCAATACATAGGCACGATTTCGCCCGAAAGATCCAAAACACGAGCTCCAATCCCTCCATTGCCCAACCTTCGCGCTGCCGTCTCATCGAACAGAATCCCATCGCTGGCGGTCGACAGTGTAGGACCCAAGGTGGGACAACCAAAAAATCCTGTCTAGTCGCACAGTTGGTAAAACTTTTCACCGCCGCTATCTCGTCGGCCGTCAGCGAATCTGTGTTCGTGCCGGTTTCATCAAGTTGCTCGTCAGTGTCTAAGCTAGTAACTTTCTGAGCGTCGCGATTCTTCGGGGCTGCTAGCGGTCTTATGTTTCGAGCTGAAGGTCCATCGGGGTAATTGGTCCTTGAAAAAGCTGACGTTAGAATACGCCACTATGAGGCAGGAAGGTGGGTTGGAACTCACGGGTTAAGACCCAACAATTTCCACACGTATTTGGTCATAGCATACCAAGCGTAGTTGTCAGCTAGCTCCACGTTAGCTAGACCGATATAATGCTCAATGGAGTGGAGTGCCACGGACCGTTCCTTGTCGTGTAGAAGGCACCTCGATTTGTATGCCAATTCGCTAAGACCTTTGCCAGTTGCGGACCATAAACGGGGCTCTCCACCTTGCTTCCCCGGCTGTTGTACACTGTCCTTAGATCGTCAACTGGGGGCCCTACTGTGCTTGGTGGAGGTGCACGATTAGTGAAATAGTCGAGGTGGGTCATCTCATGGAAGAACACTCGTGCTCGGTTGTCGTACTGGTTCAAGTTTTTGTCACCGTTCCGAATACCAGGGACGACGGCCGTATCCAGATCTGGTAAAGCAAAAAAATTGTCGGCAGAAGACCATGTCATCATACCCGCCCGGCTGATTGTTGTTGGAGTACGCGAAGATTCTGGGGTCATCTGGATCGGGACTAGGGGTGCACGACCCCCTAGCGCATTGATCACTGGTTCCCCTGTCGCGACAGATATCATCAGGATCTCCATCGGATTTGGTTGTGCTGCTGCAGTGGACCTAAAGATGAGTGTCAGAGTTGGAAACATTGAAGTGACAGAAAGGGGGCTTGACCTTGATCCAGTGTGATATGAAGGGGACATTCCCTGGGTAAACTTGTTGCAGGTTGTTGAAGAGTGCTATATCATATAAGTACTTCCAGAAGCGAGTTTTGTGGGACCACGAGCTCACTCTGGATTCCATTCCTGTCATTGTCTGAAACCTTGTTCTTTCCTGTCGTAGGTCCCCAATAGTCTTTTGCTGCTTGATCTGTCCAATCAATCCCGGGCCTAAGTACACCGTCCGTAAACCCTGAAGTGATCTCTGGCTGGTCGGCGAGAAAATGAAAATCATCATAGGCCTCCCTGATCTTGGTCCTATCGTCCGGACTACAGCCTATCCAGCCGTATAAACGCGTACCGAGAAGGTTGGTGATATTGGCAGTCTGAAAGCCCTGTTAGAACCTGTATAGATCAAAATGGTGTGGGGTGTGTGCCATCAACGGGAGGCAAATATGCCCAAGCCAAATGCTCATAACAAGACCATCCTTGAAGCTTGAGACAGCTATCCAATTCAGCCGGACATGAATTTGGAGAAGACTTACAATATTCCAATTTGCTGGCAAGGTTGGATAGGGCACATCATCGGAGGTTGCTAGGTCAGGGGAAGGAGCTTGCGGAAGCCGTACCACCGCAGACCTTGGTGAAGTTCCTGATGCAGAGACTGGTGACAAGGCATTGACTAGAGATGCAGCCTGCGGTGCTGCGGTTGAACTTTTCGACAAAATGGCGACCACCAGCACCCAAGCCGCTAGGTTGGGTGTCCAAGAGCTCATGTTGGAGTATGGTACTTCGTCTTATATGACTGAATCAGCTTGTATCGATTGCTATTGCCAATGGATAATTAAAAGGGAAAGTAGTCGAAGATGGAGTACAACATGCTGATCATCATTCTGTTCTTATATAGACATTAGAAAGCATCATCAGTCCGCAGTAATTTACACAAATAGACCGCAATAGAGCGCCATACCTCCTGACTGCGGTGGCAGTGGATGTCTGATGTGTGTCGCACGTAATGGCGTAGTTGATACCTGGCCATAATGGCTTCGCCTTTTAGGTCGATAGACCCGTCTACCTTCCACCTGTAGACATAGAATGAGGAAAGAGAAGTGGTGGCACTGCGCCTAGTAATGGAGGTGTTAGGTCACCTAACGGAGACTTCGCAAGCCATATGGCCTGGAGTAGATAGACCGGGGGCATATTCTGGCCGTATAATCTAGGAGTGATGGCATGACATATTTTCGCAAGGAGCCCAGTTCCGAAGCTGAGGTTCCCGAACCTGTCCATGGTTTGTATCGTGGAAATTTAGCGCTGCTGTTGGGAGGCGGTGCGAAAGCGAAGTCAAGAAGGGGTGGAATGGAAAGGAAAATGGTCATGATGGCTTGAAAATAAGCCTCAATGGCTTGTAGTTTGAGTCCTCAATGGATCCGTTTTGTTGATGTGGGCTATCAAGGAGGGAGAGAGGGGAAACCGCAGAAGATGCAGTTGTAGGACGCCCAAAGTAGGCTAGTCCTAATTGGGACGTGCCGAGTCAGGTGACTCCTGACAGCTGCCTTGAAGAGAAATACCTAGTAGGGGCCGCGGATACGACATTCACGGGTAAAAGCGTAGCTGTTATTCTACGGAAGTTGTCTTTATGGGGGCTAGCCCCAAAACCCCAGGCCTCACTGCGTTCGAAGGACCAGTGGCTGCAACGGTGCCAAGCCATTTACTCACGTGATTGTATCAATCACGTGGATCTTGGCAATTCTTGGCGCTGCTCACAACGCGTCAAATCACGTGATCCCACCGGAAATTCAAGTATATAATTTACTCTCCCAGACTTTTCCTCCAAATTGACGCAATTGAACACCAAATCGTGGTTGACCTATCAAGGACGAAACTGAGTGCAAGCACTCTGGTTTTGGTCGAACCGATAGAATTGAGGGGCCTCACTAGTGTTAAATCATAGGTGAGGTAAGAGGGTTGTCCGGCCTAGGCTCCATTGAGCTTCCTAGGTGCCCTAGATGGATAAGCGTAAGTGATTGTTGATGTCCACTTGCTGATACCCGGGGGGTTCACTCCCTAAGTTGAACTTGTCTGACTGATAACCTTCGCTGGTTGTGGCGCCCCATCTATGAGCTAGTTATACACTGGCCATAGGAGGGGGGTTTCGAACCACTAGTGTTCCTTTTATTTTGGCCCAGTGTCACGGTGCGGGACGTGGAGGATGGTGAATGCTGGGAAAGTTAGCCGAAGGCACTCTCAGCATTCTTCCTCAACTCTTCCTCCGTCACGAGATCACGCGCGAAGAGGTCTCATGACCCTTTAATCGCAACCCGGGGTTGCGATTAGCATTACTCTCTTCGTGCTACGTCTTGTATCTAGAACCTGAATAATCACCTGGCCTAGAACCGTCACACCTCAGCACTCGGGCGACAATAATCTCCTCGACTTGGGTCAGCGCGGGCAGATGAGCCGGCGGCTCTCCGGGGTCCATCCCGTTCTCGGCGGACATGAGAAAGGGGGTCGTCGTGCTGCCTTGATCCCCCAAGAAACAGACATGGCAGATCCCATTCTTCACATCCATCGAGAACCACCGTGCGTGACAGCGGCGACAGGTCTCCATCTTGACCTGATCCATGGCCGCATGAAAACGCTGGATCGACGCCCACTGTTCGGCCGGGAGGAAGCCCGAGGCTGGCAGTTCGGGTCGAGGTAGGACGGGCGTCGGAGCGCGCTTGGTGAGGGGAGGGAGGACCGAAGGTGGATGAGGTTGAAGGAGAGGAGGAGGATGAGATTCGAGGAGAGAAGGCAACTCCAGACATGTCGAAGCTTCTATGAGCGGTGTCGCACGCCTCTTGGACGGGATCGTCGACCGTGACGGCTTGTCGAGCCCTCCTCTTTCTGGACTTGTCGCGGCAGGCGATACGGGTGGGAAAGGCCTTGCTGTCGGGGGCGGTCGAGGTATCTTTGAGAAAGTAAGAGAGGATACGCGTATGGGCGCACTTGGAGCAGCACTTCGTCTCCATCTGGGGAGGATCGAGGAGAGAAATGAGACGGGATGACCCTGGAGGCGCATCGAGAGGGAAGTGGGCGCGTCTTTCAACGCGCGGGATCACGTGAGGACGCGCCTTTCGTCGGCCAATCAGCGACGGGTTGAGTCACGTGAACACGAAGGATCCCTAGGCGGGGGGGTGTCGGAGCCTAGAAGCTTACGCTTCAACAAGGAAATTTTAGGCAGCAGTGTAAGGGCAGCAGGGTTGGTATATTTCTGAAATTTACTCCATGTCAGTAATAAACCCTCAAAAATCCCGTATTTTGCATTGTAAAAGTTTCTTCGTAAATTACGCTAGCATCCCCTTTTGAACACTATCTAGCACCAAAACCTACCAATTTTCACTAGCGTCGCACTTTGTCACGTGTATCATAGTAAAAGATGGCATCAGTGCGCGCTAATTGCCTGCTAAAGCATTGCTTACTTTTCGAAAAATTCTCTCCGTCGGGGGACAGGAGCCAATTGAAGCGCAGTTTATCCGGCGCGCGTCGCGTCGAGATGTACGCCACACCAAATTTATTCCACAGAGTGCCTGCGCTGTGAGAGCCGCATTCAACACAAGCACCTCGTGAGCAACAACAGCAGACGCAACAAGAGCAAGAGGAGGAAGACGCCGACGACGTCGCCGCCGAGGACTTGACAGCAGCAATGACAGAGAGGGCGATAGAAGAGGCGAATTGGATGCAAACAACACCAAATCACCCTCTACCGGGGTTGCAGGAGGCTCTACAACACCAGCGACAGCAGAGCATCGTCAATCACAGTCTTCACATCCAGGACAACAACTTCAACTTACTCCTTTTGGTCAATTTGGTAACCCAAGGAATCCTGATGCTCTCATTGGCAGTCAAAATGGCAGCCTCGAAAGGGTCACGGGAAAAGGATCAAATGGCGCGAGTGGATGGAGGACCATGTTGCACTAAAATTTGCCACCAAGACGCCAAAGGTGAAATTTTGTGAAATCTACCAATTTTACGCTTGAAATCAACGAGGCGTAAATTTCCGTTATTTAACGGAAAGTAAAGAACCCAACCCTGAAGGGCAGGGATCTGCCAGGTTCCCTGACGCCGTCTGAAACGGATGCCTGACCGAGAGGCAGGTGTAACCGATTGTTAGGGGGCCCGATTTGGCCCCGGGTATATTGCTCAGGATAAAGCAGCCTTCGCTCACCCTCTAGGACCAAACCGTATATGGCAATTAGGTTTTTCGTTCTCGAGTAATCAAGGTAGCCATCATTGGCGCGCTCCTCCTTGCAAGGAATGTGGTGACACATTACCACACAATGTCCCTGACTCACCCAGAGGCCCAAAGAGGGCTCAAAAATTTCTCTCCCCCTCCAAAAAAAAATTATTTCGAAGCGGAACATCATCACGTGCCTTTTGAGTCACCCACCAATCATGTCACCTTCCCATCAAATGTGGGCCAGTTTCACTCGTCACAAGTGCGCGCTAGTATGGGGTCACGACGGGACCCGACCTTCGAAAACAACCCAAGAGGAGCACAGACACTCCATCGCCTACCCTGACACTAGTCCTACCATCCATTTTTACCTAGGTAGGGTTCTCGTGGTTCGTTGTCCGTGGACCAACAGAGTCTAAAGCTCCTCAAGACCGGGGAGATTCGTTCGATTCATTGTGGCACCGTCGTAGGAGGAACCATTGCCGGATCAACTGATTTCGCAACCTCCTTCGTGGAGGTCCCCTTTTCCGCTGTCGCTGTTGGCACCTCATCTGGATGCTGTGCTCGGTATTCCTTATCCAGCTTTTCTACTTCCTCTTCTGTGAGCTGGCGTTCTTTCTCCAGCCTGACTTCTCGGCCACGTTTATGACAATACCAGAGGACAAACAAGAGTACTGCAATGAGCGTTAGACGTGTCGCGACCGCAAGACCAACCATCGAGTGAGTGAGAGTTCATTGAAGGAAGCCACCTACCAAACATGGCCAGTGACCATAACACATTCATACCCATAAAGGCGGGAAATCGAGCCCGCAAGTAGGTGATGATCGATCTCAACATGCCCGTGATTGCCGCGGGCTTCCCCACTAGTTCCTTGAGCGACGGCGTTTTGAATCCCATTTTGGAGGCGGCCGCTGCTGTTTTTCCGGCATTGTCCATATTGATCCCGCTCTTTTGCGCTCGCTCGGCCGCAGCTGCCATCATTTCAGGAGCAAATCCCTTGGTCACGTTCTCGGGAAGCTTCTCAATGAGCTTCTGGAGGAAAGATGGCAGCGAATTGAAAGTCTTCTGTAGTTGCCGGTCACCATTGGTCAAGAGGGACTCAAGGTCTTCGTAAGCCGTCGGCACGCCATGGATCAGATCCTTAAAGACGAGATTGAATTTCTGCAGAAGTTCTTGTGTCTCGTCGCTGATCGAGAATACTCGATTGTTCACCGCGGCAAGGTTGAGTCGTTCGAGAACAATGGTCATGTCTTCCTCCTCCCTCTTGGCCCGTTTCACCTCGTCGCTATCTTCCAATTCAGCCCTCTTGAGGTTCTGCGCGATATCCTCCAGTCCGGCAGCTGTGACTTCGCGCCCTTCACGCTTGACATCCCGACTGTCGCGTCGCAGCCAACTCCACCTGATCCTGGGTTTGGTCTTGCTGTGCTCAGTCTCGGCCTTGCCGCTGTCAGGGATCATCTCAGGCTCCCCCGTGACTTCGTCAGGCGTCTCTGGCAGAGGAATATTCTGAGCGCCATCCATAAGGGCTATTTGAGCATCTTTGCCGGAGGTGGGTGCTCCATCCCGAGCTGGAAGTGGTAGAGGGCTCTCCTGAGATGTAATGTGATCCAAGAACTGCTCATCTTCCTCCGACAGTACTGGAACCTCTGACTTGTGCGACGTGGCTAGGCGGGCTTTGGCCTTGATGTAATCAATGTATTCCATCGCCATAACAGGCACAATAGTGACGTCGAATTGAAACAGTGCCTCAAGGTTTCTAAGGCGAATACTCTGGAATCACAACCTTAGTCGAGGCGCAAATGGAAAGCTGAGGAATAAAGGGGTTATCGAAGTGTTAGAAGAGTTGGTGCCAGCACATGGACGTGGCCAGGGACTGGCAATACGACAAGAAAGGTGGTTTGCGCCACAACGACGTCATGGGAGAAAGATGGCACCTGCCACATTCCTGTCGAGGTTGCCGAAGCCAATCAGAACGGCAGCCTCCATCTTGGATCGATGGAAGGGACGTAAAAAGTCAATTTGATGGGTTGTCCTAGATCCTATCACATGTCATCTCGTGAGATCTACAGTAGCAGACCGTACCGTCAAAACTTTCCCTTCCTCAAATCACGCAGAAAGCTTCCACTGGGAACCGATCAGAGAAAGAATTAGACATGCGTATATCGACCGTGAAGCGATACGCTCGTCGCAAGGCAAACGCACAAGGCCGTGTTCTATTGTGCTATCACCAGCAAGTTGCTTTCCTTCACCATCAGCTTACAGCCTCACCTCTAAACATCGTAGAAATATTTCCATTTCTTCTTCCTCAATTCTCGATCTCGACCTCGCAATATTTTCTTGTTCATGCTCACGCGCCATTCCCGCCATAGAAACCTTGACCCCACCTATTCCTCTCGCCCATTCGATCGGTGTACTCCAAAGATGATACCAAATCCGATGCCTGATGACCGCTCCTTGAAACCCGCTCCTCCTGTCGTCTGGCACCAGAGTGACCATCCCCTGCCGTATTTCGCCCATCAACCACTCGATCCCAACTATTTCCCGCCAGGAACGCTTACTTTATCATGAGGAGGAACACTTTGACATATCCCTGCGTCGAGGCCATAACTAACGCTGGTCAGAAACCAATTTCGTTGTCGGCGGTCCTAGTATTGAAGGCAGCACAGCCTGGGATGAGGACAGCGATGCTCCAGCGGATGTCGAGTCTGATGCCGATGACGATTTCATTACAGAGGCAGTGATATCCCATTTGCCTCTTTGCTACCCTCCGCTCCTAACACATCGTTAGACTGTCAAGGCTAAGGCCAAGTCGCGTCGCAAGTCCAAGTCTGCAAATACACTAGCTAAAGCCAGGTGGGTTAAGCGCATGAAGATCAAGGGTGGCCGTCCTGCCATGGCGAAGAAGGTTACGGCCGATCTAGATTCTGACGATGAGATGATTGTTCGCATGAAGGAGGCCCGTTTTCTGGAGAAGGATATTGCAGAAGCGCTCGTCAAAGCTGGTCGTACTACCTACAATCCCAAGACCATTGGAACTCGGTGGAGACGCTTGAAAACGGCCCTGCAGAAGAGACAAGATGAGTTGCTAGACGCCGAGTTGACCGACTGGCACGATGGCGACGTATGTAATGACACGTGCTGCAATATGCGTGAAGATTAATTGTGTCAGGATGATATTTTGCTTCAAGCAATTGCCAAAGCCGACACTGAGGTCCAAAGACTCACCACACAGATCGAAAATCAGAAATGGCGCATGGTGGCCGACGGCATGAAGAGCATGAGGGTTGGTTCCACATTCCATGGCAGACGCCTTGTTGCTGACTATTTACTCCTTTCTTTTACAATATAGCCAGTTGTCAATTTCTCCCAGAATGCTTGCCGAGAGCGATTCCAGGCCTTGATAGATGGTACCGCGAAGCCAACTCCAGAATCCATCCCAGATCCAACTCCTGAGATTCTTGAACGCATTCAGGCACGGAAGGACAAAGAATAAGCGATTCAAGAACAGCATATGATGGATCCAACGGGTGCGGTCGAGCGGGAGAACATTGGTGCCAACGGATGGACGTCCCGAATGCGCACATATTTCCAAGTGAATCCAACATCGGTCTTGCGGACACGTCCGTCCCAGGAGCTTCTCGAAAGGCGCGGCTCGTCATCTTGACGTTGCATCGATATTGGACATTCTTCGGTTTGGAAAGAAGAAAGGCGGCTTGCATACACGATTGGGTCTAAATCGGCATTGGGTATTATCGGAGCCTTTTGGCGGTTTGGGAGAGAGTGCGCACATGAAAACACCACAGGAACTCGGACGTCGGTGTCTGCCCAGTCTTTGGTTGACTATTCAGTTCTTCGGGTCATCGGTCATTCATTCAGCGCAGGCAAATCTTGCTTTGACGCGTCTGTCGACAGACGTGTGCCAGACAGCCAATAGCAGAACAGATCCAGATAGTGAGGCACGGTCAGCTGACCCGGTCAACAGTCACCATCCACATCCCGTGATTAATGAATGATGGATGCTGATGATTCAAAGTTGGGCACCTGCATAATGCATCAAGCTAAACCCCATCCTTTTGCTCTTCACCTGGCTCCGCCTCACCCCGGGCCCCGGCTGTGCTTCGATTCACTCACCAGAGGACAACGTTGCCGCTGCAGGAGTGCCGGGAGATAGGCGTTGAACGAACAATTATGATTCGACAATGCGGCCCGTCCAGCATTGGTGGCCTTCGCCAAGGCCCTCCAGCCCGCCTGCGACAGCGATATATATTCCATATGGAACCTGTCTCCGTTCCCTCCTTCTCTCCCTCTCTTCACGCACCTGAGCAGGCAAAGCAGATACGTGTTCGGCTATCTTTGTTCGCAAGAGACCCGAACCGTCAAGTTCTCCCGTGTGATTTCCTTTGGCTGTTGGCATCTCCCCGGATGAGGCTGGCAGGCGAGGAAGTCATTCAGAGGACTTCGCAGCTCTCCCACATCACATGGTCCTTGTGTGAATTCAAAAGCGTCACCCTCATCGAAAAACCTATCACGCTCTCTACTACTCATCCATAGGTTCTTCGGCCGCTCTTTCTCTCTTTCTTCCTCCACTCGTTCGCTGATTTTGTACTCGACAATTCTTCCTATGCGCTCTTTGGACGAGATGTTCAAGCGATCGTTCAACACCAAGGATGGTCGCATCGTCAAGTCAAAGACCATCAAGACCACATATCCCGAACATGTGAAGAGAAAGATGCAGGACACCGTGGACGGCGGCTCGCCAGTGGCCAGGTAGGCGACCCTGACACTCCATTTTGGGGAGGTGCGGAAGAGGTGGTGGTTGCGCAAGCAATGTATTGATCGCAATATAGTACACTGACGAGTCCCATCGTCACTTTGGTGGTGGGTCGTGAGCAGCGTCTTTTCGCTGCGCATGAAGACGTCCTCTGTCATTCACCTTACTTTGCGGCTGCCTTGAAAGGAAACTTCCTGGATGGTGGCTCGAAGAGGGTGGAACTGCCCGACGAAGAACCCGAAATTCTTTCCTGCGTCCTCGAGTTTCTATACAAGGGTGACTATTATCCACGCTTGCTGCACAACAAGCGCCGAAACACTTGGGATCTCGAAGATGCGCAAGCCCTAAAAAATGGTGGTCGCGGAAATAGCGCCTCGACAATCTACCTTTCCGACGCCGGTGGCGATGTTCTGAGGGACACCGTGGTGTACTGCGCTGCCGAGAAGTACGGCATGGAAGAGCTGAAGCGTTTGTCTCTCCGGAAACAGGGGCTTCAGTCCGGAATCCAAGTCGACGTGATCTTGCGGTCAGCTCGGTATGCGTATGAACACACACCGGACACCGAGTCGCGACTCCGCGCTCATTACCTAGCTCTGATCATTCGAAGTCGCAAGACTTTTAAGAGGAGTGGAACCATGCAGATGGAAATGGAGAACGGGGGCAAATTGTTTTTCGACCTGTTTGTGGCGATGTGTAATCATATCGATGACATTGTGGAGATCAGGTAAGTCCATGCGTGTTTGTGTGAAATTGAGTTCCATTCTATCGCATAGAGGACTCATGCATCTAACACCTCTCGACAGCAACAGCCGTTCTCCCAAAGCCATCTAAAGGTTGCAGTCGACGACAGCAGGACGACGGTTTGGAGCTACGATGTGAGGTAGGACAGAATGTATACCAGGCAGTGGGATAACAACAGCGAGTGTCTGGAACCGTCTACTGCTTTGACAGCAGCACAACTCCACTTCTCTCGAGGTTGGCCGACAAATTTCTGGTTCATTGAAACCCTACTCTTTCTAATGGCCCATTGGCGCAATCGGCTTTCCGCTCTTTCATATTTCTCTCCGTGAGGGAAAACAGAAAATGATCAAATTACACCGCGTGCGACGACAACTCGCAACTTCTTTGTATTGATTGGTTTCTCGACTCTGATGTCGACATCTGCCCATATGGCGAAGCTACTTTCGACTTGATCCTTGTCGGTCAGGAAGAAAACCTCTGTATGATTCAGAATAGGAAATGAGAGATTCGGCCACCTCAATTTCTTTCCGTTTGGTGTTTGTCGTCCTCTAGGTCCACCCTTAGCTCGTGCGAAGTATGCAAAAGGTCAGTATTCTTGTCCAATCAAGATGTTTGCTGCTCTTCAACAAAGTAACCCCTCGAGCCAACTTCATTCTTGACTTGTCCGAGGTTTTCGTCCTTAGTATCTGTTTTCTCATCGATATCGCTCTATCTAGACTTTATTCATCTCCGGCCTAGTTTCCAAACGGTTCTTCATCTTCGCACTGACCCAATTTTTCACTCCTGACTTCATTTTATATCTTCAGGAATGCTTCGTTCATCGTGGGACTGTCAGGCCTCGACAAATCTCCAGTCCCCCAAGTCCTTGATCAGCGAAGCCTCAGCTGAGGGACCGTACACCACGCATCCTGAATTGACCAAGATTGACTCCGACCACTGTCGTTCGGTGTTTTCAATTCCTCCTTATGGATGGATATGTTCCTGTAGTCATCAGCACTCCTGGAAGATGAGCTTTATTTCCAAAGCAGCTTGACGGCCCGTCATCGGTTGATGACTACAGAAATGAAGCGACCAAGATCGAACATTTGTATGTAATTGCCCAAAGCCTGAGAATTCGAACCTTGGAAACGTTGATATTCCGAAAGATTACTCAAGCGCAATATACCGACCATACGGGATCAAAGATGACAACACTAGGAATAAAGGAACCGCCGATGTCCTGGAGAATTGGTAGGTTGAGTCATGAGAGGCTAAGTTCTAGCGGCCAAGTTCCAGCCGACGCCAGCCACGGAGCTTGGGCAAAGCGACGTTTCGGCCCAAGGAGTGGGAGGAACACGGGCCAGACACAATCACCATTGAAGATGATGATTGAAACAGTGACTTGGTAGCTGTGGGTGGTCTAGTGGAGGGTTCTTCTCCTGTGTTATTATTGGATGAAATCAGAGAGGCTCAATCTAATCATTTCGACGCTGGAGGCATACTGGACATACTGGGCTTAGGAAGAGCTCCGGCTGCTACACAATCGGTCTGTATTAGTACCACGGATTGATTGATTATTGAATTCTCATTATCCGACCTCTTGCACCCGGACAACTGGTTGATTATATTCGCCCAGAAATAATGATCCCATGTACGAGACTCGGGAGATCAGCCTTGCGATGCCTGACGTGGGTCCGGCTGCAGACACTCCCATTTAGCCTCGGTCAACCCCCAATTCGCCCCTCTCTCCATCTTTCATCCCTATTCCCTGACTCGCTTGATCTTTCGTCTCGTTGCATCCCCAGAGGTCCGAGGCCACCTTCTTCCAATCATGACGTCTGGCAGTCCCCTTCGGGAACTGCAAGATGCCGAGTCAGAAGCATTGACATCGACCCCTACTCTTAGACAATCCAGCTTCGGATGCCCAAAAACGAGTATGTTGTTCGAAGCCTATTTGTCACTAGATGACAACCCCTCCTTCCCTTGGGGTTGCCGTGAAGTAAACATGTTTGTGTCTGGGTGATCGACCGGCAATCCGAATAAAACTTCTTGATTCCGCTCCAATTCATCTTCTCCTCCATTCGGCTGTGTGTCCGCCGTCTGATTTGGTGGTGCTGATACTATTAATTCTGTACCTTTGGTCTTGGTTTGTGAACGGTCTCCCAATGTCTGATCTCCCTCCCACTTTCGATATTCCCAAGGAGTGCTGGGGCGCCGTCGTGGTAAGTATCATGGCAGCAACGAACTGATCAGGTCTCTCACCACGTCGGACAGAAAGATGAAGGGCCCAACTTCTATGTCGAGGTCGAGAAGGTCCCGGTGCCTGAGATTGGTACGTCCTGACTTTGCATGCACCTGGACAGTCTTCGAGCTAATCATCTTTTTTCAGGACCGGACGACGTGCTGATCAAACTCAATGCTACAGGCCTCTGCCTCAGCGACATCCACTTTATGCTCAATGATTGGAACCTGCCCAAGATGTCCGACCTGGGAACCAAATGTGCTGGCCATGAAGGAGCCGGCATCATTGTCAAGGTCGGCGAAAGAGTCAAGTCGTACAAAGTGGGTCAACGTGCTGGCTTCAAGCCAATCCAAGACGTCTGCCACACCTGCGAATACTGCAAGACGGGCAGGGAGACATATTGTCAAAAGGCGATCTTCACTGGCTGTTTCTGTGATGGTGTGCAGGATCCAACCCACACCAGACCCTGGCTGATACCCACAGGTTCTTACAAGCAATACGTCGTTTCGCCAGAGAGATACACTTCGGTGAGTGGTTCTTACCAAATCCGGAGCACCGACAGGCTAACCTTCCATCATGTAGCTAATTCCTGATGTATGTGGCCACGGAAGACTATGACGACCGTCCGACGCATTGACACGTTTACAGGGCGTTTCCGACTATGTGGCCGGTCCCGTCATGTGCTCCGCCTCCACGATCTACTCGTCAATCAAGGAATCAGGCCTAAAGGCAGGTCAATGGGCGGTCTTCCCTGGAGGAGGAGGCGGTGTCGGTATCCAAGGAGTTCAATTGGCTGCGGCAATGGGAATCCGACCAATCGTAGTGGACACGGGGGATGAGAGAAGGACACTGTCCAAGAGCCTGGGTGCCGAACACTTTGTTGATTTCAAAGAAGGCGACCCTGTCAAGGATGTTCTTGAACTGACAGGAGGTGGTGCGCATGCCGTCTTTGTGACCGGTGAGTTTACAGGCCAATGGGAGGCCAAGTCGAACGGTATTTACTAACCGCGACCCAGCGGTACAATCCTACCCCATCGCCCTTGGCTATCTCGGTGCCCGTGGAGGTGGACAAATTATGTGGTAAGTAAGGATGAGTGTTATGATATCAAGAATCATGGGGACTCTGACGTCGACCGCAGCATTGGAATTCCTCCCCATGGAAAATACCACATTGATCTGGATCCTACCCCACTTGTTTTCCGGAATCAGTCGATCAAGGGCACTCTAGTCAGCAGCCTCGCGGATATTGAGGAAACACTGGACTTCGCGAAGAGAGGTCGGTGGTCATGAAAAAGGCCGAGGTTGGGAATGGTGAGACTAACCTAGTCCAGGCAAACTGCGTCTCGAACCTACGGTGGTGGGGTTAAGCAAATTCAACGAAGCCGTTCAGAAGCTCAAGAATGGACAAGTTGCAGGGTAAGTCGGCACCCACACGACGCAGAGATGTAAGGCAATCACTAACACGAACAGCCGGATGGTGGTGGACTTCAACATGCCATAATAGACTGAAGAGAGAAGGTTGTTCTAGTCCAAAGATGACGATGCCGTTTCCTCCCACCACGTCGTCCCTATCTGAAGGGTGTTCATGAAACAATAGGTTGCAGGTGTTGTTGACCATAGTTACCATTTCAGAGCCTCGCTGGCACGTACTGGGGTACGCAGTAGCGTAGAATGAATGGAGGAATGAGGTTCTTCTTCCTCCTAGTGTTGCCATGAATATCCATGTACCCAAATTGCCGTGAGGTCTCCCCCGGGCCAATCAGAGGCCAGTGATACCCCGGCCGGCCATGTCCCGAAATAGATCAGCCAATCAGACACTCCGTTACGCGCCGGTCGTGTTTGAAGCTTCTGCCAAATTTCTTCCCACCTCTGTCAGCCTTCTCCTCTCGCTTCCTCTCATCTTTCCTCTCTATTTCCTCGCCCGGTATCCACAATTTCCTCTCCTCCCTCTTTAATTGGCCTTCATCTCGCCAGTGCTCGTCCATATCGCCTTTCACGATGTGATAGACTTTGATAACCTGCATTTCTTTCTATCTTGAGTCGCTAGACGCCGGCCAAGACAGCCCTTTTCCCAATCCTCCCTGATTGGACCACTATTATCATGGGAGAGAGAGAGAGAGAGCCTCCGGATATGCTGTCTTGCCAAAACCGGTTCCTCCTCGTCGTCGTGATGATTCATTTTCTCTCTATCATCCTGCTCTCATTTTCGACCTTTTGTTCTTCTCTCTTCTGTCTGCCTCTGTCTGGTTAACTGTTGGCAGGTGTTGGATCCTCGTGGTCGTTTCTTTGTTTGCGTTGCATCTCCTCCCCTTCCCTCCGACCGCTATCCTCTTCATATTCGCTCACGCCGCAGCAGGTCTGCTTCCTCGACCCTCGTTCATTTTTTGCATTTGGGAACGCTGCGATCGAGCATCCAAAACATGGCTACCACTCAGTGCCTCTCCCTGTTCCCCACCACCGTCCCCAAAATCGCTATCCCAAATCCCCATAAGAAGACTCCCAGTTTGCATCGGATCAGCATGGTAGCATCTCCAGAGAGTACTCTTTCACCGAATGGAGAGTCAATCGTAATCAAGATGGAATCGGAACCGCCCCTCCCTCAAGTGCCAAACCATCTCCACGACCACCGAGAACCTACTCCTTCCCCTGAAGAGATCGGTCGAGCAGTGACGACCTCATCCCCAATCGATGGGAAGACTCCAACTCAACCGGCCCCGACCTCGGCCGCGATAAAATATACTCCGTCATTATACCGGTCACCTGGGGGGGTCAGCTCATCTCCTCAACCCTCGTTCTGCTTGGGAACCGGATCTGCTACCACTCTCGTCCAAGCACCGGCCGCAGTGACGGTGAACAATAAATCCCCCGTCGACCCTTCGCCAATTGTACCTATACGCTCCATGTTCCCAACCTACGACCCATCTGTCCCGTTAACCCAGCAGACCTATGTGCCGCAAAGGCCTTTACCGGCACAGCTGTCGGGGATCCCATCTGTTGTTCCCGCTGCTAGGGAAGACTATCGAAGCAGTCTCTCTTTGCCTTTCGCCGTTGCTGCACAACGAACTGCTCCGGCAAGTGTTCTGAACTTTCCCTCAGATGTTATGAGCGTGAACATTGGACCTCGCATATCCACCCAACGAGAGCTCGAGAAGCTGTGGGAGGCATCTCATGGGACGGAACCAGGCTGTACAAGCGTAACATTCGATCTCGAAATGGCGCGGTATGGACGTTTTCAAGGCGTAAGACTGGCGTGGTTCTAATGGCTTATAGGACAGAAGAAGCAACCTTTGTCTTTGGCTCTCACCCGTCACTCCCGTTCTACACCCTCCAAACATACGACACCAACGAAATCGCCATTTCAAAGACCTGCCCGCGAAAATCGACCTTGACGCAAGACGTGGTGCTCTGCCCAATCGAACCCCCCTCCCGACGACAACCTCCCAACGATGGCCTTGTGGCTTTCATCTTCCCTAAACTCGCCGCAATGTTAGCCATCAACCAGTCCGCCGCACTGGCCCGGGAACATAATCTGGCACCTACAGAGCGCGACGAAATCGAAGCGCAGGCTGTCCGGCGCGCCGCGAAGCAGGAAGCGTGCAACTTACGCTTCAACGCCCGCGGGGGATTTTACGAACTCGAACACCCCGCCATCGGCCGTGGCGCCATGGGAGGAGATTTCGCCATGAAATCCCCGGTACCAACATCACCTACCACCATCCGCTCCCTCACCGGCAAACCGGTTCTTCACATAACCATTTCCACCGATAGCCCGGTCCCAACTATCCACGTCATCGACCCCAACGCCTCGCGACGCACAGGAATAATGACGCCCGTGGCGTCCGCCGGGACTGGGATCCGCCGGCTCTCAACACTCCCTCAGACGGAAACCACCGGTCCATCGTTCTCAGAATTCCCGCCACTAGCAACCCTAGACCTCGCAGCCCAGACACTCCATCTCGACGCAAACGCCATCCTAGAACTGATGCCGTCACTCTTCAGCATCGACAGCATTGTCTCCGCACTCATGACAGTCGCCATCGCCGACTCCACGACGAACCCGGTCATGGCATCCATGGAGATCTGGAAACCCCGACCAGCCCCGGCGTCACGCTTAGGAACTGGCCCCAGATCCATCCGGCCCGGCAGCGTCAAAAGCTACGCCGGTAGCGTGTTCTACGCCACGATCGCCGAGCGCGAAGACGCCGAAGAAGAAGCCAGACTCATGCGCCAGACGCACGAAAAGGACATCCGAGGCGGCGGCAGCTCGTCCAAGCAAAAGGGTTCACGAACATGGTTCGGGCTCCGGAAACAATTCTCCGAACCCGACGAAGACGACGAAAGAGACCCCGTTTCGGAAAAGAAATCGGGCCAGAAGAAGAAATTAAAGACGAAGAAAATCGTCCTCCGCGAGTTCGACCTCGAGAAACTTGGCCACTATCAGTCCGGTGACCGCAAGGGCCAAGAGTTACCTGTCATCACGCGCTCGGCGCTGTCGGGCCTCGTCATGGCTCTTCGAGTGCTGGTGTGGCTGTTGACCATGTTTGTCCAGATGATGGCTTGGATGCTGGTGAATGTCTCACGAGCGGTGACGAGCGAGAAGTTTTGAAAGACGAAGACGGCAAAGATCGGGTTTTTCATTTCGTTTCTTTTCTTCGCCCTCCTTGATCCTTGGCAAGGAGATGCCTTTTTACCTATTTCTTTCGTTGGGCCACAGACGGGTCACTGGTCAGAGATATACGTATGCTTGTGTGTGTCTGCATATAGAGATCGCTCGGAAAATGGAGCTGGACATCCAGTATGGACGGTAATATCAATTTATTGATATACCGATTGCAATGGTAATTGGCGTGGGGCACAAAATGGTGTGCAGCAGGAAGGAATGAAAGAAGGAGCAGATCCTGCTTGTTTCGGCTCCGTACATATTCATTATTTCCTCTTGGACTAAATGCTTATGACTATACGGGGCTGTGGACGATGTATGGCGAATGGTGTTTGCTTGACAGTCTTTTTTATTGTCACCATTTGTCGGGATGTGCTATCTAGCTCGTGGGAGACCCGATCTTGGAAGTAATCCCAAGCAAATTCGGAATGGTCAAAATCAATTCCAAATGTTACAAAGATGGGATCGGCCATTCCTGTGAGATGCTTCGACCTGACACGTCGGGCACCATGACACCAGATCCGGACATGATCAGAGTCCATGGCTAAAGCGAATGTTTCTCCACTGCGCTTTTCGAACCAAAATGGCAGCCAACTTTCGTCAGACAGGCTACACCCTTCTTCAAACATTCGGGCGATTCTGAGATCGGCTTTTGATTTGTGTGCCGGATTAACATGGCACGCTCGTCTCCTGAGGTAACGTTCTGCGACACTCGCGTTGGGTGAGAGCGAAAAAATGGACCCAGGGTTTGGAGTGCGACCGTCCAAAAATTCCATCTTCGAGAGATAGAAGAATGCGTTTGAGTTCTGCCTTCTTCACGCTTTGTTGCCCGACCAGTGCCTGACCATCTTCATGAGCTCGGGAGTATTGAGAAGATCATGGTTTTGAAGCCAGGTATATTCTAACCATCTTTTTGGTCCCCGACGACAGTAGTTGAGAATGGAAACGTCATGACCATTTACGGAGATCATCAGTAAGGAAGTCGACAATCTCAGATGTGTGAACGAGATTGTGGCCACGGGTATTAAATCTTCATCTCCGCCTGACCATGCTCGGTGCAGAATGAACGACCACATAAACGGCCGATTTCTCAATTTCTGAACAGCAGATGGCTTACAAGTGGATGGACTTTACAGGAAGTTTTGGCACCTCTTCATGTCTCCTTTTTTGACACAAGCTGGTTAGAAATAGGGACAAAAATGAGTATGTTCAGCCATGCTGCTCAAAGAACAAGTATAAGCTCAGAGAATGTCTTGGGCATTTTCGACGTCAACACCCTCCTTTTGTATGGTGAGGGAAGGAAAGTGCTTCGACAATTCCAATTGCAAGTTCTTGCCAATTTCACTGACCATTCCATATTTGCTTGGTCAAGACCTTCGGAATTATCCCTTCTATCTTCAATGCGTAGCGGTCTTGGACTTCACCTGTCGTCATTTGCAAGATTCCTTTCCGAGCCATCACCCTCTCAAATGTAAGGCCCACATCTAGTAAGAATACACAGCAGATACATGTATTGGCATACCACCAGAATACGGAATTGAGTGCCTCAGAGAGCAAGAGAATCCCTCCCGTCCGTTTGCTAAAGACTAACCAGACCTTCGCGTTTCACTTTAGAAGGCTTCATCCGTCCAGTCTCTCTGGGCGACTTTGATCTAGTTCCAACCCTCACAGTGCTAAGCTGGATACGCTTGTTGAACAAGGACAACGGATTAAGTTCCTCCTCGCATGACTCGATTCTTGATCCCTTCACCGCGGTATCCAGGAGCCGGGCCCTGATAGGACAGTCTGTGGAAAGATCTTGCCCCATTGCTCTAGACACGCGCCATACGATCGCTCTTGCCCAGTCATTTCCTGCGCGGGCAGCCTTGAGAAGATATTCCAGCGCCATACTGCCAGAACTTGCTGGATTCTCAAATGTCTCACCTGGGACATAGTCACAAACATAACATATAGCTACATGCAAATGGCATATCTCCCTGTAGCAGTTGGTGTGTTTGCCGCAAGTTGGAGCTCTGACGACTTGGTCCATGACTACCTCGCTGACCGTCGGCAGGGCGCGACATGGTATAGATAACTAGATATCATTAGATCCTCCGGCTTCAACATTCGGTTGCGGTGCTAACCGCGGTCAAATCCAATTATTCTTGTACCCGCTGCTTTCCGCATTTGTCAATTTGTGTGTTTATTTCCTCGTCAGCCTTTGAGGTCCAACACCAACACACTTAATCAGCACTAACCTTCCGGAGAGGAGTTTCAACTTTTCGCAAGTCCCTCTTCCATGGATCACGCTGCAAAGTAGAATCCGGAATAGGTTTGATTAAAGGAAACTCTTCAAGGTGAAGCTTTGGACGGTCTCGATCTTCCACGAGGATTTTTGCGTAGTGAGGGCTGCTCAAGGCGTCACCATCCTTAAGCCCCTGGATAGTTTCCTTGATAGGATGGCCTTGATCAAGGTCAGGTAAGCTACTCAGCTCAGTGCCCAGAATGAGGCCGCAAAAGATGAGGCCAAATAAACAGACATCAGTTTGAGGAAGCTCCGCTGTAGGGGCCAAGTTTTCCCAGCATGGGGAAGCGTACAAAGCTGTGCCTCCCACAAGCCTGCGTTTACAGCCATTATCAAGGAATGAATGGCTGAAGTCGCTGGCTTTTGCATGCAGCTATGGTTTGTAGAAAGCGGGAGCGACGAGCTTCTGCCAATTGTTATTGTCTCATCTGATGCCACATTTAGGACATTTCTGTAGCAGTTTGACTCGCTCATGCTGAAATTTTCGAAGATCGGTATCCGCTTTCTCAACCAGAAGCAATGGCTAGGAGTATCCCTGTGTGCTTACCGATCAGAGATGCAAGAATATATGAGGCCATCTTGACAGATCCCATACGTTCTTGTAGTAGTTCCAATGGATCCCCAGCAGTGGGGCAATGCTTAAATGCTCTCGAATGCCTTAACGACTGAGGATTCTGATTTCGGAAACTAGGCTTTTTATTGCTAATGGGCTGTTGGGTTGATAGTTTGGGAGGAATAAGTTAGACTCGGGTTATTTGATGGCAATCACACGTTTTCCCTACTTGGTTTCGTGTGAAACAATATCACTTCGGCGCGTGAATGCCGCGTATACAGTCGAGACCTCTGAGGTGGTTCCGCGACCCAAGGGTTTGCTTTTGTCTCGGCGACCCTGCATTTCACGTACATCCTCTTGTGTATACAAGTGAGAGACTGTCGTAATCAAGGCAAGCAAATCGAAGTATTCATCTTCATGTTCACCAGCAGTGATATCGTGTTGTAAGAACCTTGCACTTGTTCTAAGGCCAAACAATATTGACCTATTCACTAGACAAGGCCAGCACCAGAATGACTGAGCACTCCCTGAGCAGCATACTGAGCTACAAGGAGGGGGGGGAGCAATCTGGTCTCCTAGCGATCGGCTATACCTGCCTCTCAGCTATGCATTTGTTCTAGACAAACCACTGTGAACCGGACAAAATCCTGCCCCTCCGCTGCTGCCTAAACTTCTCTGTGCATCGCACTCCTATATATCGTCGAGCAGGAAATCTTAATAAGCAAAATCGTGGTCGGGACGCGCGGAACGCGCCTAAGGGCTCCGTCAGACTGGTAGCACTCAGTGCTGAAAAAAAGCCGTGCGGAGATGGGTGACTCCTTGAAGCTCACCCAAGGCCACTTGCCGAGTCGCTTCCAAGGCTGCCACTGACGAAAACCACAAGCACAGCCGCGTATGCAGCACAGGCTCCAAATATCTCAGACCTCTTAGCGTTGGTGACAAGACTGATACACAATGCAAAGGCAGTTGTGTAGCCAGCTATGAGTCTCAATTTGATCTTCTCTTGATCCACATAGTACAGGTTGTAGATCGCACCGAACAGGAAAGCCGCGGCAAGCAATACATTGATAAGGCCAACCACAACAGCGATGCGTCTTGTAGAGACATAGACAAGGCGAGAATCACGGTCAGGATATCTCTCCAGGAAGAGAAGTAGACAATGCTTTCGCAGAAAGCTTGTTAGTCGATCCTCTTCTAGCGGCCGAGCCAACGCGCTGATGTCATGTCGGTCATTGTAAAGCGCGCTGCTGCTGCCTCCTAGCGTAGGAAATCGTCCTTCATTCGCATTCATGAAGACCTGGTCAAAAGCTCTAAATGTCTGTTTAGATGGACGACGGAGTGCCAACACATCGGCATCGAGCAAAACAGCCTCCTCTGGCCGGATTAGACTAAGCTCGACCCTGATATTTTCATATCAAGCTTATTACTTACTGTACTCCTTAATTTTGCTCCTTATCTTCCTGACCAACGCCATTCTTTTTGCTGCTCTGGTCCCTTGAATCTTTGCTGCACTCTCAAAAGCTTCCCAGCTGCGAGCAATGTTCCTGGTATCGGTCTGAGCGTCAAAGAAGTCTTCCCGATCAAAGTCATCTTGTTGGCGTTGAAGTGCGGCAAGCTCGCTTTGTAAGTAGAGAAGATTTCTAGTCGACAAGTGATCGAAGCGATTGTATATCATCATGCTGTGATCTTTGCATCTCACCATGGCCGAAGCAAGTGATGCGAAGCCCACAGCGTCGGCTTTGCAGTCGCCATTCTCGCAGTCCTCGGCCATTTCATTGTATTCGCATTATCTGCACAGTATCCGAAGTGTTCGTACGTGGCTCAAGTTGCAGACAGGAAGCAAGGAGACGTTTTCCCGAAGAGCGAAGTACTTATCTGAACCAGCACGAGGCTTGCATCTTCGGTGTTGCCTTGTTTACGGAAGGCAACTTGTGTGGTTCGCACAGCTTCTGCTTTGCCGTTGAACAAATAGTGGCCTATCGTTCATGGCAAACCAACTCATTCTGTAGCACTCGCCTCCTGGCGCACAACCCCACTGACAGGCAACAGCGCCAGCGTACACCTCGTAGATAGATATATAGACGGACTCTATCCCACACTCATTGGAAGAGCTCAGAGCATCCAATAAGTCTCGAGTTGCATCCAGTTTGACACTTGCACAGCCTCATTTCCCCGCTTTTCAGTCTATATCTACACAGTACGCGTCTTTGTTCTCCTGCTTTCTGTTACAAGTTCTATTGTACCGCTATCAATGGATTCGACTGCTGCTAAACGTCAAGTGGGCGGGCGGCAAGGCGGTGCTGTGGTGTCAAGGTAGGACCTTCACCCTCTGATGTCGGTAGCAGACTTAACCATCGAGTTCAAGATACATCACGGCACCATACTCGCCGGGACCGCGGCATCGGCTCTCCAGGTCTATGAAGTGGGACCGAAGCAAAATATACCAAAGATCAACTCAAGACAATGCCATCACTTCGGCATTGATGTTTCTCTATGACTTTGCTGCAGTCCTCACCTCTTGGGTGTCGAGGGCGCATATAGGAGTCCGACTGAAGCCTTGCTTCGGAACCTTACCAAAGCCAAATACCGTTTCCCTACTTGTCGAGGGTCAACCTCTCGATGTCCTAAAGGACACTGGCTCAAGGAAGAGCTGCGTGGAGCTTGGGAAGGCCCTTGCTTTTGGGGAATGATCTTCTTGACGATGTTGGCGAGATAAGGTCGCATATCCCTCCTTGCTCAGGCTTCCCCGTTGCTGTAAGAGGTGAATTTTCTTCACTACGCGGAAGCGGCAGACCCTTCACAGCCATCTTGGATACAGGAGCCGACGACAACTTCATTTCGATGACTGAAGTAATGTTCCTGGATTATCAGGCGGACTGGAAGAAAGCGCGTGAATACTGCATGGCAAACGGCAAGGTCATCAGGTCAATGGGCCAAGTTACACTGAAATTCCAACTGCCTTGCTGGAAAGCGCCTCGAAGCATAGAGTTCCAAGTTTTGGAGGAGCTTGAGAGACCCGTCATTTTTGGCGCAGAACTTGCCATCCAAATGTCCAAGTTAGATCGTCTTCCGTGTACGAACCATGAAGATTCTGCACCCCGTGTCACGCATTTGTCTCGAAAAGGCCAGCGCCCCACGCGCGTCTTCAGATGCCTTGTCGACGACAAGATGGTCGAAGCCAGTGCCGACACAGGCTCAGACCTGAGTTTGATATCTCCTTTAGCAGTTTCCAAACTCTCCGGTGCTGGCTCGATGAGGACAGAGAACTTCGATATAACCTTAGCCGACAAGTCAAAGGCCCACATTGACGCCTCCTTCCGAGCTTCTTTTTCTCCATATTCTGCCTCGAAAGAAACCGTAACAGAGAGATTTTATATTCTGGAAGGATTGACCGCTGATATCTTCCTTAGTCGTCACATTCTGGACAAGATTGGCGCCTTTACGAGGAATCAAGCCTCCTTTTCTGATTCATTAGGGCAACCCATGCTTTACAACCTAAATGTGGCTGCATATCTATCCGAGCCATCAGCCAATCTCTTGAGCATATTCAGGACGGGTCGTCGTGCAACGACCAAGACTGACGCTTCGTCTGCAAAGCCCACCTTGCAGAACCTTCCGCCACCTTCGACCCCTGATGGCGACTTTTATGCAGCGCTCAAAGTCGTCGCCGCATACGAGACTCATCGCAGAGAGAAAGCAAGGGTAGAAATTGCTGGTTTGAGTGGAGTACAAAAAGCTATCGCCGAAGACGCCGAGAAAAGGAGAATTGAGCGGTACGAAACCGATTTGAAAAGCAGATTAGACGAAAGGACGCAAGCCGCCAATAATGCCTCCTAATGGACAGGCAGACAATTCGCCACTATTTGTCCCAGCTGTCCTCTTACAAGCACGTTTCGAAAATACCCCTACAAGACTTCGATCATGACGGTCAAGATCACGTCATGTTTTTTGGGCCGGCCTTCAAGATTCAGGAACGTCCAAGCAAGCAGGCATATCAAGATTACTGCGCCTCTCGATGATTTATGCAAAGATATATCGATGTTCTTCAGCATGTAGCGCTGAACGTGACCTTGAAGACTTGCTTGTTCATCTCCAATGGCAACGAATACGATTTTATTGCTGGGTCCGCGAGATTGGCTTCACAGAAATCGTGTTGCAAGAGGAGAACAGGCCGGTATTCCGACCGGCAGGAACGGCGAATCTGCTTCCGTGCGAACTCCGGAGGCCTTCATCATCTCTCAGGTTCAAAGATCCGTGGGGAACATGAATGCCGGGCTGATCGCGGCAAAACCCGTGCTGGAGAGATACACAGCTATAATGACTCCGGATCGTGACGGTGGGTTGGCGAAATTACGTCGAGGCCTGGATCTAGAGCATTACAGCGCTCTGATTATCACTTCCGCGAACTCAAAAGTTGTCTTCAGGCTCAGCTCCTTTGACAGAGTGCGGTGGGTAGCTGTTGATGAAAAAGTGCTGAGGCAGCTAGTAGAAATGCCCAGGAAGAACAATGTTGAATTGAAGGAACCCCTTCCATATCGCAAGATGAATGCATACGAGAGACATGCCGGCATTACGCCTATAACGTCACCACATTTGGCCGCTCCAATTGCAGCAACGACATTCGAAGATGGCCTATCCGAACAACCTGAAGGCAATGGACGTTTCTGACAGCTGCAGTGCGCCACGCAGCTGCTTCAGAGAGACCACGAAATGGCCAAGAAGTCTTGCTCTATTATGGTCTGGCTGAATTCGGATTTTCGAAGCTGGAATCGTCCAAGTCCGTAGCTCAGGAATATTTGTCGTACGGAGCTGCTCCAGTGGTCATTGAATGGCGATGCTACTTTCGGAGTATCACTAAGGAACGACGGTCGGCTAATGACACTCGAATTTATATGCTTGCCATGCAACTTCGGTAGTCATTGGAGTTGCCTGATATCAGTCTCTTAAGCTGCCTTGGACATTTTCATGATGCCGACAACCAATGTTATGGAACTGCTTTCGCATATCCGGTCGACAGTGCCGTGACAACTCCCATATCACTACAGGAACGTCTCATTGCGGATCACGGACGTGGTACCCACCGTGACCTTTGGTGACCGCATCCGAGCCGCTCGCATTCTAGCGTATCGACTTTTTTCTGTACGCTGGCTACACAAGAACCTGAGCCGCAGCAGTGTGCTTTCTTTTCGAGGAACAACCAGGCTCAACCTCTCTGCCGGTGCCCTACGTATGTGGCTTTGACCTGGCACGGCAAAATCAGAACTCCGTCGGGGGCGTAGCCTTAGGGCTGTAGCGCTACCGGAAAGAATATGATGCGTACAGTTTGGGGATAATTCCATTGGAAATTAGTCTTTGATCTGTGGTGCCCTGTGCAACAAATCTTCAAAGATTGCAATATAAATGACCTGAACAAATTTACGGAAAAGTTGAAGAAAAAAATATGTATTGGACTCGAACGGACGCATGGGAAGAATCTCCGCAGATATCACAAGACGTTGTCTGGAAGGGGATTTTGGTATTCGGCATGATCAAAGTCTCGGAAACAACTGGGTCGATCTGTCAGCCGATGAAAGCAATAGGTCAGGCGGGAAACAGTTCTTGGAAGATTTTGAGAAACCTGCCGTGTTACTAATCGAGAGACCCTTCTGAGCTGACCAGGTAGTCCGAACTGGTACGTCTGGCGCGGTGTTGATACCCCTGGTAATAATTAGAAAGAGTAGTGTACTGTAGTTGTGTAACCGTGGTCAATTCTTTGCTCAATAGCCCGCTAGTCCTAGTCCACCTAGAAGAATTATCACATACTGATGCAATCCTTGTAAAGGGGCGGCTACGCCACTAGTACCCACGTCGCTTACGGCGGCAAATACACCCCCACTTTTGTAAGTATACAGGGTAATATTCCCCTGTGCAATTTCGCAAGCAGACTCATTGTTCGAGGGCCCTTCCACGGTCTCAGAAACTTGTCTTCAAAAAGGCGCGGGACGACGGTGATGGCGTGATATTTGCAATTTCCAAACCATTCGTCAAGCACTATTCACGATCACCGCCTCGCCACCGCTTGCCGTCTCCACATTGTCCTTGACCTCCTCTCTATACGCATGCATTCCCGCCTTCATCATCGGCGCCATCATCAGTGTCTCCCAATTATGCACCATCCTGCTCTGCATCAAACTGACCTCTATCTCCTTCAGACTCCTCGTCTTCATTTCCTCCTCATATGCTCTCACCGCCTGCTCGAGCGACTTCTTCTTTTCCGTCACATTGAACAGTTCCGACACAATTTTCTCAGCATCTTGGAACGCATTGTTCAAGCCTTGGCCACGAAATGGAGGCATGTTGTGTGCGGCGTCTCCCGCCAGCGTGGCGTGCGGCCAGAGGGGGGAGGAGGTCCAGTCCATATCTGGCTTCCATACTGTGACCGGGTCGACTTGGAGCGGTAGGTCGGAAGGGATACTGAGACCCGCGCTTTTCCAGGGTTCAGCGTAAGCTAGGGCCTTTTCCTTAATAAAATCAATTTTGGATTTTTGGTCGGGAAAGTCTTCGGCATGTGGTCTGCCGGGCCATGAGAGACATTGTTGGAAAAGGAACGTGGCTGGGTCGTTGGGGTCGCGTACGTCTTGAATTGCGGTCACCCAGGACATGCCCATGGGGTGGTAGCCGATCCGGAAGATGGGATGGGCTTTGCGTTGCAGGAGAGCAACATCGGCGGGAAGCGTCCAGCAGGCGTTGAACATTTGGATGTCGATGGGTGAGTTGACGGCAAGGTCTCTCCCGACAAGGGCTTCGCGGACGGAGGAATGGACGCCGTCGCAGCCAATGATAAGAGCACCGGTGGCGGTGCTACCGTCGGCGAAAGTGGCAGTCGCGGAACTGCTCGAGCGCGATACTGACACGACTTTCTTGCCAAAGTGGACGTCTATGCCTTCGCTAAGGAGAGCGCGAAGCTTGCGGCGAGAGACCCGTAGAGGATTGAAACCTTGCATGTCGAAGAATTTCTCGCCCGTCCGGCCATCGAACATTGGCCAGGAGGTGTGTTTGCCAGTATAGAATGAGTCGCAGCATGCTTCATTCAGGCGAGACATGAGTTCCGGCGGTATGCATTTGGACAGGTATTCTTGGCCAAAGTGGAGGGTCATTCCCCATTCTCGAGGTCGCGTGAGATATGTGGATGCTTCTTCTCGTTCGTAGACGGTGGCTTTGATGCCATTCTAAGAGTGGAATAGTTATGAGCATGAGCACCCCATGGTCTTGACCAAGCAGAGATTGTTTCTGAACCACACATACGAGTTTCAATCCCTGGGCGAGCAGTAACCCTGTCGCACCTGCCCCAATGATCACAATCTCGAGGTCCAATGCGTCTGCCATCAGTCCTGCGGAGTTCTGTTCCACTGTCAACAGGGGGATCGACTGTGCCGCGCGCAGAGCTGTGCTACGCCGTGCTGGTTCAAAACAGTTTTTGACTGCTATTAAGTGAACGAGGATGTTGGTCAGGCTTTTGACCATTTGGCCAGAACGATGTGACGTGGCTAGCCGAGCACTCCATTCGAGGTGCCATGTTCGCAAAGAAGCAACGACGAAAGAATGCTCAGGGTTCTTTTGGATGACCACACACTATGCTGTACGAGCCTTACCAATCGGTATGGAGGGCAACACAAGGGAGCCAATGGAGTTCTATCCACCTTTGACAGTAGCTTTCGGGGAAACGTAACGATCCGTCGCCCCATCCAGCAGGCCCTTCTAGGCGCTGCAGGTGAGGACGAATCCAGGCACCGAGACGATGTGTTTGCCCTGCATGCTTATCGGCAAGACTCCAGAGAGCTTTAAATACGGCACATGGTCCTTTGGGCTAATCGTGCGTTGATCGTTTCCGTTAGAGCTAGACGGCCTCCAAACTGGCGCCTTTTGCAAATCTCCTGACGATCCACTTTGATCGATATTTGCCCAGTCCGCGATCACCGATTGCGGTACCACAAAAGACTATGCCATGGCGGAGCCCGTGGGTTCGACGGCGAACGTGGTGAATATCAATCCTGTCATCGATGTTGAAGAAGATGAGGGTGTGGGTGATGTGTGAGTCCTCAACGATATACGCAACCCGTCGGTGTCCTCACGCTCTGCTTTGTGCGATCCTTCCACATCCGATCCCCAACTTCTCCTTCGGTCAGATCATTAATTATGATCATTCCCTGAAACAGGGAGAACGTATCTACTACATCATTGCGATCTAGCTTGCTGAAGCCTGTGTACGCTCATGGCAGGGAGTATCAAGGTTACAAAGATGGAGGTAAGGATTCCTTTCAAAGCGTATTAGAGCAAAGTCGTTCACCTAATGCTAGAGTATCACCGCCCGAACGATGAGGTGAGATCTAACCCGGCCGGATGTGGAGTGTATGGGGGATTCAGTCGCATAGGAAGAGCTCGATCGACTGGATTTGATGAATGAAATATTCTCCCTCATCAACAATCGGAAGCTGCACCGCGCTCCGATTGGCGACGGTGCGCACAGAATTCTCGACATTGGTGCCGGGACAGGATCCTGGTCCATCGCCATGGGTGACAGGTATCCCCAGGCTGAAATTATCGGTATTGATATCAGCGCTTCCGCCCCAATATGGATTCCTCCGAACACGAGATTCGAAATTGCCGATATAGAGGACGAGTGGACCTTCAGTGCGCCTTTCGATTTCATCTACTGCAGATACATGGCAGGAGCCATTAAAGATTGGCCTCGGCTAATCCAACGAAGCTTCGAGTATGCATCTCAATTCACGCGCGGATGGCTGGCCTCACCTTTGCTGCAGGAACCTTAAACCAGGAGCATGGGCCGAGTTCGCAGATCTTGACATTGAGTATTACAGCCAAGACGGCACTCTGACAGAAGACCATGCTATTGTGCGTTGGATCGAAATTGCCACTCGAGGCATGGAAGATTTTGGCAGGACCTTAAGACCGGGGAAAAAGTTGGAGGGCTGGATGAGGGATGCAGGTTTTGTCAATTTGCAGGTCAGCACATTACCAGGAAACCATTATTCATTTCTCACTGCCGACGTTGATTCGACCAGGTCGTCCGTGATCCGATACCAGTCGGGCCTTGGCCCAAGGACAAGAAGTTGGTGAGTCAGTCTACGCATCTTTGAGAACTGGCTTACCTCGGCACAGAAACGAATCGGACTTCTCAACTTTATACAGCTTCACGAAGGCTTAACTGGCCTCAACGTGAGGCTCTTCTGCGACTTTCTTGGATGGAGGAGAGAAGTCCTTGACATTCTTCTGATGGAAGTTAGAAATGACTTCCAGAATCCGGCTATCCACAGCATATACGACATGTAGGCTGAGCCATAGAGAGTTAGAGGGCAAGAATCATACTGATGCTGAAAGGTATACTGTTTGGGGACAGAAGTCGGAAGTTTGAAAGGAGAAAACCGCAAGCAGAATTCAGTTCAGATGCGTTCTGGAGTACGTCAATGTCGTGATGAAAGCGGCCTGACGTACCCCGTCTCAACGTCATAACCTGAAGCATCAAGCATATAGAGCCCCTAATTGGTGCAACGGCGAGGAAGTCGGGCTTTGTCAAGGAGTTCACCATAGGAACATAGGTTGCGGAACTGGGAGCTTCCGAATAAACGAGAGCCCAACCACGAGCTACAAGGGGATCAGTAGTAGGCCATAATCGGAGGCTCAAGGGCCCCTGAGCCACCAACGCCTGTTAGGCAAGTTTTTGGTTCTTTGAATACCAGGGACACCTCTGATCGGGCTTGAACGTAACATCCTGTTATCTTCTGATATCCAAATTTTCAACTGCTTCAGGACTTTCATCTTTACCCTATGTGGGAGACCATATGGCATAAAGCGGTGAGTCCGACAGAAGCTCATGCAGAGTAATGGTGCTGGTATTGAGGAGTCCACCTCATATGGTTCAACGCAAAGCGAGGCAGATAGACCGGCCACAAGCGACCAAAACAACGGCGGATACATGATGGAAAGAAGAGAATCACCAGACGGTACGGGATACAAGGGCTCGGAAAATTGAGTGGCCAGGCTGAACAGCGGGATTTGTCCGGGGGGGAGGGTGAAATGGATGTGAAGCTGCTCATTTTCATGGAGAACACTTCTCAATGACTTCTTCGCGGAGTATCTGAAGAAACGAAAGACGATATTGGGAAGGGAGCGGAAGCGGGACCACAAAGTGCAGGTGTACAAGAGCGACTCATTTGAGCGGAGACGCAATTTATACCGTGGACCATTCGTTCGATTCCTCCATGTCATTTCGCGCAGCCTTGACCTTATGAAAGGATCACAGAGGACATCCAAATGAAAATAAATGTCACCGACTTCATGAAGAAAGTGTACGATGTGCTTCAAAGACCCCTTATGCTGCTAACTCAGAGATTGTGGTGGTCACAATTACCGGGTACAATTCACCAAACAGGTTGAATGGAGTGACAATTGAATACTGCAACACCCTCTATTCATGCCCAATTCGGTTTTATTGAGCCCTGGTTTTGTCTTGCTATTGATCTTGCCGGTGCAAATTCAATGTGAACTTTCCTAGGATCTGGGATGGACCTTCAAACATCATTCAACGAGGCAAGGCTTCATCCTTCAAGTTCATTGCGCGAAGTCAACCGCTACGTTGATCCAAGTCCCCCATGAAAAATGAGCTCCCAGGCAGATCCTAGCAATATGGACCACCACAGCGTGGTGTTTGAAGATGATACAAGTGACTCTGACGACTCCGAATCATCCACCTCTTCTTCCGAGACCGACGAGCCAGTCGATCCACAAACCGAACTTTGTGAAGATTTAGAATCTCAACTCCTTGGTCTCACCCTCGAAGCCCAAACTGTCATTACAGGGCAACCAAGAGCCACTCAGTTGCAACTCATAGCCGACACGAGAAATCTGTTCAGGGACTACATGTCATATGGTTCCATGGCGCGTCTCACAGTTGGAATCGAGAAGTTCTTCCGTCTCGGCGACCAGGGGGGAAAACTAATCTTCGAAGACTCGAAAGAGGAAATTGTTTTGCAAGGACGGATGTCAGATAGGAGAATCCCAGCTCATTACGGCTCAATGTGGATGGTCAACTACACTGCAGATGATGATAAATGCGACTGTGTCGACAAAATTGACTCCGATGCTGGAATTGTCAATGGATCACTTCAACCCAACCCCCAGTCCATCTTTCGTCCATTACGCATCATCGATCCGGATTCGATCTCTTATGTCACGACTCTTCCCTGGGATCCTCTGGCAACGATTTTCGCATGGCCAGGAAATCTCATGTGGCCTCGAGGACTCCTCGGGACACTCAATCAAATCCTCAGCATTGAAGACTACGAATGTCGCGTCCGACTTTTTCATTATGTCACCAAGTATGGTCCTTCCCCAGTCTTCCGACTAGGAATTGCGCAACAAGTTCAGAACAGGTACGGCTCCATTCTCGAGACTGGTGGCCAAAATTACCTCGGTCTCACACAAGAAACACGATCTTTTCTACGTTCTGTGTTCGAATCAAAGCCGACGTTGAACATTCCGGAAACAAGGCTATTAGCTCGAGCTTGTGGAGTCGATGAAGACTCGCTCGATATGTTCTGGGAAGATCTTCAAGATGAGACGATGGGATGCATGGCGATGAAAGCCTTTATCGCGGCCAGGGAGGCCGAGAAAGCAAAGGAGGCGGAGAACGTTGAAATGGAGAAGAAAAAAGGCTGTGCACCGAAGAGTTGAGGAGAACGTGTCGACTGGCCAGGAGATCAATGTCGCTGTTCAGTATTTCAGGACCGGTGGTCAACTAATGATGCACATGTGCAAATTGTTATCGGTCAATCTGCTTCGGGCCTTGTTGAATGCCAGCTCACACTAGAAGAGCGCGTTAGAAATATCGGGCATGGCAGGCTTGCATGGGTCGAATCAACGAACACGACTGATGGCCTTGATGCCAGTTAGCTAGAGGAATGCTGATATACTTTCCCAATACCTGACTCGTTCGAGGCTGATTATCTTGGTATTTATGGCATACCAGCGAGAACTTGTAGGTCCATGTTAGTTGCCAATCTCATCCTAAACGTCATGCAAGCAATATCCGGTTGCCCTTCCTTCAGCTGTCCGTCTTTGTTTGCTACTATCCAACATCCTCCCAAATTCACGGGCAATGAATTATCTTCTAATATTCAAATGATCCCTCGTTCCGATTTCATAATCCCTGCAGTGCCACCAACGCGTATTCTCCCTTGAACAGTCTACAACAAAGCGACAGCGCCAGCAACACCAAGAGCAGCAGCCATGATGTCCTGTCCGGCCTTTGCATTGAACGCGGCACCAGTGAACGTAGCCAGATGGGAATCCGTTCCGCTCGTGGTCGTCATCATGGTGGTGGTGGTGTAAGTTGTGGCTATCATGCCAGACTGATAGTGTGTGTCGGGAGTGGTGGAGACAGACGTCCTCATGCATGCGCTCATGCTCCCGTCAGCTGGAACACTGGTCATCGAGGTCAATGTTCCTGGCACAGTGGTGGTCGTGGCACCGTACGAGTTGTTCGTAGGGCCTACAGGCGCTGGGCTGGATTCTGGAGTGGAGCTAGTAGATGGCAGGGCGGCACCGAGAGATGGACCACAGATTGCTTGTCCGAATGCGATGGCGGCTGTAGGATATTAGCTTTGTCCGTCCACATCTAAGCAGGAAAGTGAGAAAGGAAGTCAAACGTGGCATTGTCAGGAGACGACTCCGGAATTGACTCCGCCTCAGGAAGCCTGGGAGTCGGAGCCGGGAGACGTGGAACCGTCTTCTGACCACGCCGGTCAAACGCACCTTGAACATCAGAGGCAGAGCATGATTGTACGATGGTGTTGGTGATTGCCTTGATGAAAGCCGCGGAGCCGCAGATGCAGGCTATGTCGGTCAAGGGGCATCCAGAAGAGTTCAAAGAAGCGGCCGTGATATCTTGCTTTGGAGATATGTTAGACAAGAGCTGATCTTCTTTGCCTAGCTTGATCGAGCACTCACCGCACAAACTGGAAAACCACTTAGTCCTCCGGCATCCACTTGAAGCCTGGCAAGAGCGAGAGTCGAGAGGAGAAAAGACAGCGCGAAACCTTTGTGATGCATTTTTGAAAATCTGATGGAGGAAGTAGTGAAAGAATGCTACCGAGTGTCTTTAGGAAATGATGAGTACCCAATCCTTCAAAACTGCGAGGGAGGTTCGACTTGAGCGGCATAAAGAAAATTCATATCAGCAAACAAAAGGAAAGGGAATGCAAGCACAAAGAATGAATATATGGCATAGATAGTCATCAAAATAACATCGCTTATAAACATCTCTATGGGAAACCGTGCTCTGCAATGCTGGTGAGATGGAATGTGGGTCTGGACAGCACCCTAGGATTCATCAAAGCATGGAATGCATGGATCGACGCCACAATCAGTGATTGATCTCCACACGTTGTGTATATTCGAGGCCCGTCGAGTCTCTCTCAAGGGAGAGGAAAGCTAATATTCTTGAATCATCGCAATGGTGTCATCCAGACGTAAGGACAGAGGGAGGAAAAGATGTGTATAGGACGGCCTCATGCATGATTTGACAGTTTCTGCGCCGACTTTCAGTGGAGAGTTCAGGTCTCACTTCGAATTTCGAAGGAACGGAGGTAGAAATCTGGACATGAATAAGAATGGAGATGGCATAGTCATTCCCGAAACCGCCCTCCCCCTGGGGCACACATTGCGACTTTCGCCCACGGAAAGCTAATCCTATCAGTGGATATGCCTATACTTAATTGGTAATAGTTTATTTATTAATGTTTGCATGACCAAGTAGCAGCTCTGTCTCACGGTATTATCATACCACGTGAACACTGGAAAGCCCAGGCGGAAATGAAACATACAGCACCGGTTTGGCAGAGTTATGGTCTGTATTGACGAAAGTTGAAGTAGCTGTCTTTGAAGCATCGGGCATCTCGGCTGCGGTACCGCTTGGGATCACATTCAAACCAACTGGTCTATCGGCCGTCAAATTACGTTAGCAGATATAATGGTGGACCCTATGTGCGTGGGAGTCCTCACAGGATCTCTGGACTATAATTGAGACTCGCGCTAGCGTCAGTATGCAAAAACACAATCTCAAAAGGTTCAAGCGCCCAATATTCTACATACTAAATATAATGCTCTTAGTTCTGACGTCCAATTTGTGAAGCCTGGTATGCAGGTTCCAAAGAACCCGCCCACGGAGGTAAGAAACCATCTCCAATTATTGTAGGAGGACATCTTGGCGAATTATGCATTTCAATACCCGGCTCGGAGGAGATGCTAACCAAAGTTGGCTGAGCATTGAAGCGTACACGGTCGACTGTACTAGTTCCAAGATTGTGGCCGGAAGGATCTAACTCAATGTGATTAACGGGCGCTATCCAAGATGTCGTGTTGTGGGATGGGTGAGCGCTCAGAAAAATAGTACTTTGTGACGGGCCACGAGTTGGCTCAAAGGTAGAGGTAGGAACATGGAGCTGTGAGTTGAGTTCGAGGTATGTTTCGGACGCTCTTCTGGATAGTTCATCTTTCGAGACCGTCTCAATTCTCCCTTCTAGCGTCGTACAAGGGAGAGGGTCTAATTGTGGCAAAGTAGCATCACTTGACATGTGGGGCTGCTGTCCCTTCATTGCCAGTCGTGGTAGCAATATAGGCGACGTTTTGCCACGCTCCGGGTCATTTGGAGATGGAAGCGGTACCGTTGTTTCAGTGAGCTGTGTATGTAGAGAATCCACACCGGTAGGAGAAGTGAGGGTACGTTTAGCCATGTTTGAGGATTCCTCCGGGTTCAACCCGTTCATCTCAGATCCGATGAGGCCCAAGGCTTCGAGGATATCGTTGGTGGTAACAGTGCTCTTTTCCAGGTCAGGAGGACGACCAGGAAAGTCTTCTTTGCGGCGACAAGCCCAATATAATTGTTGCAAGGTTTTGTCAATTGCCTCACGCATCTGAGAATACTTGATTTGAGACGTTAGAACAGGAGAGACGTAATCTACATCCGCCATCGACCCACTGTCGTTTCACATCTCGCTCCCTTCTCGTGGCGTATGTGCAAGGGCTGTCCGCGTCGATACATGTTTTGCATTGTACCTTTGCCATCGCACTTCTCTTCGTCAGGTTTGACATTCATAGTCCAAGGGGAAAGGCACCGAACCTTCGATTTCTTTAGCTTACAACGATCGCAAGCGTAGGATGTTCGCTTTTTGCTCCCACCAAGATCCCTCCTCACGTTTCCCGGCCTTGAAGCCGTCATCGTATCTACTAGGGTAGTATTGTACGAAATAATAAGTGGTTGGAATCCGGCTCCGTTCGAGCTGTTCATCAGGTCACGCAGCTTTGACGTCATGACGGGGTAGATTACGGAGAAATGGCCGCCGAAACCGGCTGCCCTGGGCGCCGCTTTTGGCCTACGCCCCAGTCGTAGTTGAAGTCCTGCGTTTTTCCACCGTAATGTCAATTACTTTTCTTTACGTTTAATGCTCCCGCGGCCTCCTATAACACTCTCTTCGTGGTCATCAAGGGGAGTCTCCTCTCTTTATAATGTCTCCTAGTCCTCTAATTACCTACGCTTAGCGACGACGCTCGAGCTCGGCTGTCCAGCATGACGATCACGCGTAACGCGAACCATAACACAAGAAAAGATACCCGGCCGAAAAAATTCGTTTGCCGCGGTCGTTAGTTTATTGGACTCCCAGGATAGCCCTTATCGGCCGGACTACGAAGATAGTACGCGTTGGCTTTGAGTGCTTGTGGCAATCATGTAGAACGATGAGCGCTTAGCATGTTGCCTTATTGGCTTGAAGAGCGCGGCTGGAGAGAACTTGGTGAATGTGTGCAATAAGGAGACCGTCTAGATAGCCTCGACTTTGTGCAGGAGAACAACCATGGTTCCGCCAATTTTGACGTGCTCAAGGCCAACAGCAAGCTGGGTGAGTACTAGTCTGCGGGCTTCTCGGGCGTTTCTGCATTCAGCTCGATCGTGAGTCCGGAGGACTTAACCGTCGCATAACGCAAGATCGAAGAGCTGTCCAGAGCCCAACTGTTGTGGTAGCAGGTTTCTATTGAGTCCGGCCCTATGCATGCAAGACAGACGTGGCCAGGATAAGCATATGTGAAGAGAAGCCGATCATCATCGAAGTTCCACGCCAACGTCGAGATGGTTATCGCAGTATTGATAAATTTCACACTCGCTCATGACGCATGCCGAAGACATAATGTGGGTCGCGTATTTCAACACTACGCAGCACCTACAGCAGCTACCCTGAGAAGCTTTTCTCGCTTCATACACAACGCCGCCAGAAGCATGACGGCTCCTGCCACAGGAATGAGCACGAACACTTTCTGCATCGCCTTGACGAGAGCCAAGACGACCTCCTCGCGCAAAGTTCCATGCACTTGCTCCAGCACCTTACTCTGGATGCCCGTGACGGCGCTCTCGATATCTTGCTCCGAAAAGTCCTGGCCTGATAGTACAGATCGCAAGTTTCTCTTTGCCGTCGACTGGAAGATCTGGCCTGCAATCGCGAGTGCGATTACCTGACCTCCGAGTTGCGAAACGTTCTGCATGCTCAGCGCATCCCCAGCGTACTCCGGTTTCGTGGTAAGCGATGCGATCGAATAGCCGGTCAACATGGCCAGGCCACTACCAACGGCTGTAACCACACACAAACCATAAAGGGTTCCGGTTGACGTTTGCGGATCCAGATAAACGGTCAGGAGGGCGCCGCCGACCGTCAAGAAGATGCCGCTAATGATGTAGACCAGCATGTACACCTTGATGGCGTTGAGAAAGTATCCAGATGCCAGGTTCACCGAAATGGCGACGATAACAAAAGGGAGCAAGCGCACAGCTGCATTTAGGGCACTGTCGCCGTTCGTGAACTGGAAATAAACGGGTATGAAAAACATTGCAACATAGAGTGTCGTGATACCGGCTGCGGTCTCGATATAGAGGAGAACTTGGGTGCGTTCGCGCAGCAAATGCACCGGAAATGCACGGCGAGCTTTGGTGGTGAAGAGAGCAAAGCGCTGCTGAAGGACATATGCGACCAAGGTGACTCCAAAAACCACAAATGTGGCCACGGTACTTCCGTCATTCCATTCCCACTGGCCACCAGCCATCGACAGCGCCAAGAGAAAGGTTACCCAGACGCCAGCACCAAGGATGAAGCCAACAAAGTCAAGAGAGATGATCCGTTCCCGCACACTAACGCTTCTGGAAGGATGAATCGAGGGAAGGCAGAAGACGTATGCGGGAGCCGAAACGGCAAAGATGACAAGATTGATGTAGAATGCCCAGCGCCAGGTGGCTGAGGATGTTGCAAATGCTCCGCCAACGACAGGACCGAGGATGGCACCGACGCCCCAGCAGCTTCCAATAAGCGCCATGTACAAGCTGCGTTCCTCTGACACCGTCATGGCCAAGAAGTAATTCAAGGTGCCAAGGTAGATGCCGCTACCTCCCATTCCGGCGACAACGCGGCCGACGATCAAGGTATTCATGGTTGGAGCGGCCCCACAAAGAGCCGAGCCGATCTCGAAAAGGACCATGGTGATGAAAAAGACCCATTTGATATTGAAAGTGTTGTAAAGAGTTCCAAAAGGGAGGATGACGCACACCGAACCGAGAGGAAATCCCGCTCCAACCCACGCCAGTTGTTGAGCGTGACCGAACCGTTCAATGACGGAGCCCTGTACATCTGCCGCGATAGTGGTGTCGAGACCATAGAGAATGCAGCTGACGTATAGAGCGACGCAGACGATCAGCCAGCGAATACCGCGGATCTGCCGACCCTCGGCCTTCAGCTGGCGGTCAGTGTTATATTCGTTGGCAGGGTCATCCGTGGCCTTTACCCTGTCGTCGCCAAGATTCTTCTTCTCAGGTTCGGCTAATGGATCAGCACCAGGGCGCTCTGGCTGCTGGGACGGAACGGTACTCTGAAAAGACATGGTTTTTGCGGACGGTGAGCGCAGATAGACATCAGGTTAGATGGAATGGCATACGACCTCGACATCTTTATACCACGACGAATACCTCCGACCCGGACCTTACAAATGGGTATGTTGTGATCCGATGCATAAACCTGATTGGGGCGTTAGTGGTATTCTACATCAGAACATGTGGATCCCATAGAAGTCAAAGGTTGGCTGGAGTATAGTCAGACTTGATGCCAAGGCCACGTAGAATGGTAAAGGACCTGTAGATTGTCTCTCCGGCTCGCCTCCGCGGAGGCTTCACGACTAGCACCAGAGCGATTGTCGGACCTGATGAGTTTGATTTAGCCCGTCAAGCTAGTGGGTCGTCCGACCTCAAATTTGTCATCGAGCGATGAAGCCCTGGCTCCACGGAGGCTCCAAAACGCCGTTGGCTCAGTCGACGAGTTTGAGGGCAATACAGTCTGCGGTACAATGAATGAGAGGCTTGTACTCATCTTCGTGAAGCTCGATCCACATCATAAAAACAACGATGGAAGATTCAAAGACGACCAGGAAGGTACAATCGCGATTCCTACGTCGTCGCGAAAGAGATCGGTTACTAACGCCGAAAAGTCCTGCGACTTGTGTTACCGGCGCAGGATGAGGTGCGATGGACGAAAGACTCGCTGTTCACACTGCATTATGTACGAGATAGATTGTACCTATGCAGCACCCAGCCGCACGCCTGCACCAAAGCGACGACGGAAGCATGCAAAGGCCGAAGATGGTAGCAGCAATACGCAAGACCGTTTGGTACGACTCGAAATGCTGGTCCAGCAGGTGGTCGAGCGTTTAGACGTCGCTGAAAGGGACAATGAAGCTCAGGTTCCACTCTTACACCAGGAGACGACAGCAGTCACCACGGCGGCGCCATCAACGATCTCCAGCAGCGAACACGAGGAGTCTTCCCCGGGATCGATGGCCTTGCCTCCTCTGCAACAGGTCCTGTCTGTCATACAAGTGTACCTCCGCGGCTTCAACTCAGTATTACCGCTGTTTCATGCCGAGACTCTCCTGCAGTTGGTCCACGATTATTACAATCTTAGACCCCGACACCGAGATTCAGTAGTGTGGGCTGCCATAAATGTTGTGCTGGCTCTCGCACAGCGACACAATCATACGGCTGGTCATGATCTTCCATCTGCAGCTGCATGTCTTAGCAGAGCAGAATCGGTGCTGTCGAGAGTGGCCCTAGGTGATATCCACCTGCTCAACATCCAGGTCTTGGTGGGCATGGTTGATGCTGCTTCAAGCCTCGCAGGACATTCAGCCCGCGCTGATCTTGATTGCCACAACAATACGTCTCGCACACGCAATCGGCCTGCACGATTGCATTCACTCGGCGCATCTGGATCCCATTCATGCGAAACAGCGCGCTTACGTATTTTGGTTGGCGTATATCCTCGACAAAGACCTCAGTATGCGCTCAAAACAGCCATCGATTCAGGTTGATGATGATGTCAACCTTGACTTACCTTGGCCAATAGAGGTCCAACATGACGAGGAAAGGAGTGGAATCAACAGAACCGACGACACTGCCGGTTGTATCATCACCACCGACGGAATCAGCAAAATGAACTACCTCGTGGCTCGCATCCAGTTGGCTGCTATCGAGGGCGGTGTATACGATTATGTATATTCAACCCGATCTCGGAAACGCAGTGCAGAAGAGCGTTCCCGAGCACGGCAAAGCGTAGCTCACGCTCTTGAGATGTGGAAGGCGTCTATACCCTCCGAGTTCGATATCACCACCGACTGGAGAAGAGTGCCTCCTGATATGCTATAGTTTCTTGGAGAGTTAAAAGCCAAGAGCCTAGCCTGCACTACCCTTCTGAACCAAGCCAATGCCTAGGACGTGGACTGGGTTGCTAGTATACGCAGGTATGGTAGACAAGGCATTGAACCACTACTCCCACAAAAGTGGGATGTGTTGGTGGGTGAGGCGCGCAATCTGCTGGTCTTATATGGGGCAATAGGGGAAACAGATCGCGATGCCTACCATTCCCGTGCACCGCCTCATTTGTATGCTCCGTATTGGTTGCTGTTTCACGGAGCTGACCAGCAATGATACTATGATAGGACAACAGGGTGTTCCTACATGACAGCGATGATGATTTTAACAGCGAATAGCATGCACGACCCGAAACACAACGACCTGTTCTCGGACAGCTACCTCGTCGAAAATGGGTTACAAATAGTTGACAAGATGGCGAAGGAGACCGGAAATGACATGCTACACTCCTTCCAGGCCACTTGTACTGAACTGCATAAGCATATGCAACGGCGAACATTCTTCGTATTTGATTCTTCGTATTTGATATAGACATATAGCAGCAATGTGAGGGAACAGTCTTTTTCATAACTGCCAAAGTATAAACACAAAAGCCGTGCATGGGGGCTAGATCAGTTGACGACGAAAGATGTTTCGTATGAGACGAGAATTTGGTGAAACTTCCACGAGTTTAAGCAATATGTCCATCCCCCTTTCACCCGAAAGGATTTGTATGGTACTATAACTGAGCCAGTCAAGAGCCACGGACACTCTTCGACTGCCGTCTGCTCTAAGTGAACCGTGCATCTGATGAATTGTTCTAGTGCTTGTACGAGGTACTATTACTAAGTATTTCCACTACAGAATTCTCGGTAAGATTGTCGTCTTCCGCGGAGTCACCACATCGTGCATTTATCAGCTTCCGCGTCAAATAGGATTTGAAATGATTCTGCTACGCGTGTGAGATATTTGGGCATGGTATATTTGCATGTGTATATAAGGAGCCTCGACCAATGCCATGTCAGATATGCTCACTCCCTCAGGACGACATCAAAAGGCTTCAACTACTCGATCACACTAGAGATCTCACTTCCTTTTGTCCGTCACACGATCAGCTACGAAAGACTAGTGAAAATCCCTTATCTAGTCATTCCAAGTGTGCCAAAACGAAGATGGTTGGCTATAGCGGGCCTTACGAAGGGAATGGGATGTTCAAGTCCTTTACCAAGACTTGGCACATTAAGCCTTACCCTTCAATCTCGCCATCCCGCCCCGAACTCAGTGCTGCCGGAAAAGTTGTCTTCATCACGGGTGGTGGTACCGGCATTGGCAAGGCCACCGCAATTGCCTATGCACAGGCCGGTGCCAAAGTTATCGCCATTTTCGGACGTCGCGTTGAGAAGCTGCAATCAGCTGCTGTCGAAATCAGCAAGGCGAACCTCAAGGGAACCACTACTGTGGTCATCAAGAGTGCTGATATCAGCCAGCGTCTGGCTTTGGAGGACGCCTTCAAGAGCGCTAGCAACGAGGCTGGTGAGGCCAAGGTTGACGTTCTTGTCAACAATGCTGGTCTCCTCAAGCCGCTAGCTCCTCTTACCACTTGCAGCGAGCAGGATTTGCGCGACATGATCGAGGGCAACTTTATCGGTTCGTTCAACGTAGTCCAGGCAATGATGCCTCTGCTGGCGCCCAAAGCAAAAATCTTGAATATCAACTCGGGCATTGCACATATCAGTGAAATTCCCGGACACTGGGCTTACGCATCACTCAAGCTAGCCCTCACCAAGATGTTCGACTACCTTCAGGCTGAAAATATGGACCTCACCGTTTTCAACGTCCAGCCTGGCGTAGTTACAACAGACATCAACATGATTTCTGGTTTCCCAGGGCAGGATGACGGTAAGCTAATCCCCCTTTACGTTCCAAGTATCTCTGTCTCAGTGGAATTTGTACCTCTCTTTTCTATCTGCGTATTGCGATAGCTGATCAAGATATTAGTCGCCCTTCCGGGACAGTTCCATCTTTGGCTTGCATCTCCTGAAGCCGAATTTTTGAAGGGAAAGTATGTCTGGGTCAATTGGGATGTGGACGAACTCAAAGCTCACGCTGAAGAGATCAGAGAGTCGAAGATCCTGAAGATAATTTTAGGTGGGGTGCCAATGTAGGGTTAAGATGAAGAAGAGGCCGATGTATTGATGCGAACTCTGACAGCCTTACGCTCATGGTGCTGCATGCCAAATTCAGCAGTTGGCACCAACAGTTTTCTTAACTCTCGAAACAGAGACTTTGTGACATCGACCTCCTCTATCGAGATTAGCCCTGGCTGTGCTTGGCAGCGTCATCTTGGATGCGACGAGTGGCAGATCCAGTGCGGTACCGCGTATAGTCGAGATATAGGCCTCGTAAAAAGCGGCGGGAGATTTACGCAGCCGGGCTGCCCGATTGGGGGCGGCTTGCCGGAGCGGGTTTAGGCCGCCATTTCTGAGAATGAGGTACCGTGAGGGAGACTTCCGGACAGTCCTAAGTTGGTTTAAAAATACGCTATTATTAATTAGGCGTAGTTTGATTCGCTTATAGCGCTAGCGTCCCTTGGGAGAGAGTTGCAGTGTGTTTACGGCGGTTTCGGGAACGACTGTAAGGCGGATGAGATGACTGAATTGAACATGCAGGGGAAGGACGAGGCTGCAGCTGCGATATCGGCTTATCAGATCTTGGCATCATATCTAATCAGATAATCAACTCACTCTTTCCCCTGTGATCAATCAACCTCGATCTCACAACGCCGGCATCCTCCCCTCGTGCAACGACAACTGTCCAGGCCATGGACCAAGTCCTGCCCTCAGGATTCCCCGAAGTCCTTCGTCTCTCACTCAAATCCTCCACCAGTCTCCTAAGTGCCCTCGAAGAACCTCCTCATCCACCGGACTCCGATCATATTCGAAAGATCATCGCCGCAGTTCTCTGGCATCGGAAGTTTGTCTTGACTTACTATATTGTGATTGCCACTGTAGTTGCCTCTTCATGCAGCCATGGCACTTATAGAAGGACTACACGGTGGCAAAAGAGGAGGCGAATCAACATCGCAAAGATCGATTCTACGACACCCGAGACTACCCCTTCTTCATCGAGTAGTACATTACGTGGGACAACAACACCTCCGCAGAAAGATGACGGCCTCGGACAGGGAGAAACCACATTTCTGCTTGTTCAGAACGAACTCCCCTCTCTCCAGCGACCCAGTTTGCTCAACCGACTGAGAGCTTTTCTGATGTACCAGCCTCGGCCGATCCCGGCATGGACCTCTTCTTCGAACGTTTTGCCGAACAATGGTACCAGTCTGTTGACACTCTTCTTTCTTGCCGTCAACCTGTTTTATCTTCTCTACCGCGTCCCCTTGTCAATGACATGGATATTCATCCTTGCCGACCGAGCGGGTCTCCTCTTCGTCGTCAATCTGCCGGTCCTCTATCTCCTCGCCGCCAAAACGAGCCAGCCCATCAAGCTGCTAACAGGATGGTCTTACGAAGGCCTCAATCTGTTCCATCGACGATTAGGCGAGTGGATGACAGTCTTCGCGGTCATTCACATGCTGGGCATGCTAGCTGTCTGGTACACAATCTTCCGACCTCTTGATTTCAGCCTCATCCGATACATCACCTCCCAGGTCGTGTTTCTGGGCATCGTCGCCGTTCTTTCCTACTATATCATATACATAACAAGCATCGGCTGGTTCCGACAGCGCCATTACGAGACGTTTCTCGGTTTACACATATCCTTTCAAGCGGCAGCTCTGGCGTTTCTATTTTTCCACTATCCTACCGCCAAACCTTATGTCATGGCCACATTTGCCATTTGGGCAATTGATAGACTTTTATGGCGGATTACACTGTCGAGTCGAAGATTCATCGCAACCTTGGAAGTGGCTCCGGATGGGCACACGGTATTGATACACTGCACCGTAGACTTACAGCGAAAGAGGTTCGGCATTCGATCACACCTTCGTCACGGATGGCTCCCTGGACAGCATGTGTTCCTCACCATTCCTTCCATGGGCTTCAAATATCGCTTTCAAGCACATCCCTTCACTATCGCATCGCCAGCTCCCCCCAAGAGCACAACATTGAGATCTTGGCCGCTTCAACTGGTCATCCGATCCATTAATGGCTTCTCATTAGACCTGCTTAAGTATGCCCGCCACCACCAACACTGCGACGTCATCCTCGATGGGCCTCACGGTGGCATTGAAGCACTTGAGGCTGCTCACCATGCCGATCGCGTCTGCTTTGTGGCAGGCGGAAGTGGCATCGCGGTGACCTATCCACTTTCTTGGGATATCCGGGTCAAGCAGCACATGCAGGCAGACGCCATCGTGAGCGCGAGAGCCGTATATCAAGACAGATTAAAGTCCGTCCCTTCAATTGTGGACTGCAGCTCCTTGGTCAATGCGGCAAAATACTCCCACTTCTGGATACGCCAGGACCTGCGACATGGAAAGTGGGTCTCGATGCATCCGCGGGCCATAGCTGTTGAGCACGACACTCGTGACGACTTGTTCCTGGTCGACGGCGCAGGAGCCCATGGTCAGGAAGAAGTCGCGTGCCTCGTTACGCAGACCTTCGACACGAGAAGCCCTGGTCCAAGCGGAGGACGTCCGGACATGAAGAGTGAGATCTGGAACTGGGTGACATCCGTTCCGACTGCGCGGTCTACATCGTCCACGGCGCTCGGCGGCCGATCTGTTGATTCGGACACTGGTTCAATTTCGACAGGCCAGGGCATGACATTGCCCGCCTCACTGCTGAAAGATTCCACGAACCAAACGGGTCAAAAAGACAAGATCTGCATCATTGTCTCTGGTCCCGACGGCCTTGTCCGAGATGTCAGGAATGTGGCGGCAGAGCTCGTCCAGCAAGGTTGGGACTTGGAAGTCTGGGTAGAAAAGTTCGGGTGGTGAGGACCTAGAAACCATATACATGCGTGTGCTGTACATGACGTCCAAGCTGATCTTCATCAATCACCATTTTCCTGAAGATCAGGCTGTTTTAACAGAATACAGGTCGGAATATCGACGGATGTTGCTAGTATTGGGTCGACCTACTACTACACAAGAAGACCGAAAGAGGCATGGCAAGAATAGAATCATCTGAAGAATCTCATAGAAGCTTCTTAATTTCCTTGTGTTCTTCCATGTACGCCGCGTGAGGCTACAGCAGAGCCGCTTTCGTGCCAGTTCATGAAATAGCTTCCAGCCAATAGGAGCGTGCCACTTATGCATCCAGCGAGTCGCCTTGTGAGGCTGAGAATCAATCCACAACCAGGCTCCGACGAGACCACCGTTTTGACAATTACGCCCTCTTTCAATGACATGCACATTGCCAGGACCTGCCTGTCGTATCTTTCGTTGGGAATGTTCGAGAGAGCGGATACAAGAACAGTGAGCTGAAAATTCGCCAGTGACTCCAAGGCTACCCTCTGCTGTCCGATGAAGACAGAAGGGGGTTCGTTTCTCCTGGCAAGTTTAAAAATACCTCCTCTCGACCTATCTATGTAAACCTCCAGTCGACACACTAAGCTCCCGGAGAAAAACAGGCTTAGGTATCATATAGAACCGTCAGTTCCATCGATTCCTCATTGAATCACGTCTGCCCCTCGATTCCTTGACATTCCTTGGAAGCATTGTTCCTATTACTCGAGTTTTCTTGTACTGGCGCTGGAAGTTGAAGTTTCGTTCTTCGAAGATACGACACTCCTTGAGCCGCTCGGTGGTCGTCGGGTATGAGGCGGAGAAAAGGAATCTGGGAATCGACAATGATCGTTTATGGATATTGACATCCGAAGCGGGTGGGGTTTTTGGTGTATTCTTTACGAGGACGACCGAGGATGACTTGCAGGCTGTAATCGAGATCGGTTCGGCAAGAAAGGTATACTGGGACAAAGGTCGACCGAACTCGTGCGGGCGGACCCAGAAGACCACGAAAAGGGATTTGGTGAAATTCTATCTCGTTAAGTGCATGATCCACCAAGACCTTGACATTCATAGTAACAAAAGGGCAGCTCCAACGCCACCAGCGAACATGCTGGCAACGGTGATGAAGCTGCTCAAGCTCATGGTCGACATTCCGCTGATGCCGTGCCCACTGGTGCAACCACCAGCGAGCCTGGCGCCAAAGATCATGGCAAATCCACCAGCTAACGCCGTGAGACGGCTAATGGCTGGCCCCGTCTCAGTGATGATGGGGACGTATTGAGAAATCAATTTTGATCCAGCAATGACACCACTCGCGAACACAATGTTGGACAGACCGGGCCCCGAAGTACCTTCGAGGAGGCTCCAGAAATATTTCCCAATATCTTGGTATGCGCCTGAAACGCCGAGAGTTTTGCGAGTGAACAGAACTGAAGTTGCCTGCGCAATGCCGATGAGAAAGCCGCCGATAATAGGATTGAGCCAGTATTCCCTGGTAGGGGCGAGGTAAGAGGCTCCTGCCATCATAAGCAGACAGAGGAGTTCATAGATCAGGATAGTTGAGGTCGTGGAGAGGCCGGTCTTGTCTTGGATCGTGTATTTGCCAGGGCCCGAAGACGTGGTTGATTGAGTTCTCTTGAGCCGTTGTCCAATTTTGGCAAACACGATCCCCGCCAATACCCCCCCGGCGGCCACACTCCACGCGGATTTGATTCCCAAACCCATTTGCACAAGAACGGTTCCGGGACATGCCCCGGTCAAGGTCATGCCGACACCCAGAAGCAAGCCACCAACGATGTTGGCATCATATTTCATAAACCAACCATACGATGAATCAGTCCGATGAGGGAGTTTGGCGTATCCAGATCGATTTGCTCCGGCGATGATGAGAGCGCTGCACGCGCTGGCCGCGAGGAAGGATTTGAGCATGTGGAAATTACTCAATCCCATCTGCGAAACGATCACAGAGGGGGAATAAACCCCAGATGCTGTTAGGGCAGAGCCGAAGATGGCGCCTGAGGCACCACTGAGAAGAAGTGATGACATTTGTTGATGGGTTATCCAACGACGTGGGATTTGATCGTTGAAGATCGGTCGCATGAAAGACGGGATGTACGCTTTCTTTTCTATGGCGATGACGAGCGGCAAAGCTGTGTGAAGCCCGACGAGATCCCGAAGAAGTGGTATGCTCTTGACAAAAAAGAAGGGAGAGCGCATAAGTTAGATCCGCTTAGTCGAGGGAATTTGAGCCAAAGAGGTCGATGGATCCAGTCCCCGAGATCACCGCCTGATCAATGGTGCCCCGGTCAATGGTTCGAACTTTGAAGCTGCTCGGCCACAAAGCGGGTCCGGCGATTGGTCGGATGGATGTCGCCATTTCGTCGATGAGAGGTCGCCAACAAGCATGATTAATAGGACCTATCATCACTCAACGAAGATGACCCCCCGGACACACTTCGTTTCAAGAAGTGCCTCGGCTGGCCCAATTAAGTTGACTGCAAGAACCCGCCTATAGAGTTCGCTTAATGACGCACAGGGACTCTCCGCAATTGCCGGTCAAGGTACGGGTATCACGCATTGTCACGCAATTCTCTTAGAGAGAGGCTCATGTAGTGAGGGCGAGCAAAAAGAAGAGCTTGAAGTTGAAAGAATAAAAGGACCGTCGCTGACAAAAAATCCCGCATGAGGAAACACGGTACCTTGCCTTGGCATCTCACCACTACATATTATCCCTCGATGCCCATCTATGCCTTATCTTTCGGGAGAGCTTAGTGCACGAGGCCATCATCCTGTATCTGCTTGACGTATTTCCAGTAACGGTTCACACTGGCCTTTCGCCACTGACGGCCCCATTTGATAAAGGCGAAAAAGACCGAAGTTTGTGCCAAACAAACAAAGGCGGCCACAAGAAAGGCATTCTGATATCCCATGTTGGTAACCCACGGGGTGATTCTGCGCTCAGCTGTCAGCTGCAGACTCTTGGGCCGAATGAATAGGAGAGATTTGGAAGCCTTACCCATAACTGACGGCGAAACTCATGGTATTTCGGATAATGATCACGGTGACCATGGCATCTCCACTGATATCCTTGTATGAATCGATGCAATAGCTGACAGGCAGCTGGCATCCTATCGTTATGGACGCTCCTAACATTCCCATCGCAAAAACCAGTCCAAACCAGTGAACGCGATGGGCTGCACCTACGCCCCAGATAAGGAGTCCTCCCGGAATGAGAACGAGCAGGACGCAGTAGAGCCAGAGACGGTGTTCTGGCTCCATGATGCCATTGTTTCGTCGAGCTTTCCAGAGAACGAACCAGTCCCCGACCGGACCAGAGAAATACGCCCTGGGGTGGTATATTAGCCGCGGAATTCATTCGATGGCATCTTACTCACCCAAGAAATACACCGACCAAGCATGAGACATACGCCAACCCCACCATACTCGATGAGAAATTATATGGTGGACTGGATAGGATGAGTGATGAAGTTCCGTTGAGCACGTTAAAGTAACAGACGATGGCCCCGTACATGAATCCCGAGAAGAAGATAATGGGAAAGGTCAAGAAGATGAGTGGCCGGAGGATCATCCCCTTCAACTGATTCTTCTTCCGCAGATCTTCCTTGCGGAACAGAGCCATCTTCTGCCAGAAGGACTTCTTGGAGTATGCTTTGAGCTCGCCCTGGTCCACATCCACGGCCGGAGCATCTCGAACCGAAATGGTCTTCTCGGGATCCGAGTTTTCTCGAAGCTTATGAGGCTCCGTCTCCATTGTAGCCGGGTCAGCTTGGATGTCATCGTCGGGTTCGGTGGCTAGCTGAGGTTTGCGGTGGAAATTGGTCTCTTCCATGAAGAAAAACAAGATGACAAACCCGGCCCCATTAAATATTGCACACCAGTACTGAAGGTCGGTCAGTTTTTCAAGACTTTCTTGAGGACAGGGCAGACGAGTATCAACATACAAGCACCCACTCCCAACCTTGACCATCATTAATGAACCCTGAGATGACCGGTGCGAAGAAGTTGCTGCCAGCCAGGAAAAGGGCATACACCCCCACATAGGTGCCTCTTTCATGAGTGAAGTACTACCCCATGGTCAGCCCCCAACCTTGAATTGAGAGATCTTCATCCATGACTGACCACGTCCGAGACTGAAATTTCGCACAGTGATTCGATGGGGGCTCCAATAAAGCCCTGGAGCATTTTGTTGGCAATCCACTGACCATTGCTTTTGGTATATGGGGCCCACAACATGATTGCCTTGGAACACCGAGAATTAGCCATTCCCAAAAGAGTCCAGTCCAGCACGAGCCCACGTATCACACTCACCATTGTGCCCAAAGTGGAGATCAAGTAGACTGGGCGCTTCCCATATTGTTGAGCCAGAGACTGCCAGACCAGACAACCCCATCCAAACATCAGGAACATATATCCCGTCCCAGCGTTGAGGTCACCGACCGTCAGGTTCGTGGCCGCCGAGATAGGTACGATCACCGAATAAATGGCCGCCGACGCAATTCCGACCGTGAGGATATACCTGAAACGCGAAGCACGAACGACGTCAGCATGCCGGCGGAACAGGGTCGAAAGGGATGCTAACGAACGTGCACAAGCAGGTGGTAAAAAGAAGTTTCCGTCGAGGGCTCCAATTCAAGGGATCATCAGGATCATTCGAGGGTGCCGGTACGAGCACAATGTCACGTTTTCCGCCTTCGGCATGACGGGCATGGATTGTGCCATCCAGATCGACAAGGTGGATGGTCCCTGGTATGAAGTCTGGGGAGGGCGTCGAGGCATGCATGTCGACGGTCATAGCGGCTGTCTCCTATGAGTGAAATTCGGGGAAAGGAACGCGGCGAGGACGAATGGTGTCACACCGTGTCGAGTCGAGGCGGCGACGGTCTTTATGCAGTCAGACCCAAACGTCTATGTCGGAGAAGTTTTTGGTTATCTAACGCTGAAATCCACTTCTGTGTCCAATTCCATTAAGTTCTGGAGTTCTCTCCTGAAGGGAGAGGTGCTCCCACGACTAGGCTTTCGGTTCTAGGCCCATTGATAATGAATGCGGTGCTTTCATCCGTGTGTTGACGAGCTCGACCAATGTGTTTCAATTGCGAGACAATGGAGTTGGACGACTTGGGCGATAAGGCCAACCTGCTCAACAGAGGGATCGGTGCAAGAGATGTTGTCTACAATACTTGTGGTAAATCTCATCCCCGTGGAATGCTGCGATATTAACCAATCATAGATAATTGCGAGTGCCGTCTTTTGTCGGGGCCAATCACAGACAATTGCGGGTGGTCCTGAACTTTCTTAAGATAAGCCGGAATGGCCCACAACGGCCCTTGGTATCGACATGCTAGAAGTCTAATAGCACGGGAATATTCCGTAGACGAGGAGTTGTCCCTCTGTTGCTTATCTCTCAGGTCCCTCGATCAACTCTGTTGATATCCCACTGGTTGCGTATCCGCACATCTTGACCGTGTTCACCCAACGTTCTTCTGTCCAACCTCCTGAGCGCTCCGACGGACTGCCTGACGAGAACCGGCCCCCCTAGCCTCGTAAATCCGTTCTATTGGCTGACCTCCCTTCTCCCATTATACAAATTAGTGAATAGAAGCTTGGTGAGGTTCTCCATCTCATGGACATGAGGGATCAATGTTCCAAAACAATGCGGGAGTTCTTCCCTCAGCATGTCAAATTGGCTGGGCAATACAAAAAGGTCTCACACCCCTGGGATTTTGAATGAGAACTTCGAGGGTTTTCTTCTCTTGGAGAGAGATTGTGGGGTCCAAATTCCTAAAAAGCATCAGATTTGAACACGCTTCTCGATCATTCGCAGAACATCATGGTCAGAGCTGGGTGGGAGATCAAGGCTGAAAAATGCCAAACGATTATGCAAAACTCTTTGAATCCTGCATGGTTGTTGCCCCCAGAGGAGTTACCCCCAGCGGATCAACTCGACGTCTCCTCTTTTGCAGACACATGCAAACTCCTTACTCCACGGGAGCTCGAAATCACCAAGTGCGATGCCACTGGCCTCGTCCGTCAAATGGCAGCGGGATCTCTCACTGCGGTGGAGACTGTCACCGCATTTCTGAAGCGCGCCCATGTCGGTCAACAGTTACTGAACTTCGCCACGGAATTCATGGTAGAAGAAGCCCTGGCTCGCGCCGCAGAGCTGGACGCCCATTTCCAAACTACCGGCCAACTCGTTGGACCTCTGCACGGCGTTCCTATTTCCGTGAAGGAGCATGTCGGCTTGAAAGGCCGAATTTGCCATTCCTGCTACGTTGCCTGGATTGACAATATTCCTGAAGAAGATGCACTGCTGGTCAGGTTGCTAAAAGCAGCCGGTGCCGTGATCCATGTCAGAACCAATCAACCACAAAGCCTGATGGTACGTCTCATCGTTTGATGCCTTGATGTCGATTGTCCCCCTAACGACACACGCAGCATATTGACTGCAGCAATGTCATTTACGGCACGACCGTCAATCCATACAACCGAAAACTGACCTCAGGAGGTTCCAGTGGCGGTGAAGGCGCGTCGCTCGGATTTCGTTGCGCTGCCATTGGTATTGGTACTGATATTGGAGGCTCTGTCAGGGTACCAGCAGCATTCTGCGGTGCGTATGGTCTTCGCACAACTGCCCTCAGAAATCCTTACAAAGGTGTCTATCTGGCCGGCGACGGGCAAGAGAGTATTCGTTGTGTGATCTCCCCGCTTGCCAATAGCACCGCAGACCTGAATTTGGTGGAAAAGGCCATCCTGGACCAAGAACCCTGGGAAGAAGAGACATCCCTGGTGCCTTTGCCGTGGAAGAGTATTTCTCCCATCAAACCCGAGCAAGTGACGGTCGGTATCATCTGGGATGACGGGTAAGTATGAGATTCATAGCCCTTTTGGACTTCGGCCCAAGACCCTTTCCATGAGCATGTACCCCTCGAAGATGTCTCGACCCATAGTTGAATTAACGTGCCCCTAATTAGGGTTGTCCACCCACACCCACCCGTCACTCGCGCTCTCAAACACGCCGTCTCCAAGTTACAGGCGGCAGGTGTCAAAGTGATTGATTTCGAGCCCTATGAGCACCAGAGGGGATGGGACATCCTTTCTGCACTGTACTTCCCCGATGCGGCCGGTTTCCAGAAGGACCTCCTAGCAAAGGGAGGAGAGCCCGTTGCCCCACTGACGGAATGGGCATTCAGCGTGGCGAGACCAGAACCCATCACCGTGGTCGAGAACTGGGATTTGAACGTTCAGCGTGAAGCTTATCGTGCAGAGTGAGTGTAACTGCCGCACATTCTTCCCCCCCCCTGAAAACGTAGCCTGACATAATGCAGCTACCATCGCGTTATGAAAGAGCGAGGCGTCGATTTTATCCTCTGCCCCGCTTATGTTGGCGTGGCTGCAGAGCTGGCTGCAGGCCAGTACTGGCTTTATACTGCCATTTGGAACATCCTCGATCAACCTGCCGTCACTTTCCCGTCGGGCTTGAAACTCGATCCCGAATTAGATAAGATTGAGACAAATTACAAGCCACGGTCCGAGCAGGATGAGCGGGAATACAAGAAATGTAAGTCTTTCCAGTCCCCGCTCTTGGGGCAGAGGGTCTCTTTGAAGTCCTTCTGAGCTGACGAAATGGTTCAAAATTACAGATGCACCTGAGAAATATTTGAATGCCCCAATTGCTCTGCAAGTGGTTGGGAAACACTTCCATGATGAAGAGACGGTTGCTGCAGCCGAATTGATTTCAAACATTGTTCAAGCCTAATTAATGGAGAGTTGAATATCTCATCTGTATTCGGGGTGTCCCTAGCCCAGACTGAATTTCCGTCCCCCCCCCCGCCTTGTTTGTAGCAAATAATGATGTGTCCTTTCGGATACTGTATTCTCTCCCAGTACCCTAACCCCCAGTGAGAGTCTTTGGAGCGAGTTTCCACTACCAAGTCATGATCTTTTCCTTGTGGGGAATGACCGTTATCCCATGAAGTCTCGAGCGCCGATCACCTTTTCCACTCTAGTATTCGATCATTATCAATCAACCCCTCACGGGTTCTAGGGGACAAAACATGAATACCAAACTAGCCTCGAAACTTTGAGTGGTCGCAAACTTTCTTGAGCAGACCACTGCTCCAACGCTAAGACGGCCGGGTCTTGTCAAAGGCTCGCGATATTGGTGGGAATACTAGTATTGCGGAGCTTTTGATAAGAAGACCCTTGGCGTTGAAGCGCATCCCCAGCTGACACACTACACTTCTCCTTTCTGTCAATCCAATACGGTTGGTATGTGACAAAGAAATCAATTCATATAGAATCCCAGACGCAAGTCTTCATGCTCAAGACGAAACTTCGCACCAAAACGGGTTGTTGGACTTGTAAGTTCGAGCCCACTACCAAACCTCCCTGGACGGGGCGTTGAATTATATTACGTGTCACAGGCAGGAAGCGGCGGTTGAAATGCAATGAGGAAAGACCATGTTGCCACAACTGCTACAGCAGCCACCGCCAGTGTGAATGGCCCTCTGAAAGTGATCTTTACGACCGACGGCATCGCCCGCGGCCTGACCAGGCCATTTCATCGACCTCTCACAGGCAAGCCAACCACTGTCGCAAGAATGATCACTCTGAATCTGAATCCGAGGAGATAACATCGCCATCACCGTCCCGTCAACACATGTCTATTCGCTCGAACCCAACCGTTCAGACTACCATACGATCAGATCTCGAATTCGCACTCCTTCGATACTATCACGACAGTTTTCTTTCCGTCATCCTTCTCCCGAATTCTTTATCAGGCTACAACGCCGAGTACCAATGCCATGTGACCAAGCTGATGCTGCACTGTGACAGCGTCAAGAACGCCGTTCTGGCTTGCTGTGCCTCCAATAAGTACATGTTGACTCGTGATGATCGGTTTCAGAAAACTTCTTTCACGTACTACCTTCAAGCGCTGGAAGAGGTTAGCCATGCTCTCATCGGACTGGACTCGACCCGCGATAGCCCTGGAGATGCCCTATTGACGACGGTCATATACATGTACATCTATGCGGTAGGTAACTCCCCACCGTCATACTGAGATCTCCTCCACATTTCATGAAATTCATCCGCTAATCCGGCGTACCAGCTCTGGGGTCCTGACACAGCCAATCATGCTTCGAAGCACGTTGCTGGGGCCATGCAGTTGTTGAAGCTACGATACGCCAATTCTTCCTCGCCACTATGTATGGATCGGCCCTTTGACCGCATCACGGCAGAAAGTGTGCTCTATCAGGCCTTCCTCCTGTCTTTCCGACACCCATTCGCCATTAATTTTCAGATCGATCACCATTTCTTGGCTCAAACGGAGAACATCCTCGAGTCGTTACCGTCGTTGGATGATTCGGCCGCCGCGAGCAGCCCGGTCTTGGGCGCGCCTTTACCACTCTATCGACTAATTCTGAGAGTGATACAGTTGTACAACTCGCCACATCGGACCGATCCGGAGATCGTACTAGAATTGAAGAAGGAACTGATCTTCTGGGAAGCGACGGTATTCGAATTGGATGAAAGCGAACCATCAAGTCATGATACTTCACCATTGCCCTCCTTAATAGCACCAGTCATGAAGCTCTACATTCTCGCCGTGTCTCTCCTCCTAGACTGGATCATCGCCGAGATACCAGAATCAAAACAGAGTATCAACGACCTTCTTTCTCTCTTCGGCCGCGGTATTGTACCCACATCCACATCGCCACAACCGTGGCAACTCCTTCATGCCCTCTTTATTCTTCGGCTTCCTAGCACGCACGAAAACTGGACGCGTTGCTACTTGGGATCCTGGCCGTTGCTGATTTTCGGGTACGCTGTGGATACCGACGAGGATATCAGGGTCATCAAAGAAATCTTGCGCTGCATGCGCCATCGCATGGGCTATGGGGAGATTGAGAGAATATTGCGCGAATTAGAATGCGTCTGGTGTGAAAGGCGAGGAAAGAATCACCTCGGCGTGGAGGAATTGCAGCCGTCACACTGGTTGGCATGATGCTTTCTCGCCGGGCGGAACGATATCGAATTTCACCAATGATTCATTCTCAGATTGGTGAGGCATTGAGGTTTCCGAAATGTATTCTCTGTGGTTGGAGGTACTTGTGTCGCTTCTTTTGCCAGGGAAAACGTTGTTACAATGAATAGCCTCCGAGTCTACTGGCTATAACGCTCTCGGTAAACAGGACATGGTAGTGTTCGGGGGGGGGGGGGAAATAGGGTTGGCGTAGATGGGAAGTTCAAATCGCGCTTCTTATCTGACTTCTTGGACATATGTAATTGAAGGTGGAAAGGATATGCTCCTGGACGGCATGGGGAAGAAAAGAAACAGTATTCAGGAATGCCTACCTAGCTACTCAATAGGTGGGGCCCGCACCCGGCATGCCGCCATCCAATTCAATCGGAGAGAACACGAGGCAGCCGGACTAAGCCTTATCGAGCCCGCCACACACATTGGGAGAAGAAATGCCGCCATCGTCATTGCCGTCATCACACCAGTACAATGAAAGCCTCAAATACTTCGAAAAACATGGCCGCCAAACCTAAATTGAACGTTCACAATTTCCCTCGTCCCCCGCTACTAGAACCAACACCACGACACTTGATGATAAAATGGAACGGGCAGACATTGGCTGATACGAGGGAGTCGTATTGGGTCTTGGAAACTATGCATCCACCTAGTGAGATCAAGCCGACCAGGATGGGATTCTGGTCCGTTGATCTGGTGTTCCGTGGCTTACTGTTTTGGATCAGCATATTATCTCCCGCGCACGTCCATCTCGGACACCTTCAAGCTCAATCAGACCCCCGGACTAGCGTCGCTGTGTGAATGGAAAGGCCGGGCAACCTATTGGGACCTCACCAACACATCGACAGGCGAGACGGTCAGGAATAAAATCTGGAGCTACGAGGCGCCGACGCCTGCGTTTAAGGATATCAAAGGATATTTGTCGTTTTATGCCCACGATGTGCCGTGGGAGTGTTTCGTGGACGAGGAGAAAGTCACGCCGCAAGAAGGTACGTGATCCTGACCACCCTCATGGAAATGCATAGGCTAGATATCAGATTCCTGGGCTGATCCGGCGCCTCGCCAAAGGAGACTATTATGGCGGATGGGTGACGAGCGAGTTGGAAGGGGCTATGAAGGGTGGTCCGGAGACTTGGGGTTGGTAATGGTACCTAGGTTATGTTCCGGTCCATCTACTTGGGGTATTGCATCGGATCTATGTGATGTAAGGTTCCTTCTCATAACGCGCTGACCTTTCTATCGAAGAATCATCTCTTTCGAAGAACGGCCACCTCTTCAACATTGAATGCCTCCGCTACTTTATTTCTCGGTGCAAGTTGAAATGACCCCGACGAAAGGGCTCATGCGTAAAGAGGCCAAAGGGGAGGAAGACGCTGGAGAGGTCGGCCGGGAGCGATAAGGCTTGAGGTCGAGTCAGTTATGTTGTTTCCTCATCAGGTCAGAACACCCACCTGCACAGCATCTAGTAGCGTAACCGCGACGAAAGGCTTGAAGAGCTCGAGACTTGCCCCGAGTTATTTGTAAATGCAACGGAAGGAAAGGGAAGAGCTGGAGGTTTCATTGCCGCTTTGGGCTCGGACTCGTCAACCTCCGAACGCCCCAACGGGACTAGGGCCGTTTTCTTCATCTCTGCGATTGGATTCTTGTCCAGCCTCATGGAGAATAAACTGTTGCGATACCTCTTTTGATCTCTTCCGTGTCGCTCAATGAGGGTACACTAAGCCCATGATTCCCATGGACCCATGGGTCATGTGTAGCTCTCTCACCTTGTCCTCAAGATTCACTCTTCCTCTGACGGAGTTCTTTCTTTCATACGGCTTCTGCCTGGTCGTCAGATAAAACGTGGGTTTGCACAATTCGGTTGAAGCCGGCCACACCGTCCTGGAGTCAGACCGGTAAGAAGGCAGCTCGGAGATATCCTTTCGATGTCCTATCTGCATGGACCTCTAAGATCATCTCTTCAAGAATCCCAAGCCAACTTCTGGCCTCTGTTCCTTTTCGTTCTCATTTCCTTTCTTCATCCCTCCTCTCGCCTATTTAGAAGCCACCATGGGCGACATCTCCGGTACCGCAGCCCAGCCTGCTCATATGGAAGTCATTGATCTTTCCCTTGGGTGGTCCTTCAAGCAGACCGACGACGTTGGTGAAAACTCCTGGTGTCCAGTCAAGAAGGTCCCCTCGACCGTACACCAAGATTTAATCGACAACGGAAAGTGCGTAAGGACGCTGGACAATTTGACATAGACTGACCGCCGAGACCGCCTCAGACTGGAAAACCCTTTTATTGGGTTCAATGAAATCAAGGCCGAATGGGTAGGCTTGAAATCATGGACTTACCGGGCCAAACTCGCCCGGCCATCTAGAGCCGGACCGGAGGCGAGAATTGTCCTGGCTTTCGATGGCTTGGACACGTTCGCTCACGTCAAGTTAGATGGAGAGACCATTCTCCAAAGCGACAATATGTTCTTGCCTCATCGGGTCGACGTCACGGAGGCCATCAGGTCCCAAGACCATCACCACCTGGAGATTGAGTTTGAGTCTGCCTTCCTCAAAGCCCGAGAAATCAAAGATCAGCATCCAGACCACAAATTTATCTGCTTCAACGGAGACCCAGCACGACTGGCAGTGAGGAAAGCCCAATATCACTGGGGCTGGGACTGGGGGCCCTTGTTGATGTGTGCGGGCATCTGGAAGCCTGTTCGATTGGAGATTTATTCGGTGAGGGTGGCAGACCTGCGGACCGATATTTCCGTCTCGGACGACCACTCGCTCGCCACGATTCAAGCCAGTGCAGAAATCGAAGGCCTCGACCGTCAACATGCCTCCGTCCGAGCTAGATTCTTCATCACACAGGGAGAGACATTGATCTGTGCCAGCGACGCCATCGTGATGCCGGATGGAAACGTTTCTGCTCCACTTCAGGTGGCTAACCCAGAACTGTGGATGCCGAACGGATACGGAAAGCAGTCACTGTACACTGTCAGTGTGAGTATCATCGGCGAAGGGATTGTGTTGCATACCGAGTCTCGACGAGTTGGACTGCGCCAAATCCAGCTGGTTCAGGAACCCGACCGTCATGGGAAATCTTTCTATTTCCGGGTCAACGACGTGGACATCTTTTGCGGGGGGTCCTGTTGGATCCCCACCGACAGCTTTTTGACCAACGTGACTCCCGAGAAGTATCGGGCTTGGATTGAATTGATGGTGCCGGCAAACCAGAAGATGATCAGGTAAGGTGAAACCGCGGTCTCCCGCTCCAAGTTTCCTCCGGGGACGGATAATCTGACTAACGCACGGATATGGGACAGAGTCTGGGGTGGAGGGATCTATGAAAATGACGCGTTTTACGACGCGTGCGATGAACTGGGTATCCTGGTGTGGCAGGACTTCATGTTCGGCTGCGGGAACTACCCCTGTTTCCCGGCCATACTCGAATCGATTGAAGCCGAAGCCGTGGCTAATGTTCGGCGAATTCGCCATCACCCGTGCATAGCGATATTTGCCGGAAATAATGAGGACTACCAGGTGCAAGAGTCGGCTCATTTGACCTATGACTATGAAGACAAGAATGAAAAGCACTGGCTCGCGTCTGATTTCCCGGCCCGGTACATCTACGAGTCGCTTTTACCCCGGGTTTCGGCGGCGGAGGCGCCCTGGATCCCTTACCACCCTGGATCGCCCTGGGGTGACGGCAAGATCAGCTCAGACCCCACCGTGGGTGACCTGCACCAATGGAATGTCTGGCATGGGACGCAGGAGAAATATCAAGTCTTCGATTCCCTGGGGGGACGGTTCAACTCCGAATTTGGCATGGAGGCTTTCCCTCACCTTGCGACGATCAAATCGTTTGTGGAGAAGGAAGACGATCTCTACCCGCAAAGCCACGTTCTCGACTTCCACAACAAAGCCGATGGGCACGAGCGACGGATCGCCACGTACCTGGTGGAGAATGTGCGAACAGCAACGACGCTCGAGGCATATGTCCACCTGACGCAGCTCATCCAATGCGAGGCTCTGATGTTTGGCTATCGTGGTTGGCGGAAGCAATGGGGTGATGAGCGACACTGTGGCGGAGCCTTGGTGTGGCAGCTCAATGACTGCTGGCCGGTGACCAGTTGGTCGATCGTCGACTATTACCGCCGAAGGAAGCCTGCCTACTATGCCATGGCGCGCGTGTTGGCCCCGGTGGCGGTGGGAATCCGCCGTGCCCATCATGACTGGAGCGTGACACATGCCCGTGAACCCCGGACACAGGAGTGGGAATTGTGGGTGGTCAGTTCCCGGTTGAGCGAGATTACGGCGGATGTGGAGGTCAAGTTCGTGTCAGTTCGCACGGGTTTGGAGATCAAGGAGAAGATGGTGAAAAAGGGCATCAAGGTCCAAGCCAATGGCACCACCAATGTGCTGACTGGATACGTCGACAATGTGCGCGAGGAGCCCCATGTTCTGGCTGCGCGAATTTGGGTCGACGGTGAGCTCGTGGCACGAGATACAGATTGGCCGCAACCTCTCAAATACCTCCCTTTCCCGGATCGCAATGTCCGGGTGGAAATTGTGGGCGATGAGATGCACGTGTCTGCCGAGCGACCTGTCAAGTGTCTGGTGTTTGAAGAACGAGAAGGGTGTCATCTCAGCGACAGTGCGATTGATGTGGTGCCGAACGACACGCAAATTATTCGGGTGCGAGGACTCGAGGCCGGCGAGCCAGCCTTGGACTGGACCTTCCTGGGGGCTGGGGAGCAATGAGTAAGACCGGGCGAGACTCAACCCGAACAGATGAGACACAGACATGTGGGGGGGGGGGGGGGG